ATGTCCTTGCGTTTATCATGGACTCCTCTCACTGGTTGCAGAACGTATCAGCTCATTCGCATCACCAGGCCACTAGTCGATATCATCGGAAACATTGAGGGCCGTGACGCAAATCTTGCGGACTGTATGCTCGAGTTGATTTGGGCACACCGGGAGGTGAACCGTCGCCTAGCGTATGAAGAGGGCGATGACATCGGCTTTCTCTCGCACACCCGCCGCACCCTCAACGATCAGTTTCATGCCATGAACACGGACTTGCATTGGTTTGCACTCTTCCTGCACCCATTGTGCCGTCGTCTCGCTGTTTCCTCGGCTTCTCATTCTCGCAACATCACGGCCGCAGTCAGCATTGCCTTGGGCATTGCATACAAGTGGAGGTGGACGAAGACACAGACACAGAAGCTCATTACCGACATCAAGAACTACGGCATAGTGAAGGACTCTTTTGGCGGGGCGAAGGCCGATGGAAAGGCCTGGTGGGAGGAGCTGGTGGTTGATGCGAGAGAACACCCACTGAAAACTATGGCCGTGCGTATCTTGACCATTGTCCCCCACGCCGCGGACGTTGAGCGACTATTCTCGAGCCTCGGAGGAATCCAGTCGGTCCGACGATCACAACTCACCATCCCCCACATGGAGACTTTGGGAGCTCTCCGCAACTACTACAATGCTGAACTACATGATCTCACTGTCAAAATGGGCAAGCAGACTCGCCGCAGACACACCCATATGCACACGCGGGACGAGCCAGGAGTCAATGCTGCCCGTGCTCAAGAACTTCTTGCCAGCTTCGTATGGACAGGGCCTCTCACTGCGACACCGGACCATCTCGAAGACATCCTCGCAGGCCCTGAAGGTATCACCGACGACGATATCGAGCGCGAATTCGCGCTCCTCGAGTCTGCTGTCACCGTTGAAGCTGGTAGCGACGGCGGCGATGGCCTGTCACCAGCTGTCGGGCTTGAGGAAGTATACAATCTAGATGAGTTAGACGCTGTTCGTATGGGTGTGGCCCCTCCTACCCATTCAGAAGAACACATCATGCACACTGATCCCTCTGAAGAACAGACCACTTGGACACCTGAAAGCCTGCTCGCAGAGATGGATCATTAGGCACATAAAGTACTTGTATCCTAGTACACAGATATGCTCTAAAGACACGATTTTGGGTGTCGCCAGTTTCGCCGGTTGCGCCATGGTTTCGCCAGGCTTTCGCCACCCCCCAGAATCGCACGAAGGTTTCGCCGGCGATGGCGAAACCTTCCGCGAGTTTCGCCCCCTACACTAGGGGCAGGAGAACCTAGATATACTCCGCAACCTCCCACCCGTACCTTGATCTCCAACCATCAGGTTCACGACGATGCTGCGTACACTGTGTAGCCTGTGTCTTTCACTCGCCGCTGTCGTTGGCGCTCAGCAGTTTCCGCTATTTGCTTCAGGACCTACATCGATACATCCCCTCGGGAATGCAGATCCGTATGATGTAAAGCTCACCAGCTTCGACTCGGGATTGTTCTCGCCCGTGGAGGACTTGAACGTGCTCTCGTATGATACATACACCACGCTCTCGCATCCTGCGTTCCCTAAGCATAGCGTTCGCATCAAGAGGTCCTCGAGCTTCTGTGATGGAACAGTGAAGTGAGTGTCAGCGAATCGGGCTGGGCCGTTCAATATTCCGCATTTGCTCCGACTGACGATGATCACTCAGAGCGTATACGGGTTACATCGACATCGAGGCTAAGCATCTTTTCTTCTACTTCTTTGAGGTGAGCGCTGTGCATCTTGCTTCTGTTTCGATCTTGCTGAGCATGTTCGAAATGTCAGAGCAGGAACGACCCGGACAAGGACGACGTTATCTTCTGGACAAACGGCGGTCCAGGGTACGTTCAAGCCGGCGTGAGGAGAGGACAGGAGTGACTTGGTGTGATATGTTACCAACAGGTGTAGCTCTTCGGTTGGTCTCTTTATGGAACTCGGTACGTTCACGACGAGATGAGCTGTGTCTTGTCTTTTCATGCCACCTCACAGGCCCATGCCGAATCCCGGACGCAAACGGCACACAATACAACCCTTACTCCTGGAACGGTGCGTACATCCTGTCACACTGACCTCGAACGGAGGCGTTGATCTTCGACCACAGCCGCTGCCAACATCTTCTTCATCGACCAACCCGTTGGCGTCGGATTCTCCTACGCAGACCACGGCGAATACGTTGTACGCCCATAGTCTATCTGTGCCCTCTCTTTGCGCGCGAATTGATTAAGGCTTTGTCAGGGAACTACGGAAGAAGCCGCGGCAGACATCGCGGCCTTCGTGGCGATCTTCTTCGAGAACTTCAGCAAGTTCAAAGGGCGCGGGTTTCACATGGCCGGCGAGTCTTACGGAGGCCGCTACATCCCTGTCTTCGCTTCTGCGGTGTACGACCAGAACGCGCTGCTCGTCGAGGCCGGCCTGACGCCGATCAACTTAACCTCCATCATGATCGGTACGTGAGCATTCTGCCGCTCGCTGATCACTCTACCTCATATGATCACCTAGGGAATGGCGTGACGGACTTCTACACCCTGACCCCGTCAAAGTACGAGATGATGTGCACGCCGGCGTCTGTAGACCCCATTTTGCCTGTCGCGTAAGCCGTATGGAGGCTTTAGCGTCGTATACTCGCTGAACCCCATTCATTGTCAGGTCCTGCGTCAGGATGAAGCAAGCGGTACGTCTCCTTCATGCATCAGTTGCCGTTGCAGCTCTCTGAAGCGTGCATGCGTGTCCAGGTCCCTCGATGCAAAAAATGGATGAAGGAGTCGTGCGTGGACCAGTTCGATGCGATGAACTGCGGCGCCGCGATGAGCTTTTGCCAGTCCGAAATAGACGCCGTTTTCCGCGCTACCGGTGCGTGTCATGACACCCTTACTCCGTTTAGCGCATCGCTCATCACTGTGCGACATGCCAGGCATGAACCCATACGATATCAGCAAGGAGTGCGATGGCTCTATCTCAGAGACCTTATGTTATCCGATCACGAAGTACGTGCCACGTCTACATCTCGAGGTCTACGGAGCTTGTGTTGATGTCGTCCTACGACCCAGATACATCAACCAATACCTGTCCCGACCTGATGTTCGCGAAGAGCTAGGCGTCGACCCGGCCGTGGAAGGCAACTTTACCTCTTGCTCTTCCGACGTTGGTTCCGCCTTCCGCGCCAACCTGGACGGCTTCCACCCGACGTACCTCTACGTGGCGGCGCTGCTCGAGCGCGGCGTGCGCGCGCTGATCTACGTCGGCGCGTACGACTGGGTCTGCAACTGGGTCGGGAACGAAAAGTGGACGCTGGCGCTCGAATGGACGGGGCAGGAAGAGTTCAAAGGGCAGGACTTGAGGGAGTGGACGGTGGACGGCGTCACGGCGGGCAAGACGCGGAGCGCGCAAGGGCTCACGTTTGCGACGATCGCGGGGGCGGGGCATATGGTGAGTTGGCATCCCCAGCGGTTTTTCCTCCTGCGCATGAGTCACACCTTGATCCTTACCGGGTTTCCTTAGGTTCCGTACGACAAACCCAAAGAATCTTTGGAGTTGGTGAAAAGGTGGCTTGCCGCCACTGGCCTCTAGGGTCTAGGGAGCATGCACGCTGAAAGACTCGCACCCGAGACTCGCACCCGCATCCCCCTCCGGGTTGGCGTGGATGACGTGTAATAATCGAATGGAAGGGACGACCTTCATTACCATTTTTCGTGCTGCTGCCTCAGGCAGATGTTCCACATGCCGGGTTATCGTTCCATTGTGTTATGAATGACGATAACGCAACGTTGCTGTCACGAGTCTAGCTATGCAAGAAGTGCAAAATATGCCACGTCTTACCGCAACATCAAATCCCACCCCTCGACTTCAAGAGCAGCCTTTGCAAGCTAGATGTCCAGCTTTTCCTGGATCATAGTTCACAGGTTCCGTATCAAGATTTCTCTGCTCTCCTTACCGGTTGGTTTGCCGAATATTGCCAAATATGAAGGTCCGTCGCAAGAATCCTATGACAATGTGAACGGTATATACCACGAAGTTGGCGAAGATGGCAGCACCTGGGCTGTGAATGACTACACGCAGCCGCGATGCGCTATTTGGAGAGGATGTCCGCAAGCTGACAGCTCCATATGTACAAGTAGCGATACGTATGATGTGCGCCTTCAGTTAGCATCGTCCGAAAACTAGAAACTTGGTCCACACGCTTGCGCTAGCGCTTACAGCGCGCGACCCAACACCAATCAGGAGTGGCAGGGAACCTGTACCCCGGACACCTGCTGCAGGCTTGGGAACAACGATTTTAAAAAATGTGGCAAGCGGCATGTACAGTACGTGTCTTCGAGGTCTTCGAGCTTGATGGGACCGGAGATAGGTAGGCAGGTAGATTGCCGACGAGGTCCCGGTAGCGGAACAGCCGGTTCTCCGAGGTCGAGGTCTATGAGACTCGCGTTCCCGCCGAACTCGAACAGCGAACCGGCGAGCGGTGCATCCGCCTCAGCGGGGATGTCGACGTGTATGAACAAGTCGCACAAAAGAGGGCAGTGCTCCGCAAACTCTACCAGTGATAAGGAGGTAAGGCGCGGGGAGTCGGCGGGAACCCGTTGTTTCTCGACTCGAAGCTCGGCGCGCGTCAGTGCGGGACACACGCGCGCTACGTGAGCGACGACCTCGTCCGTCCATGCGAGCTGCGCGGAGACCACCAACTCGCGCAGATTGACGTAGTACGGCATCTGCAATATGGCGAAGGCGCGGGGTAACTCTACTTCTCGTTCCTCGGCATCGTATGAGGAATCGTCGTACTTGTGGGGTTTGCGAGGCGCGTGGATTTCGAGAATACGGAGGGGCTCCGTGGAACGTTGGAAGAGCGCATCCAGTACGACGTCCCAAGCTGCCGATGTGTAGGCCTTGAACGCTTTTAGGCGTAGAACTTGCGCGTTGGCCTTCAAGCGCTTCCGGAAAACGATCCGGCTCGACTCCGAAAGGAAGAATCCGTTACGAGCAAGAGCCTGGCTATCGATCAGATGCAGACTGAGATCGACGATTCATCCATTTGTGGGACCGACAATGGCAAGTTCACTGCACCCAAGGCCTCTCTGCCAGTCGAGAATCAAGATGATAGTGGGCGTCGTGTTGAGGGAGGAACGGCACGTGCCCGTCGCTTTGCGTTCGGATGACAGTTTGATTTGTATGATTGCTGTGTTGGGTGCGGAAAGGTACGGTCTGTCAACAGACGGAAGATGACGGTGGTAAGAGTGCTGCAACGGTTCAGATACAACGCATACTTCACCAAGAGCTGCCGTTCGGATATCCTTGAAGGCTCCTTCCCATATTCTCCTTCCTATCGTTCTGTACGGTGGCTCTGACTATCCATCCAGCGAACTAGATATAGAAGTCAGTGTGGTCAATAGGGTATATGTTGCCGAACCGACCTTGGTGAGGCTAGACATCAAAATCCCCTTGCCTCGTATTTCTCTCTGTTTTATTGTGAATTGTGAGAAAGGGCTCGAACTTCAATGTTCAGCTAGCTTTGTGTTCGTCGAGTTCAAAGCAACGTTCATCGTGCAAGCTGGCCAGTGCCAGCGACTTGATATGCAAATGGTCAATAGGTAAGCCAGGCGGCGTTTGCCGCACCTATGTTTAGCCATGACGGCATCGCCTCTGCAGTTCATCCTTCCCCCGACGCCTCTCGCCGGGGATCGCACCTTGCACCATCAAATCCTTGCGAACCGGATCTGTTCTCTCTCGAAGCAATATTTACTGCTCACGCGACTGGCAACGACGAAAACATAACTCTTCCTAAAACGTCCACGTTGTTGGGCTGGTCGTATACTTATTGTACTCTCTCTGTCTTCTCCTGAATGCCCGCGGTCCATACACCCCGCTCAACAGCGGCAACGCGCTCCTTTGCGCGTGCATTTAGCACGCTTACACCGCTCCTTGTCAAAGCATTCCCGTTCCATAGCCACCTCGCTCGGTAAGCATTCGCAGTCTGCGTGCAGTAACTTGCTTGAGTGGCTACTGACGCGACACGGTTCAGACCCTATGGCGCATTTGCCAGCTCGGAAGAGCCGGAAGAGGAACCAGGCTCGACGGGGTTCTGGTGGAAACTCGGATTCAGTGTCGGGTTGGTGCTCCTGGGTGGTGTGTTCGCCGGGTGCGTGTGGCTTTTTTATGATCTTGCGCGAGGTACTGCTCTTCTAACCGCGGATTCAGGCTCACGCTCGGCCTGATGGGTCTCGACGAACTGCATCTGCGCGTGCTAGCGGCCTCGAGCGACAGCCCGAAAGAACGTAAAAACGCGTCGAAAGTGTGTCCTCAGGTTCCCCACCTTCCCCCCGCCCTTCCTCGATGCTCATCAACGACTAACAGGTTCTCCGATTGATGAGCAGAGGCCGACACTGGGTCCTCGTAGTACTCCTCCTCGGAAACGTCGTGCGTGTCGTTCGAAAACCGGGCGCATATACGCGTTTTCTGACTACGAATGGCTATACTTATCACCAGATCGTGAACGAGTCCCTGCCAATATTTCTCGACAGTGCCATCGGCGGCGGAGTGGCAGCAGTATTCATCTCTACCGCTATGATTGGTTCGTACTTCTTCTCCCGCAACCTCCCGCGCTCGCTCATGACCGTGCTCAGTGATCTTCGGGTGCGCCGGCTCACCGCATCTACTCACTCGTGTCTACAATCCTCACATCGCCCGCTTCGCCCTCGCAGCGAGTATGTTATCACATTCGCTCCTCGAGCTCCTTTTGCTAAAGTCCATCGTGTCGGTCAGAATTATACCCCAAGCAGTGTCAGTCCGTTATGGCCTTAGCATAGGCGCGGTCGCAGCGCCCATCGTCCTCACCATGATGTACCTCTTTGGTACGTATCCTCCATGAAAGGCTATCATCCAACTTGAGGACTGATTTCGGAAACACTTTAGCCCCGATCGCGTGGCCCACTGCTAAACTGCTCGACTGGGCGCTCGGTAAAGACGAAGGAACGACGTACAAAAAGGTACGTTTGTCGCTCGGCCTCCCCCCACCGCTCCCTTCGGTGATTTCTCACCAGAGTTATTATCGACCTACAGGCAGAGTTGAAGTCGTTCCTCCAATTCCATCGTCAGGGACAAGAGCCCCTGCGCGACGATGAGATCAGCATCCTCAACGGCGTGCTCGAGCTGAACAACAAGTCCGTCGAGGAGATCATGACCCCGATGAAGGACGTGGTGAGCATGTCCTCCTTTTCCTTCGACCTGTATGCGATCTCTGACGATGGTCGACGTTTAGGTCACGCTCCCCGCGGATATGATATTGGACACCAAAGCCATCGATTGGATGTCAGTACCGCCCTTTCCCTCTCTCGAATGTCGTACCAGACGATGCGATATGATACTGACGACCCTTCCATACGACATCCAGACTCATGAGCGGATACTCCCGCCTGCCGGTGCACGAGCCTGGCCAACCGCTAGTATTTATCGGCCTCCTGCTCGTGAAGCAGCTTGTGCGGTACGACCCGTCGCAAGCCAAACCCGTGTCGAGCTTCAGGCTGTCGATCCTGCCCGAGGCGAAGCCGAACATCAACTGCTTCCAAGCGCTGGACTACTTGTGAGCCTCTTCAATGAGGCTGATCGCGATTGAGTTGATTGACATCGTGTCTCGACCAGTCAGACGGGCCGGGCGCATTTGCTCCTGATCAGTGACACGCCCGGACAGCCTGGTGGCGCGAAAGGCGTCGTAACGCTCGAAGGTAAGCCTACCATGGAAGCAGCGCAGAGCCTGATCTGACGCGAGCCATGCAACGCCTCGCGCAGATATCATCGAAGAGATCATCACGGAAGAGATCGTTGACGAGACGGACCGGTTCGAGGACAACCAGAGCAAGCGGAAGGCGAAGCGGATGACGACCAAAGCCATCATGGAAGGGTGCGTGACTTTCACGCATTTTTATCCTGCATTGCACTATGCTCAATTTTTCTGGTCGCAGCATTGTGGAGCGACACCGACGCAATGTCTCCGACGCGACGTCGACGGGTCACTTCTCGCCGATCGTGGGCTCCCGCGACACGTCGGCGGAGCGCGGCGGGATGAGCGCGCAGTACGCGAACCAGGGATACGGGGCGACCGCGAACGGCCAGTCCTTGACCGCGGCCTCGGCGGCGGTGGCGGCGGCAGCACCCCAGATGAGCACCTCTCCCAAGCCTTAACGGGGAGGTTGGGAAGGGAGGGCGTATTCACCGAAGGGCATGAAACCGTGCAAAGGGCGGAGATGCGAAAATGCCACCATTACACATAGCTTGGTTCCGGGGCGGGCTATTTCGAACATGTACCATCTAATCGCGACTAATGCTGTGGCAATCGAAGGGGTCACCAGGCGGTATGTTTGTTTCATCCGCGGAAACTGCGTTTCGGTCTATGTGCGTCCGGGTGTGTCCGTCAAGCCGGCTTCTGCGTCCAGTTCACGCAGCCTAGTCTAATGAAAAGAAGCAAGGTGGTCAATGAGCAGCGGACGAAGCCATCGGACTTTGGGCGGAGGACGAGTGGCCTCACCTCGAGCGCGAAGAGATGCGAGTCATGAGAGTGTGGCGCGAGCTCGCGGACAGCGTGAGCGAGACGATAGAGGTATTCCTGAGTGACGATACACGATTCGTTCAGTGACGTATCCCGTAATCTTTACGCGTTACGGGGGAAGACCGACCTTGTTAGGCCCAGATGGGCCGACGGAACGCCAGATCGTCTGCGCGAGGTCTTCTAAAGGTTCCGAGCCAACTGCAGTCACGAAAGAGGAGTTAGATCGCGCGGCCCAAGTTCCCTTGATAGATCACGCACTGAAGGACGGATTGTCTTTTCGCCCGACATAGCACTAATGAACGGAGGCAGAAGCCCGTCAATTCTCAGGAAGCTGGGATGAGCATGGTTCAGGGTCGCATACCTCTGCCTATAAAGTATCGGAGCGTTGTTGTCAGTGATATGATTAGAAAGGTGACTGAGATGTGAAGGCTCACGTCATGGGCGACGACCTTCTCCTGACCGTCTTCCCCCACGCCGTATACATCCAGGACCTCGAGGGTGTAGCCGTCCTGCGCGGAGGTCCAAGCCACCTGATCAGGTGCTGTGTCCGCAGGTAAAAAGAGACGTCAAGGCTGCAATCACCTTCTCGCGGTAATCTATAGGCTGTATGAGCGAGAATAGGCTCGGTATATGACCATATGCAGGACACACCCAAGTAGTCCCGAACCTCGGCTTCATAGGCGGGATCGATGGTGTACGCCACACCTGTACCCCTCGAGTCAGCACATACGCGAGCTCTTCTGAAGGCGAGAGGGTCAGAAGGCGTTCAGAAAATAGGTCTCACCCCAAACGATGTCGTCGTCCGGGAAGGGGTCCTACAAGAGTGTTCGATAGTCACGGAAGTGCCTGTGGTGAGGAGAGGTCCTGCGCACGGCACCAGAGAATGCGTCCCAGTCTTCCTTGTGTATCAAGGTCACCACTCGGCCGGGAGACTGCAGGGAGAGGGTTCGATGCTCGTCGGCTTGTTGCCTGCGGACTGCGAGGCCGCTAAGCATACACGCACCTCTGGGGTGCCCCGATGATCATGAGATTTCTGGGCAAATCGCCTCACGTAGCCCTTGAGATATCCGGGAACTAGAGCGGAGGCCCTTCACAATCAGACTTGTTCGGACCAATGTTACATCGCCGGGACGAACCTTGCCTGATCGCATGCGGAGGCGGCTGCAAAGCCAGTAGATGTGTGAGACGTTCCGAATGATGGAGTGTATATGCGCTCGTACTTTGAAGATCAAAGACCCGTAGCCAAAGACAATGTAAGGCTTGTTCGACATCGAGGACTGGTAAGCAGGCCAAGGAGCGCAGCGAGGACTAACGCTCGCGCCATAGTTGACGGCGAGAACCAAGGTGACTGGTCCTGACCTTACCGGTCACGCCTCTGATCGCATGGATGAGCATCAACACTGTGTGCATCTTACGCCGGGCCCAACGGCGACGTCGAAAGCATTATATGCATTATTGTCATGATGGGTTGAACCATTATATGCGTTGCTATTATACATCCTTCTTCGCCTCCTCCCTCCGCTGCTGCTGCGGCGAATGCTGCTGCCCAACATCGCCCAACACCTCGCCCACCTTCACCTTCTGCCCGTCCCTGATCGCGAACGTGAAGTCCTTCGGCGCCTCGAACACGAGCACGATCGTGCTCCCGAGGCAGAACCCGCCCATCTCCTCCGCCGGGCGGAGCGGCTTGCCGTTCAAGATCGGCGACGCCGCGGAGTAGACGGCCTCGGTGTACGTTCCGGGCGGCGGGACGCGGCCGCGGACGTTGGTGCGGAGCTCGTTGTCGAAGTTGAGGATGATGCTCCCGACGTTCGTCGCGCCGACGGGGACCATGCTGAAGAAGCCGTATCGCCATCGGCCGAGGAGCGCGACGCGCTCGTTGAGCACGAACAAGTTTTGGAGCCGTTTGGCGACGTAAGGGGAGACGGAGAACAGCTCGCCTGGAGGGATCGCGAGCGCGATTGAATTTCCGTAATCGGACGCGATTTCTGTGAGGACCGAACTCACCGACGAAGTGCCGCCTCTTCTCGACCACCCACGCCGTCGGACTGTGGAACCGGTGGTAGTCGCCCGGCGCGAGGTAGATGACGCAGAAGAAGAGGGCGTTGCCCGGTTTGGTGCCCTGCTCGAAGATGCTGCCCCGCCTCTGGCCGAGGCTCGGGCGGACGCCCATCTCCTTCGCCACGGACGCGTCGTGCGCGGTCGTCTCCGCCAGCGACGCGTCCTCGTCCACCACCGACGCGTCGACCTGCTTTCCGTGCCGCGGCGGCGGGCGCTTGGGATCGTCCGAGCCGGCGTTCGCGCCGGACCCTTCGACCTCCCGCTCCAGCAGCGGCTGGGCTTCCAGATCCGACGACGTCGAGGGCGTGCGCGTGCGCGGGGTGGACGTCCCGGACGAGGGCTCGGAGGCGCCGATGAGCTGCTTGAGCGTGTACTCGATCCCGTTCACGTTCGCGAACTCCTCGTCGGCGACGATGGACATGTCGTTGGTCGTCGGGAACTCGACGGGGCGCGAAGAAGTGGGTGTGCCGGGCGGCGTCTCGACGCCGAGCAGAGCGTCAAGAGAGTAGGTCAGGCCCTTGACCTGCTCCACCTGCTTGCCTTTCACGACGCCGTAGTGCAATACGGTACCGTCCGCTGGGCTGACCTGTTGCCGCAGTCAGCAAACCGCCTCGGGAACAGCAAACGAGATGCTTTGCATACCAGAGCGGCTTGCGCAACGGGCCTCACGCCCTCCTTCAGTCTACGATAGAAGAATTCTCCGAGACTGCGATACTGAGTGAGATCGTCGGTCTCGATCTCGTCCAGATTGCACCCGAAAACCCATGCGTATATGCGGAATCCGTACGGCCGGAACCAGACGGGAAGGGTGCAGCTATTGAGCCAGCCCCATAATCTCGACAGGTTTCGCCACGGGAGAGCCCCGAGGACATGTACCTGCAGCACGAGCGTCATACAATGCAAGGGAGATAAGGGTTGGGACGTGCTCACCTGCCAGGGCCCTTTTAGTCGCACGACCTCGCGCCCCTCGTCATCGACCTGGACGCGCTTCGAAGTATATCGTCGCCGAAGCTGGATCGCTACAAGGAGCAAAGCGCCGACTGCCAGAGGCAGCGGGAACCACTTCGTCGGCGTCTCCTTCCACGCGTACGCGAGCCTGCCTGACGAACACTCACTTCAGTCTGGGCCGCAGAGCATCCGCCCCCCACCCAGTCCTCAGCCCCCTCGTCCCCCAGCCCGACGTCGCGTCAAGGTTACGACAGAAATCCTGGTCGAGTTGAGGGAAGGACGGGGGTGGGGGAGGGTTGACCACGGTCGCGCTCGCGAATAATATATGCAGTTAGCGAGGACACGTACGGTACAACGGGAGATGGCGACGAGGGTCCTGGCTGGTGTGCTGCTCCGACGACGGGCCACCGGGTCCCTTGGTCGACAACGACCTGGACCTGACCGAGTGCGTCCATTGACCTGCTCGAGGGAGGGGGGCGCTGGCGAGGCGCAGAGGGAAGGGTAGCGTGCCACGCTGCAGGCGGCTAGCGCTGTTCAAGAGCGAGGGAAGGGTCGAGGAGACCATGGTCGCATATTTTTTTTGCAGGTGATTACGACTTGGCGGCGGGTTTGTCGTAAATTATTTTATTCGGCTCGGTGCAACGTGCGACGCGGCGGGAGAGGGGTGGGCGAAGCGCGGCGGCGGCGCGCCCCCTTGCCGCTAAATATTCCCTTTCGTGGAGCCCTCCCCCCCCCTCCAACATGAAGTCATCTACATCACATTCGCTACATACGACCTACGACTCCATCCACAACTACAGTACTATCCGATGTAAAGTACTTATAATCTCGCCAGAAGCTTCAATCAAGGGAGCCAGACGGACCATGAGGCGCGCCACGCTTATCTGATTACATACACGGTCGAGACCGCGGTACGCCGATAATTGACGAGAAGAGAACATGTGGGCTTGTGCTGCGGTGGTCAGCCTGGCGGACCGGTCGGGTCCACGTCGTCCAGCATCCTCCGGAGAACGTCCGAGACCTGTCTATGCAAGTCCTCTACATACAGAGGCATAAACGTCAACGCCGTGTTGTTCACAGTAAGAGCTTCGGTGGGACCGAGAGCAAAAAGACGCACTCGCGCGGCTCAAGGCGTGGATGTACTCGGCGTTCGCCTCTTGCATCTCGTTTTCGAGAGCTTGCAATCTCGTCGCCTATATTCGAAAACGCCCAAGTTAGAATCGACCGGTGGCAGACGCGCATACGTGCGACGTGGAATCTCGACTTGCCTGCGATTCCTCCGACTCGGGTTCGGGCAATGACTGGATCAAGAATTCGATCTGCTTCGCTTTCACCATGAGATCCGTCACGAGTTCCTTCTTGTTGGCTGAAAAAGCGCGTTCGAGGGTGAGAACTTTTGGGTGACGAAGAAAGAGGAGGTGCGCATGCCCACCTTCAAGCACCTCCGGAGGGTCGAACTTTTCCGGGTTGCGCTGCTTCGTGATCGGTATCTGCGGGCTCACTTGCGCAAAGTTGGAGCGCGTCGTGAGGTAGGCGATGCTACTCGACATGATTTGCAGGAGCTGCGCACGAACATCGTCGTCAGTCCGTCGTTGGTCCAGACGAAGGAGGTGCTTTCAAAAGATAACAGGGGAGATATAGGAACAGCCACGTACCTGCTGTATCTCATCCTAAATTCCAGCCATATTAGACAGAACAGGAACAGAGAGTGCTTCAGCGTTTCAACAGGTTCGCTGGGGCTCAAACACAAGCAAGGGCCGGACCTGTAGCTGAGTGACGCGGTCCATGCTACTCAATTCCTGAAGCATTTCCGACGGACTCGCCACGACCCAGAGGCGAGCGAAAGTGCCGAAACCAGCGTATATGCAATAAGGTGGAAAGGTGTTTCTGGGTAGCGCCGAAGAAGACGGAAACAGCGTCGGTGGCGATGATCCCCCGTGGGACATGGTTTTCGCCTGACTGACTGACGAGCTCGAATTCGCCCGACGGGTATTGTTGCGTGTCGAGATTGCTATGAGGCACGTTGTACCATGGCTTAACGCTTCCGGCCGCACGAATCAGGATATCTTTGGTCGAGAGCACAGGAGCAGCTCGCACGGTGGAGTAGTACTAATATTGTGCAGACAGCGGACCTTGATCGCAGCTACCTCATGCGATTCGTTGCCAACTATTCTTTGTGATATAAGGATGATTAGACCGGGACAAAGTGAATCACGCCTCATATGCCGAATGGGAGGGTTGAAGAACAGTCGTCACGTATTCTAATACAACCGACGCCCACGATTCCTTCATGCGAAATGCAATACGCTAGTGTTAGTCCTTGATACTATGGTATGAGTGAATCAGTACTTACAGATCATTCGCAGCATGGTTTCCCTGTCTCGAGGTCGATGCAATCGCACATGCGGGAGTCGAGGGGGCCTGGCACCGGTCCGCTGATTGTCGTTCCATGTTATGTTGAAAGAGGAAATCCACGAACGGGTACGACTTACGCCGCGACAACCTGAACGCCTGCGAGGACAATAAAAAAGGCGGCGCAGCTGATGAGTGGCTTGAAGAGCATCGTGAACTGAATGGCAAGGAGACTACCCAGGACACGATACGTATGACCCCTTATATACTTCGACGGGTTCAAGGCAACGCAACACATTGGCAAATACGAACTGCGCCGATAACACGGATGATGGGCGCCACCGACTCATCGCAGTCATTCAAACACATTTCTCCCTTCATCGGACGCGACGGGGTGATGGCGACCGGCAACGGGCAGCCGACTCCCATTTTCATCCCGTCTCCGGCTGCGGCAGGAGCGTTGCGCATGGCCCACGCCACGTATGACCCAGTTAGATCGGTCGTATTGGAACGATCCGCACCCGGGCGAGAGTTGGAAACGACAAAACAGGTGGCTTCTTATCGACCGGATACTGTCCCTGGCAGTAGTCGCGAGCAAAAATAGCAGCTGGATACGAGTTTACCGGCCAGAAACTCGGAAATAGGTTCAAGAAGGTGCCCATGGAGTCACCGATGAATCACTCGATGTTCGGGAAAGACCACCATGGCCAGTTCGACAAGACACGGGTTCCCGCCAAGCCCCGCCAAACCCGGGAGGAGGCGACACCTTCATAGCGGTGAGACCTCGCGCACTGCCTGGGGTGCAGTGAACGGCAAGCGATACCAGTGCACCGCATGAGGTGAACACCCTCCGGTTCCAAGAACGTAAGAGCCGGGCACGAGCGAGCGATGTGCTCGACGATTTCGTCGGTCCAGTCGAAGGATATGGACATGCTGAGTTGGCGGAGGTTGTCGAGTGGGGGCATGCGCAGCAGAACGGTCGGCAGCGGCAGCGGAACCCGTACTTCCGGTGCTTGAGCAACATGGAGCGCCTCGAGGACCTGTATCGGGCTCTCGAAGGGACAAATCGAACATTGCATCCCTTTCGTCTGCGGTTCCGTTCTCCTTGGAGGAAAGGGTTTCCTTATGTGCTGTAGGCGCTCAGCTGATGATAGTTCGAAAGGCAGGAAGGGAAGCACAGTATTCCTGCCGAGCTACCAATGAGGATTCCTCAGGGAGCACAGGGACAACGATGGCGGCTGGAAAGTTAACAAGCCTGAGGGTGATATATATCGGCCAGCCGCAGTAGACGCCAGAGACGATCGAGTGCATCCAGGAAGGCCTCGTGATGTTTGCCTGCGATAGGACCCATATCTATGACTGTCTCGTGCAGCCAAGTCAACCGAGCTACATGTGCCAATGCCGTTGCTGTAAACGATCCTTCAGAGCGCACGGTACGGAGGTTGGGAGGAGTGAGCACCAGCTTTTGGAGCAATTCCTCCGTCCTTGAGTAGGACACGGACCCAACGCGGAAGCGCGAAACGGCGATATTGAGGACTTCTAGATGAGAGATGCGATATAGGACGACGAGCATTTCCGCGTACCGAGCCAGGCGCGCGTCAAACCGCAGTTGACGCAACCGAAGAAAAAGGTCGATATCTTCTGTAAAGGGGAGGAAGGCATGGAAGACGACGTCGAAGTCGATGACATCGGTGAAGGCCATGTACAACGAGCTGACCCTCCGAGCACAATAAAGGTGTCAATCGCGCGCGCCAGTTCCTGGATAGCAAAGGACAGACAAGTCCGTCAGCCAACCGCCCAGGAGCGCAGGGCGCGGAAGGTCGCCAACTCGTGCAACTATCTCTTGAACCTGGAGCGCGCGGTGCATTGCAGAGACGAAGTCGGGTAGTAGTGGAAGTGAGCATGCGGTCGTCGCGTTGGATAAAGGAGTCGCGTATCATCGTCTTCCGAAAATATCACATGGCCGGCCAAGACCGAGCTTTTCAGTAGGCGAAGATCTCGCTATGTAGTGCTCTACAATATCCAGAGCACGCGGGCCCTCACGAACGACACTGGGCGTATTGTACAAACATTGCTTTTGGCTCTCCGGGCATTCCCCGCCGAAGCTCAGACGCGTTTTCAGGAAGCTACTAGTACAAAAAAAGTACCGCGTACAGCTGATGCGTGCGCTGTTCACGAGTGCCCGGACACCGGGCGGGGTTGGTATGGCTCCTCGAGGCGTTTCACCTCCTCCTCGGTCAGGGTGATCTTGGTCGCGGCTGCAAAGGTGTCAATCATCATCCAAGAAGGAAGGCGAGGGTGTCCTCGCACGAGGAGCGTACCGACGAGATCCTCGAGGTTTTTGAGGCTGGTGGTACCGACGATCGGGGCTGTGACGCCCTCCTTGCCCATGCTCCACGCGACGGCGACCTGTGCCATCGTGATACCGCGCTTGTTCGCGATCTCTTCGATCCTGTAGCGACGGGCTCAGAAATTGGGAATCGCGCACGCGTTGAAAAAAAAAAAAAAGCTCGCTCACCGCGTGATGACTTCTTCGGCCCCGTACCCGAGGTAGCCGTTTTGCCATCTAGGAATAACGCGTTCGTCAGCGGCACGATGGAGTCGCGCGCAGATGCCAGGCGGATGCTCACGGGTCGGTCTCCTTACGCTTGGTGGTCGCGTTCAGCGGGCGACACACGAGCCCGCGCGCGAGCGGGGACCAGGGGATGATACCGACGCCGAAATGCTTCAGCGTCGGGAACATCTCGCGCTCCTCCTCGCGGTAGATGACCGAGTGGTGGTTCTGCATCGACACGAAGGGCGTGAGGTTGTGGGTGATCGCGTAGTCTGGACACGGTCGCAGCGTCAGTTCCTCGGTGGGGAGATGGGGTGAAGAAGGAGCGTACTCTGCATGACGCTGAACTGCCAAGCCCAGCACGAGCTCATGCCGATGTAGCGCACATAACCGGCTTTGACAACGTCGTGCAGCGCCTGCATCGTCTCTTCGATCGGCGTCTGGGAGTCGAAGCGGTGGCACTGGAGCACGTCGATGTAGTCCAGTTGCAGCCTCTTCAACGACGCCTTGACCGAGTCGAAGATATGCTGTGAATCCGACAGGATGAACCATCAGTCGTGTACGAGAGAGGGGGTGGACGTGGACGTGGACGGACCTTGCGGCTCAGCCCATGTTGGTTGACGTAGCCCATTTTGTCGACGTCGCTGAACACTGTGTCCTCCTCGTACGACCGCGCGACGGTGAAGAAGACCTTGGTCATCACAACGATCTCGCCGCGAGGCAGGTTAAGCTGCTTGATCGCGCGTCCGAGGATCTCCTCCGACAACCCATGCGAGTAAACCTGCAACACTTTTCGTCACGGATGCGAGGAGTCAAGTGTGAGAATGTACACGTACGTTCGCGGTGTCGAAGGTGTTGATACCAGCATCGTATCTACGATCCGTCGATACGATTTAGATTGCGCACTGTTCCGTATGAGAGTGCGATGACGTACGCAGCCTTGATGTGCTTGATCGCTTCCTCTTCTTCGAGGACCCAGCCTTGCCATTTGGGCGTCCCATACGACATGCATCCCAGAATGAGCTTGGACACCTTTAAACCGGACTTGCCGAGGCGCACTGGAGCCCCAGCGACGTCAAGCATGATATACCATGCAGAATTTCGAGCACTCACCATATGGCATCTCCTTCTTGACGATGGTGGTGGTAGTAGACATATCTTGGATATGGTGCTAGTGATTACGGGATGTGCGATGGGCAGAGGAACCTGGGAAGCGGGAATGAAGATGGCAGGTGTACCCATGAACCTCTTATAGCGCAGTAACCCATTCGTGAACCCTATCTCATAGGGTACGCAGGTGGATCGCGCGGGTCGCATGCCAGTCAGCACACGCCTATTCGTTCACGTTGCGTAGCCGTCCCGGCGTCCACCCCCCGGCTTGCGCCGCGCTTCCCGATGCATTCACTTTTATACTGCCTTCGTAAAGCCTCACCCACCCGGTGGGGGTCACGAGCATGTTTCGCCGCGGAGCTCGACGCCCAATGTTCAGCGTTCAACGACTAGAACAATCGATGCCCAGGTCGCTCGGATAGCCAGGCAAGGTCGAATCCCGGGTAGGACGCGTCGCGAAGTTGCCATATGAGTCGCAAGTGGAAAAGCACCGGTGCCATCGCTTGCCATTTGCTCATGCGTGCATGTGACCGTGAAAGGTGCGACACAGCCACATGTAAAAGGAGACTTGATTAATTTCTGGCCTGGGTTGATGACCCACTGAGATTGTTAGATGCTCCGTGTGCCCCATGGCTGAGTTGGTTACAGCGTCCGACTGTTATAAACTTCGGCATCGGAAGGTCGTGAGTTCGAGCCTCACTGGGGCAGTGACCTGGTACAAGTTCTGATGTGCACTGGATCGCTTTTTTTCCCTTTTACGTGCTTGCTTTCTATTCATCGTACCTTTTGCTGGCCAAATTATACTCGTGCACGTTTGGCGTGCTATTCAGGGTTCAGCGAATGTAACCCAACGCTGATTCAGCGCCAATGGCTGTGCAGGCATTCACCTCTTCGTCTACTGGACCTACGATCGTCCCTCCAATCCCCATTTCCCTCCTTTCTTTCTACCCTACGGTACAGTACCAGAGTCATGGGGAATGATGGAGGAAGTATTCCAGACCGGCGCGATCTCGTACGCACAAAGCCAAAGGTACGGCGTCCGATGTCGTTCCTCCCCGTCCCTCGCTAACTCAAGTCGTTGTCTCGTCGTTGTCGTAGGCCGAGCAAGCGGATAAGGCGAACCAGACTCGCGCTCGATGGCACTTCTGTGCGCTGTCGAAGAAGCCGCTCCAGGAACCCGTCGTGTCCTGTGCCCTCGGCAAGCTATACAACCGAGAAGCCATCATCGAGTACCTGCTAGACAAGACGGCCTACGGCGATGGACAGGAGATATGCGGGCACATACGGTCTCTCAAGGTGCGTCTCCTCCCGTCGTCCGCATCCGGCCGTTTCGCGCTCAGTTTCCAACGTATATCACATTCGTCAGGACGTCAAGACCTTGAAACTGACCCCGAACCCCGCGCCCCGGTCCACAGCGGACACCACCTCCGACGAGTTCAGGCCCCAGTTCATCTGCCCGCTCACCGCGAAGGAGATGACCGGCGCGCTTCCCTTCGTCTATATCGCCACCTGCGGCTGCGTCTTCTCGCACGCCGGGCTCAAGTCCCTCGCCTCCTCCTCGCCCAAAGACTCCCCCAAGGACTCGGCCACTCCTCCGCCCGCCGAGCACAAGCAGCTCGACCTCTGCCCGCAGTGCGGCGCCAAGTACGACAAATCGTCCGACGTGCTGCCCCTCAACCCCTCCCCGGAAGAGGAGGAGAAGCTCCGGCTCGCGATGGAGCTCAAGCGCGCCGCCGAGCCCGCTCCGACGACCAAAAAGGGCGGCAAGAAACGGAAAGCGGACAAGGTGGAGAAGGGCGAGGAAGGCGAGGCGAAGAAGAAGGCGAGGCAGCCGGTGCCGAGCATGAACCCGTCGATCGCGGCGGCGTCGAAGGCGGTGGTATCGAGCCTGGCGATGGAAGAGGCGAAGCGGAAGGCGGGCATGAGCGATGCCGTGAAAGAGCTGTATGCGAGCAAGGACGGCCCAAAGCGAAAGGAGACGTTCATGACCATGGGCACGTTCACGAGGGTGCGTTCCATTCTAACGTTGTTCAGACATATTGCGCTGACGGACTGCCTGTTGTATACAGTATGCGTGAAGTTGGTATTCTTTCGCTGTGTCGGATCTTTGGGTACGCAGGGTGGACGCTGGCGGGTTGGGCTAGGGCTAGAGGTTGCGTGTATCATGATTTGTATCTCTATTCGATGCAACCCATTCATTAATTCGGACATATCTCCCATCCAGCCTCTGCCTGCCGTTTGTGGATGACGAAAACGTTGGAATCAACGCTTCTGCTGCTGTCGTGCACACTAGAGACATAGGACAACGCTTTCGCTCTTCTCATTCACCGGCATCTCCAAGCTGCCGCTGTGTTTGGAGTTGGAGTTTGCTCTGATACATTACCCCGACGTCCGACATCCCCGTCCCGGCCCACTCATGTCCCGCTACGCTTACCCCGTTTCTGCACAGGAAAGGGGAGTGAACGTCTCCCCACGTCGATGCCCCAATCTTGCCGAACTGCGATCCTGGTTCGGTGGTGGTCCTTCAGCGCTGATTATGCACCGGACAGTCTTCTTGTGCGCCATCTCTACGATTTGTCTGCGGCAACGAGGGCGCGGAGTGGCTTTTACATCGTCTTGCAACGAATCGGCATGGCGCTGCGCAACGACGATGCCGAGGACGAAGAACCGGTCTCCACGGGATGCCTCGAACAGCCCACCATACCTGCAACTTTGGGTCGGCATTGCGCTCTGCGCATGACATCAAAGGATACAAGTCTTGTTAAAGAAGCGAAAACGCTCGAGTGTTATGAACGACAGCCACCACCACTCATCTCAGAAAGCCATAAACCACAAACTCGACCCCAACTTCATGATCGTTACAACACTCACATCTTCTCGAATGGGCTTCAAGTTGGCGCTGGCCGTAACCGTGCCTCCCCACCTTCGCCACCGCATAATGCGTAAGCCGACCCGCGTTTGCCTCTCGCTCTGAGTCCGGGGCTGCCAGTGATGGAACATTGTGCGACGTACAGTTCGGCGGTAAATGGTGCACAGGTTCGGCATGCGCAGACTGCCCCGATGTGAAGAAGAGGAAGATCTGAGCGCCGAGCACTTTGCAAATGTGTGGTACAACACGCCAACCTCTGTCAATCCATCCGCAGCTATTCCGTGATCTCCACCATAGCGACGCGCGCCCGAGAACGGGCAAACGTCCAGTGTGAAGGCGACATGAACGGATTCAATCGCGTTCCAACGCATTAATACCTCGTTGGCGATCCGTTCCTTGTCCGACAGAGTACCGGGCTCCGATCGTATTCATCCAGGCTGAACATGGTATACGACGTTCGGAGTTCATATACTGGCAAGTGCGATTGAATGGAAACCTCGACACGCGCATATCTCGGTCAGGCGATTAGCGAACACGGGATGGTATCTTCTCACTCAACACCACATCTTCACTCAGAACGTCTACGCTGATAGATGTGAACGTCTCTGTCATTAGACAAGGAGACACAGTGTCAACGATTTGCTCTCCGACGTCAACTGAGGCGAACGAGAGCGCTCCTGGAACATGATTTCGAGTCCATCTCTTCACGAAGTGTCGTTCTCGGAATATAGGCACAGTGGTCTATACATCTGCACGAGCCTCTGTGCCGCATACCTGCCATATGCGTATGATGGCTCAACTTTCCATTGCGTGCCTTGTCGGCGTTGGTGACCGGTCTCGCAAGTTACTGCGGCTCTCAGCGTCGACTGCGTATAAACCATATATAAACCTCGAGGTCCAGAACGAAAGGTGTTACTGACACCGGCGACGATGAAGTGCCTGAATCATCCGGCCAAAGCCCGTGATATACGTTGCCGTTTCCCGGGCAAATATCGCTTCCCTGTCTTTTCTGCGACTCTGAGAATCTTTGCCACTTCCTTGATACCAGTCGTCGTGGCATCCCCACGGATGTCTCGGACTTTCGACGCAAGGAACGTCCGATATGGCCACGGTCTCCGCTAACGGCGCCGGCTTACATGTATTCATATGTGCTTTCATTCGCCTTTCCACGGTTCCTGATATCCCGGAACTTTGTTTACCGCAATCGCCCGTGCTCTCTGATGCTGGGAGGCGCGTCTCGTCTCCGCGGGTTATCTTGTCCACGAGAAAGAGCAGTCTTGTACCAGCGCCGCGATCGAACACGGTAGCGACCGAACCCTACCTCCGTGACCTTCAAATTTGCTCCAGTACCATTGCGTCTCGTCCACATTTGCCCGAAGGGGCACGTCCTGAATCGGGCTCACACCGGCTTCCCATGGGCCGCTGTAGAAGATTGCTCACACGGCGCTTCTGTGGACCACCGCGAACGCTTCCCCATTTCGGTACTAGTCCCACTTCAGGAAAGCCCGTTCTCGCCTGTTCTCGCTCGACATTACATTACGACCGCGAAGAGAGAAGAGAGAAACGGAATACCCAAAAGATGAGAGAGAGAGAACATCGCTGCGCACGAGAACGCGGCGCTGCCATCTGCAATGATTTCCCAAAGGGTGCACATGTCCAACGAACCTGGCTGGCCAACTGTCCACTCACGATGACACGTTGCGATAGCCCTGGGCATGCAGACGCCAAGATTTCCGCCGGAAGGTGCGCCGAACGGTATCAAGCCAGCTCCCATCTCCGTTCGCCACCTGTCTGTCCCAAACGATATGATCCCCTCGAGAGAGAGGATGCCGAACTCTAATTGGGTATCTCCATATATTCGCGTCAAGCAACGGCCGCACGGTCCTTTTTCTCCCTCCCTGACATCCGCACCCACTGCGCATCTTGTCGCATTGCTCGCAAGTCTTTGTTTCTATCACCAAACCGAATAAATACTGAACACTGCCGATACAACAGAAAGAAGAGACCACAACATTGTACGGTACGGCCACGTCCACGTTACAGATGCGTCGCATAAGTTACTAACTCCTGACAAATAACACAGAAACCGAAACACATACAAGACATTGAAACAACAAACAACACAGTAGAATTAGTACGTGCATATGCGGCCCCATCTGCCAGGATGGAAATACTGGTGTGTAAGTCCTCGAACGTCGTGTGGTCGTACAACAACAGGGTGGATTAATGGTCGTTGGGGATTAACGCGAATGATGAGAGGAAGGCAAAAAGCGTGATGGTGGATGAGAGGAGAGAGGAGGAGAGCAGGCGCATACGCCAGCGACGCGAGCACGCCGGCGGGAGAAGACATCTTGACGAGGCTCCTAACGAGCCTCGTGCCTTCGATCGAGGTACGTGGCGCGCCACATCGAGTCCAGGCGTGTTCTATGTTGAAGGCGGGATCGTCCATCGTCGACGTCTTCTTTTTCCTTCCGTGTGGCGCGAGGTGTCACAACATGATCTCCCGAATCTACAAGGTTCACCTCGAGATTAGCGTCTTAACTTCCTCCCAAGGAGCCATAAAATTTTTTGTGGGTCCGCGTCGCTAGCCGGGATAAAGGGAATACCCAAAAGAGAAGAAGGAAAGGGAGGCGTGGAAGAAGGGGGTCGAGTACGATGACAGGCGACGTACATTTTTGCTGATGATTGCACTAGACGTCGGTGCGGGCCGGGTTCGCAGTTAAGTTTGTTCAGGCACCGAGGGGATGGGATCGATCGTCGTGAGGTTAAGATAGAGTAGAGCCGATTTGCATTTGCACGTCGCATGTTGGCACATATCAATGCAGGGGATGATTGATCGAGAGCGAGAATCCAAGATAGAAAGAAAAAGAAGGTCCAGATGAGTTTACGAGTTGCATGAGAGGTTATGCGTGATAGGAGAGGGAGCGAGCGAGCCAGGACCAATAAATCCATCTAGACACTTCCATCACGTTTTCGAGCGACAACATCAGCGAGAGGAGGGTATGAAAATAGAAGAGTGGTAATAAGACAACACGTGTGAAATGGAGTTGAGATGATAAGAAGGGACAGGAGGAACGATTCGAACGAGAAGGAAGAGCGGTTTTAAATCAACGCGGCATGTTCGAGATTGGACCGTAAGACGATACTACCCAAGGGGAATGAGGGAAGAGGGTGCGGGAGAAAGGAAAGGACTCACTCCTCCACCGCCGCCATTACCACGCGAAGCATGGCGGTATCCGTCGCAGTAGTGATGCTGGATGAAACATCAGTGTCGTCTCCCAGCGTCGGAAGGTATCAGGGGGACGTACTGAATGTAGACCTCCCGCTCCTTTGACCGACCGGCCTTCTGGGCTAACCGCGCGAACCGCTTCTTGAAGTACTCTCGCCCTGCACGCACGTCTCCTGGTTCGCCGTCGAAGTCAGGGAAGAAGTTCTTGATTGATGAATGTTCTATTTTCTGCTCGAAGAGGTCGTTCTTGTTGAGGAAGAGGATCTACATATGTATGTGAGTTGGTGACCTCGGGTAGACGCATATATGCATGAACGCACGATCGACGTTTGCTTGAACCATTGTGAATGACATATCGAGTCCCAAATCGTCATTGCGTCTTGCATTTGATTCTGGAGAAATCGTCGTCAGCTCTCGCTGGTGCAGGATAGCGTCGGGGAGATTTACCGCATCCTTATCTTCGACAAGGCATTGGTCATAACCACTGAGGCTAACCAAGAAGAGTATGCTCGTTACGTCTTGGAAGCAATGTATCCACTTCCGTCGCTCGCTCTTCTGGCCGCCGACGTCCACCATGAGCATCTCGTGATCTCGAAGGTCAAATGCAGTCTCCGTGATACCGATCGTTCGCGCGCGGGTTTGTACTATGTCCTGTTCGGTCGGTACGTATGTCGGTTGAAATATGCGATCTATATGGCTGTAAAAGTATGCAAGACTGGACGTTGCCATTAGCATCGTGGGGCGGACACATCCACAGGACAGTAAACACACTTCTCAGGTATCGCAGCTTCGTTCCCCCGCTCGAAGGCCTTCTTCACGTTGACGTCATTCCATAAAGCAAGTAAGGGTCCCTTATATGCGACCGGGAAGGGCTCGCCATCCTTGAGATCGGGTGCGTTCTCGACAAGCTGGACGCACTCCTGGTGCTCGTCCGCGACCTTGAGATCCATGTCATCCATCGCCTCCAGGAGCGCATATAGGCCATGCGTGATGTTGTTGAAGACCAGCTGCCGATAATACTCGATTTCTTGGGACGAGAACGCCACACGATGTATGAGGCGCATTTGCTTAAGTATCGTCGACTTGCCCGAGTCGCCAGAGCCGAGCAGGAGCACCTTCACTTGGTGGGCGAGCTTCGTCTTGGCCTACAGACGACAATGTCGTTAATACGGCATAGGTGGCGTGACGATCAATCGGGGGCCAGCTCACCTCCTTCAGTTCTCGCTCCGCCTCGCGATGCAACCGCTTGTCCTCCTCGGAAATCTCGACCACATTACCCGACGACAGACAGGCGCCCATAGCGTTAAGAGGAGAAGGTAAAAAGTGAAGGAGCGAGTATGACCGAGCGTGCGGTGTCGGCGGAGGCAGAAGGGCTTGATGATCTGGGTGAGCGTGGATAAAGTTAGCTCGGGCGTGGGCGGGCGCGCTCGCTGCGTATGGCGATCCTCACCTACGCTTCACCGACGTCGTCGGCACGTTGTGAGGCAAAGTGGTTGAACGTTTGCGGACCGGCGGGACGGGAAGACGAGGAAAAAAAGATGAACAACGAACAACGAACAGGTTGAAGGCAGGGCCACGACCTCAGTCCTGCCAAGGAGCGAGAGAAGCCACAGATCGTGGCAGTGACCAGAATAATGCCGGAGCTCCCACGGTCAGATGATGTTTAATTAAACGACGTGATCCTTCGCTTAGCCCTCAGCTCCAGCGGGAGCCCGCCAAATATCGGTTCTCTTGTCAATTGGGCTGCAACGGATGGCGCTTTCTGCGAGAACGACTTACGGTCGGAACGAATGGAGTCAGCACGCTAGTTTTGTAGCGTAACAGCGGCCTTAGCAACGCACCGCGGCCGCGAGCTGCCTATTCGTGGCAATTCGCTTTCGTCGGCATGATGGCTCGATTTCCGTTGTGTGGCGCGCTGGTCGTCGCCACAAAGGGTCCGTTCGACCTGCAAGCACTTGCCGAATTCGAGCAACCGATCACTCGACAGCAAGTAGTAATCGCTCTCGCTAAGTCGCAAGCGCCATTGTAATGCCGGGCATGTTATGTTGATCCTTAGTATTGATCATCAATCAGTCCATGCTAAGGAGCATCAGAAACGAAGAGACACATCGTACCCACAGCTCACAATATCACGCGGTTTCTCCCGTGCTACACACTACCCGGCTGGGTTTATTGCGTGCAACTGATGACGATACGTTCCTTGTTCCTCCTGGGGCCTGAACTTGAACAGTCTCACGGGATCTGCCGTCGTCGTTGGTCTTGAGTCATATCCTGGCAATATTCGCTGCGGCCTTTCTGTGTCGTTCGGGCCCAGTCAGGACCTGGGCAATTTCTCCAGAGAAAATGAGCGCCTCGGAGCTCACGGAGCTGCGCATATTGCCCCGCGTTTTGTGGCAAGATGGGATCGCATGGCGCAAGGTCAATCAGCTGTCCGTGGCTTCCCCCAGTCGATGAAGAGCGTTCGAGGGTTGATCCGACATGACAATCATCATTCGAAACGCGCAAGGGCTCGGGCGCATGTCCGATGCCACAGGCCGACTGGCAATGCCCGAACAAGTCGCCACGTCTTGATTGCATTCACAGATGCATGCCATCTCGATGGTTTGCGAGAGTTTAGCGCACTTGAGCCTACTAGCTGCTTCTACCAGGGGGAGGGGACTTCGAACCGCTATTGAACCCTGTCGGTCGAGGTGAGAGCCCTTGGATCTCGCTCCGCAATGGTTACTGTGATTACATGAAGAAACAGCTTGGCGGTCAACACGGCTATGGTATACTTTGCGTGAGGAAACTGTACGGCGTACTCGTGGGTTCACGCGTACGTATTGCGCGACTATGCCAGACGTATCACACCTTGCCAGTCACCAAGGCCAGTGTAAGAACACCCGCAAACAATAACATGGAAGTGCCCGCGTAACCTGCGCGTATGTGCCCTGGAATCTTGTTCAACTCCCTGTCTGCTGACCACAAACTATCGGCGGCAGACACTGAGATAGCTGCTTTCACCCGTGCTGCGGTGTATGTTCCGTGCCGCACTCTGGACCCGATCCCCACCTCATCGGACCCCATTACCGTTCAGGCCCTCGCGTTCTAGACCAAACACTGCCAACCGTACATGATGGTCCGTTACGTCGAAATCCCACATAATCTTCAGCCTCGACGAAGACAACGCTAATACCGTGACTGCCCTGAAGAAGCGTAAGATACGCCATCATGTCATCCTTCGCCGGTCCGGAGGGCGCTAGGCACGACCGCCTTTACTCCCCTTACCCATGTTTGTGTGAAGGATCGAGAGCGGGTACCTCAGGCGCAGAGCGGCTGATGCAGGTGAACCTAGCCGCTGCTTTCCGTATTCCACCGCCGCCGTTGAACTCAAGGTACGATATGCGTTCCAGTCCGTCGTCGTGGAGAGATTGTGAACAATCACCGAACGCGGTGATAGAATAAACGAGTGATACCTCCTCTTCGAGTCGTCTCGTTCTTTAGGTTATGTTTCCATTTCAATGTCCTCCGGAGACTGTGGAGACGCACCAGACGCCGTATTGGCCGTTTTTATACCTCGAACGAACGGTGCATCGATGCGGACTATACAGATCGATTCTGCACGCTCCTTCACCAGCGCACGGTACACACGCTACTCGTATAACTCCAACTTAAGCTTTGGCTTGGAGTGGACAAACGTACCGCCGCTGGTCCAGACATCCTATCTGTATACGGCCAGGCAAGGCCTCGTTCCACCTGTCGCCCTTGGATACTCTGATAATCACCGAATTACATGGAGGCTAGTACCGTCCCATACTTTTGGCCTACTCGGCGGAATGGCGCAAAGATTGGACAGTTAGTTACCAAGACAAAATGTGAACACCCTCATGACACGGTTACGATTTGAGAATAGGTGAGTGTTTCGAGCGCGATATCGGGACGAGGCGACCGCGATTTCAACAGCATCCATAGGTCTGGAACCTGACCAATGGCTGTCTTCTTCGACGCACGAATCGCGTTGTCCGAGAGACCTCGCACCATTCATCTGGTCGTTTCCGCTGGAATACCCCAGCATGGTATGGTCTCGTATATACTTCGCCACATTTCTCATCTACCGCTCGAGCCGAGTAGCGCGCCTCTCCGTTCCTAGCTCACAGGCTCCCATTCATTCATATCCAAGTAATAGATCCTCTCACCGTGCGACGACAAATCTCATCTCAATATTTAAGCATGCCTAAACATCGTTGCCAGGCAATATCTCTTTCATTTACGGGCTCAGCGAGAAATTTCTGGAAACTAGTTACCCAGGTTCATTAACCTTCCGCCGGGCTTCGATTTTGTATTTTCTTCGCTCGTTGCTGCTCAGGGGTACCGTTGTTGTGTGCCCAGCTGGCCGGACAGCTGAAGGCGGTGATAGTGTTGCATATTTACCGTACGAAGGAGGACTCCCACCTACATTCGAGCTGCGTCTCACAATCTTCTCGACATTAATCGCTTCTTAGGAGGCGTGGGCACCCGTATATAATGAACGTCGCAGCCTACGTCTCGATATCTGCGCTGCTATCGCTCGCATCGTATCGGCATGCGAACATCGCGAGTATCACCTCCACCGAAGCTGAGTCTGCTTCGACATTCCTTGGCGTTTCACGCACATTCCACTTCAGCTTCAGCATCGCATCGCACAAAACAAATATCATATATGCGTAACGAGCAATGATTGGGCTACCGATCCCCGCTTCAGCAGTCCTCACGACGTTTTGTCTTTTGCTTTTTGTCAGGCGACTCTCCCACAGCTTCGGAACCCGTTTTCGAAGCTTCCCTCGTGGTGATACGATTCTGTCGGTTTCTCTGGAGCGATCGCCGTAGCCACAGTTGCACGCGAACAGCGCGAAATTTTTCATGTGGTGGAGAGCTGGACGTCGGTGACCGGCTGCGCCTGACCTTCTCGCTTCCTCGGATCATATGCAGCCACTACGCCGTTCAAGATGAGACTATAGATATGAAAAGGCGTGCCTGTCTATACCATGAGATAGCCTGGGCCTCGCCGCATTCACGGCTCTGGTCACCCCAAAAAGCCTAAGACATCAGTTCTACTGCCACTGCGCAGAATATTGGGATCGAAAGTCAGATAATGACCTCACATGCACTCTTGTCATTCAGTCTCGCGCGCCAACCCAGCACCGACGTTCAGGTGTCAATGGAGACAGCGGCAGGCGAGACTCAAACAGAAGCAACAGGTCCGGATGGTCCGATTCTCGGTGGCAGTTTCCACGACGCCATGGTCATAATGTAACTCCAGCGTAGGTGTCATCCATTGCGTCCGCTATTCTTGCGGCGATGGGCGCTAACACGTGGAGTAAACCGCGCCGGTCGGGACACTCTAAAGTAGTCGAAGGCGCATGAACGCATGAATCATTGAAATGACGATTATAGGCTTGAACTCCCTGCTTATCTCCACATCGTCCGAGTGCACCCCAGACTTACTGCGGATACCGTACGATCGTTCGTTCCGCTGACAATGCACGTCGTCGTTCTTCCCCTGCGAGAATCCACAAGGTCACAAAACTCAGCCGCCGGACCGCAATACCGAGATGTATTGCCAAGCTGCACGATGATCGCTACGCCGCAATCGAGATTTAGCGGCAATAGGATAGGACATAGTCACTAATGTTGCGCCAACTCACCTGCGACGACGACGAAAGGCAAGAGCGATCTTGTTTTGATAAGAATTCATCAACAAGCACTGTTTGACCCCAAATAGGTTCGTCGATGAAGCACTCCGAACGCTGATACACTCCAGACGGCGGTCCTATTGCCCATGGAAGCCGCTCGTCAGAGACCGAATCCGTGAGAGTTGCCAGATACAGACGCACGTTCCCTGCGCCAGAAGGGATCCCACGGGGTTGAAGCAGGGAAAAGCGCGGGTCTCGAGAAGTCGTCAAGCTTTTCCGCGGCAGACCTGCGTTGCCCGAAATGCGTCCCCAAATGGGCAACTGCAGGCTGAGTAGATTGTGAGGACCGGGTCATATACCCTCGAAACGGAAGTCCTTTCTGTAGCCGCGCAAGAACTGACTGGGGACAGCAAACTTCCATAGCTCATCACCGTGCCAGCCGTAGGCATCGACGAGAAGACGCTCGGATGCCCCCTACTCAAACTCCAAGAGAACCGGCAGGAGAGGGAAACTTGAGGTGTATATCCGAAGTAGAGGCGAGGCAACGCGGGTCTTGTTCTCTTGGAGCATATCCATGGTTGGAAATAGCGAGCACTGAGAGAAGAAGTCGCGATGGCGCTCCTTCCTGGGTGAATTCGGTGCCATGCAACGAGGCACGGATCCTGCGGAGGTTGATCTTGCGAGGCTCTGGAGTACTCTGCGGATTTAGCCAATCACCTCGACGACCCATGGCCTTGTCCATGTGGAGGCGAGATCGCAGTGCTGGATGCGTAGCGAGTGCCACTGGGTTAACACGTTCATCCCGAGCATAGGTCAGGGTTTGTGAATCCGGCAATATGGAAGTGAACCGGAAGGACAGAGATGGATGCTCAACTCACGTTGCTCCGGTGGTGTGGTTGGCCCTGGTCTGGCTCCCGACGGCCGCCCCTCCACTAACGCCATTCCTCCATCAGCTGGCCGCCAACTTGACGCCAACAATCGGACAGGCCGCGTTCATATCCGCCCCCACCGCCGTTCCGCGTAGCCGTATCAAGAATCACCTTCTGGCCTCCTTGACCAGATCGGGGTGCCTTTGTACAGGGCTATGTCAAAGCTGCGCCCCTTACTTAGATTCGGCGATCCATCGGCAGGGGGCGTACGAGTTCCTGGTCGCCCTTCCTCAGATGCAGAAAGCCGACTCTCCGCCGTTTCGTTCGCCGCTTGCCTTTTCGGGCCCGAACCCGTTCCATTTGGCTTCCTGCGGCCCAGGCCCCGCTTCGAATTCCTTCTCGCACACTCTTGAATCTGATAATCATCTTCGGCCTCTTCCGACGCACAAGAGAGGCCGTGGTTCTGGGCGCGTGCTTGCCGCAAGCGACGTCACCATGGCGCGGATGAGTAAAATGGCATGGCTGCTTGATCGCTGCGGCGATTGGAAGAAGAAGAATTCAAGAGAGAGGAAATAGCGACCCGTGACATATTGAATTATACATACCGAATTATACATACCGAGCCCAGGTTTTATACAGCTTTGCCTTTTCGTCCGCGCGTTCTCGAACCAAAAGCGGGGGCAGAGTTCCATATGAAGTGCGAGGATCACGGGGGCGACGTGTGGCCGGATTATGATATCCGCCGGATATGCGTATCCCGCGAAATACGTGATGCGATCTCCCTGATGGGCTCAGAACGCCGGCTGTACCGGCCGCGGACGCGATGAGGCTAACGTCCCGCGACCGGTGCAGCGGCCGTAGACTCGAAAGAGCGAGGGGCTTCAAGGTGGCCTTGCGCCGGCGGCGGGTCGTATGTAGTACGCAGCGGAGGTGATTGAGCGGGCAGCGATATCCGAACGAGCCGTCGCCGCGATCAAATCCGTTCACCATCCCTAGAAAATTTGGGAGAATGAAGAAGAATTCACGAACGGTCCGACGTACCACGCTGGAGCCGCCGTCCGGCCGATGATGTTTGTCGTTGCTGCGTATGTGAATGATCGTCAAAGCGCCGTCCGCCGTTGGTGCAAGGGGACCGAATTGCGCACGCGATCGTACCAACGAACCTGTTCGCTCCGCGTGGTTGTGCTCCTATCATGAGAAGCCTTGGGGCTTCAGCAAACGCGGCGGCGGGCGTGCATCTTTTCGCCAGAGAAGAACGGGTCACTACTACTGGTCACTGCTGTCACCGCGGCTAAAGGGATAAGGAGGATGCTGTTTGGGCAGTTACGAGAAGACGCCTTACTACTGTCATGGCTATTGACAACCATATCGTACATTCAATCTCCGGAAACGCGACCGCTGAATGCGATGTAACAACAACACAGAACAACAACGTTACTTCGTCCCGGCGCGGCCCTTCGCTCGCCCGGAACGGTACCAAACCCCTGGGATGATTGAATCAGTATCACGTTTGGACATCGGCTTCCAAGGTTCAGAACGGAGAAACAGCCCATGCTGTCTAAGTTGACCTATCCAAGGGATGATGTTGCTGCGGCAGGCTGAGAAAAACGACCCCATGTTTAAGCGCGCGTCCCGCGGATTCAGAGATGACATGGCGCTGTTGGCGAACGAGAGGCACCGTGACCACGCCAATTGGTTCTTCGTGTGTTCGCCTCGGTGAAGACCGAGGAAGGAAGGTGGATTACGTTGACAATGACACACGTACTGGTACTGTAGCTGAACATGACACGACTCCATCAAGCGACAGCTTGATCACTCCGACGCCGTGAGCGGCGGGCGAAGGATCGCCGCCGCGTGTTTATCGATGGTTCACACATGGGTAGCGCAACGAACAACCCGGCGGGGAACTAACGAGCGGTACGAATGTACAAACGTTTCTCGGATAGACTTCAAGGAGCCGAAACGGGTGTGTGGGGTGGGGTGTCGCGCGTCAGCTCGAACGTCTCGAGTTCATCGCGCGACATCGGAGCTAATCCGAGAGGTGTCGGTCCGGCCTTGTGGGGGTGGCGTGAGGACGGTACGAAGACGGGGTAAGTATATGTAAGGATCGCGCGATCAAGTGGGCAGGGAAGGGGACGTGGAGCCCGCCATAGCGGGAAGCGCGAGAGACAGAGCCCGAGATGGCCTTATGTCGGACAGAACACCGCTATGGGGTTCCTCAGCAGTACATACAGACGGTCATATCAACCGAAGGTGCGGATCAGAGGATTCAGAAAGGAGTGCACTGGTCAACAGAGAGCCGACCGCGACGGCGCGCACTGATGATGCCGTAAAAAGAGAAAGGAGAGAGAGCCGTGCTGTCTTGTTGTCCGCATTCGACTTCGCAGCGTGGTGCCGGCCGGCCGCAACGAGTGGGTTCAGAGTGGGCACAGGCGAGCCGGGATCCCACATGATGGGCGAGAGAGCGGAGCGAGGAAAAAACAAACGAGGAACAACAACAGGAGAGGGGTGCGATGCGATGCGTTGCTGCGCAAGTTCGAGTTTGTTGGGATGGGATGGAGAGATGCGCGGCGTCACGGAGATCGAAGCCGTCACCAGAGAGAAATTGCCGGACGTGGACGCGATATCATCTGCTACGTAGCACGCCAGCCATCGCCAGCGATGCATGAGGTCGAAGACGTGGGAACTGCTGCGCCTTGCCCCGCCGCCACAAATAGGCGCAAACCCGAAGGCGGTAAGTTCGATCGTGGGCACCGTGGCAGCTGCCCTTTTTGCGCGCTTGGTCAAGACTACGGAGAGATCAAATCTGGCGCGGCGCGCCGTTGTGATCTCCTGAACACATGCACACTTACGATCGAGAGAGAGAGCGCGAGACGACTAGAGACGAAAGAGACCAATCGGTACGGTATGGCCGAGCCAACCGACTGGAGGGACATCGAGGCCTCTGCTGCCGGCGGAGGGTGGTGGCGCTCAAAGATTGGAACGGATCCGAGCCAAGCCCTTGCGGCAGAACAGAGATGGATGGGTGATCATGTCAAGAAGGTCCTTAACGCGAAAAATGTTATTGCAGTTCGGCCCCAATGATGCTATCGCATAGAGGCTGGGCCGATTACATTGATGCCTTTACCTTACCAGATTAGAGTGTGTGATGCTGCAAAGGAAGCTCGGTGGAGGCGGCGTGGTCGGGGCAAAAAGTCTGTTTCGATGTAATAACTTGCCGCTATCAGAAAAACCTGTAGAGCGGCGCAGCGCGGTAAGAGAGTTGTCGGGTCCGGTCACTACTCCTGAACTGGGTATAGCTAGTCCCGTTCACGCGCATCGAGAGAGCGATCTGTCCGTTTTGCTATCAGAAAATTGGGCAAGCGAGAATCCACCCGAGACGGCGACCAAGGTGGGGAAGAAGACCCGCGCGCAGGGGGAGTCTGAATGAAGAGAGACGAACGTCGGAACACGGTAGTAACGAGGGCGAAAGTGACACGGACACGGGTAATTTTTGGGACGGACAAGGCGCCGAGGAAAGCCAGGGCCGTCGGGAAGGTACGCAAAACCGTTTTGGTGGAAGCGGTGGCGCCAGAAAAGAAATGGCTAAAAAGGCGTTAGCGGACCCAAAGATCACGCCGGCGGGGGGTCCTTTGACGGCGGAGGGCTGTTCTGGGAAGGCGACCTGCCCCAACGGGACAGGGGCTTGGGGGAATCTCTGGGGAATCCCCTGTGCCGCTCCGCCGAACGCATGCACGTGAGGGCGGCTGCCCGATGCGGGAGACCTGATGAGTGGATCTGAACAGGCTCAGATCTGCAAAGGCGAGCACATTTTAGGCGAAAGAGTCGTGTGGAACAGGAGCTGCGCTAATCGCGCGTAGACGCGTGCCCAGCTGTTTCTTGCAACCGCTCTTCTCCGGAATCACGGCTCTCGTCGCAGCCCCCTGTTTGTCTGGAACCGGAAATGCACTCATTTTCGACTCTACCGACTCCGAGTGCTTTGAGATGGCCTTGAATAAAATATGGCACTCCGAAGGCCACCAATCCTTCTCCTGTCTGCTGGCTAAGACCGATCCACTCCTCCCCAACCTCGTCAAAAGCGAACAGGTCCATGCAACTTCCGCTGAGCCCCTCCTGCAAGGTCATGAACGCGACGCTACCCTCCCTCTCCTCGCTTTCGTCCTGGTCATCATGGAGAGAACCTAGACATGACGTGACCTCACTGCCGTCTACCTCTACCTCTCGTCGACCGCCACAAACCCAGCATGCGGTTACCCTACCGCCGTTCCCGCTATTGGATCGCCACTTAGCTCGTCCTCGTATGTCCTTGGTCTGCTCTTGGTGTACATGAAATGCTCATACACGCGCTCGAAGTTACCCCGCATCGACACGAATCCGATCCTTCATGGCGAAGAGTAGATATGACGCCTACGCGACTACCGCCCATCGAGACGAGCCGCTCGCGAGACACAGGGCTCTCGTCCAACTTCGGCGACTACGTCCAAGTCGGCCCGCCGAGTCCGTCGCCCGCGGCACAGATCGCGGAGTGGTTCAGCGTGTCCAGCACGCGCTCGGCGCAGTTCATCGCGGAGAAAATGTGCCAGATGGTCTGCTACCTTTGGTTCGCGAACGGCCCGCCGGCCTCGGCGCGCGCGCGTCGCGATCACTCGCCCTCGCACTCGTATTCGTACAGGCGGACCGCGTCCTCGACCGCCGCGCTGCAGTTCTCGGCGTCGCCTCAGTTCGTGTCGTTCATGCAAAAGCTGCTGGAGACGACGCAAGTCAGCCAGTCTGTGATCGTCCTGTCGTTGCATTATATATATCGATTGAAGGAGCGTAACGCCTTAACTAATGGTCAACCTGGGAGCGAGTTTCGGGTGGCCGTCGCCGCCCTCATGATGGCGAACAAGTTCGTCGACGAGTGAGTGCTATCGATATACGCTATAGGTCTCGGCATTGACGGTCTCTTACAGCAATACGTACACGAACAAAACATGGTCGGAAGTGTCAGGGATCCTCCTCGACGACATCAACAGGATGGAGCGGGAGTTCCTTCGAGGGATCGACTTTGGACTCTACGTGGACAAAACCACGTATGAGTCGTGGCTGAACCTGCTCAATGGCCTCGTGTTGGCGAAGGAACGCGAGTCGAAGCAGTGGGAGCAGTCGAAGCTTCGGCGGCATCCGCGTGCTCAAGCCCTTCCCCATCCCATGCCGACCCCTCACGGCACGTCGTACTACGGCTACGCCGCCTCAAGACGCGTCCCTACACCGCGGGCGCGTTCGTCATCGCCGTCCAGGCCGACATTCAGGCCCGCGGACGTTCAGATGGGATCGTCCGGTGCCCCCGCTCCTCTTCATCTGCCTCCCGTCGGCTCAAAACGATCCGCGAACGACGCGTTCTCCCCCACATCGGCGACGTTCACGCTTCCCCCTCTGAAGCGGCCCGCCGGCGTCTCGCTCGAGATCCCGTCTTCCACCTCGCTCCCCAAACCCCAATCGATCTCGCCCACCGAACCCCTCTCGTCCTTCTCTCAACTTTCGCTCACCGCCCAGTCGACTTCGACTTCTCCCGCCGCACACGCTACGCCCGCCAAAACGGACGCCGCACGGACGCTCGCAGCGCCATATCGGATGGACCCGTCGAGGGCTCAATACGCGCCTTCGGTCAGTTCAATGTTCCACAGTTTCGATAAAGTCGAACACCCGATGCTAATTGCGCATACATTCACAGATCCTGCATTACTATTCGCTCGCATGTTCGCCTACGGATCCCGCCACAGACGCCGAGCTGCCCGAGAGCCGCGGCCAAACCTACGCCCGCAAAACGCGTCTGCGGTCGTACCAGCCGCCCCAAGCTGCCGCCGCGCCGCCGCCCGTACCCACGCCTTACTCCTACGCGCCGCAGATCGTGCACAGCGCGTCGACGAGCCCGATGCATGTCCACATGGACTTTGCCTCCCAGCACCATCGTCCCAATCCGTACCCGACCTTGCCTCAACTTCCGAGCTTCGGCGACTCGGCGTGGACCCAACCGGCGCGAAGCTTGAACTCGCCGTACGCTGTTGCGCTGGGGGGTGCAGGAGCGGTGGACAACCGGAGCCCGGAACAGGCCCGGCAGTCCGTTCCCTCGGCGCCATTCGCGAACGCTGGTCCCCCTGGCGTCATATTCCATTCTCCGGCGGACAGGCCCGTGTCGTCGGGTTATCAGCGTGCATCGCCTATGTATGCGTATGCGGATTACTACGGACGCGGGCGGCGGACGTAGGTGGGGGCCTGGGTGTTCAGGCCCGCATTTCTTACACGACGGCTTTGTTTTTGTTTTTTTCACGTTCATATGCGGACTCTGTCCATCTGTACCGCTTCACGATCGCATTCTTTTTCTTCTTTCGTGTTCCTCCCCCTTACGCCATCATGCAATCGCAACGAACCCCAACCTTGACGCTTTTTCTCGAACTTTTGCACCCACACACAACCATCAATCTATCTCCTCATTCATATTGGACTCGGCAGCGCATATACATATACACATACACACACCCATCTTATCTTACCCGGCTTACTCTGCCCAACCCACGCATATATCCACACCCAAATTGTTACATCACGTCCCCTCGCATAAATTACCACGACGTTCTTACCCTTCCATCCTCCTGTTCCGCGTCGCATATGGTTTTCGCCGGGCTCCATTCGAGCCTGGGTTTCCGGCACGCCACTTCCATAGAAGGCACTGTATTCAAAGTTTTGTACCAATACGCACCATATCCAACTGTACTGCATTGGGATATGCATAATGTTTTCATAATTTGCCCGGCAATCCCCTTCCGTTTCGGCCTGTGCTTTTTTTTTCGTGAGATATATCATGTGGAGAACTCGGATGCAGTACATCCGGGAGCTGTGTGTGCACAAGGGGACGGCATGGACACACACGCTCCAGCTTTTTTCTCGCTTGATTTCCTTCTTGTTTTTTTTCTTTTCTCGGCGCCTTGCATTGATGGGGGGAACGAATCTCTTTTAGCTTGCAGATACGTGATCGTGAGAGAGTATCTCCCTCCATACAGTACAGTTCCTCCCTGGCCGCTATTATTCGGAACGCGGGCACATTGTCTCATTTCGGTCGGACAGCGGAGGTCGCCCCTCAGATCTGTTTCTCTCCTGAGATGGACAGGAGAGGCTCGCGTATATATGTGGTGCCTTCCATCGTTCTTGTTCATCACGCCCGGCGCAAGCCAGTGAAGGCCGCCGGACTCTCCGCTGCATGCTGTCTCGTCCGCGCTAAGCCACCATCATAGAACCCTCCGGAGGAGGGGTCACTCCCGTCCGCAAAGGGGGGTTACTGTTGCTCCTGATTCATTTCGCTGGAAAGCTCCGTTGGAAAGGGGAAATGCCGGCTTTATGGTAATGATCGCTGATTGAAGCGCGTATGATCGTGGACGGATGATGCAGCATGGATGGGATAGAGACTAGAGTGCGCACAGTGCGGGGCCAGGAGGTGGCGGGAGCTAGAGCGGCTGCGGATGAAGAAGATTACTGGGGCTCACAATTAGGCGTGGCATGCCGCTGGCGCTGTATGTATATCTCGGTCGACTTGATATCCCGCGTTGGCGCACACATGTAACGTTACACGCAGTCGATCTGCCAGACGATCCGAGAAAACTACGTGTGCAAACGCGTCAGCGATGCCCTGCACAGACGCGATTGGGGCCTAGCCAGCTCTCGGACCGCTTGAGACGGAATGGGTGGGCGCACGAGGCGGTTACGCTTGATTGACAGTGGTCTTGCGGAAAGGTATCCCGATTTGGGCCACTGAATGCATGGCGCTGCACATCGGTAATCGCGAGCCCGTGTGACCGGGTGACTTTTGCCGTAAGACGCCGCGCTCACTACTGAGAGACCGGATCGTAGTCCCCACCTTCAGCTGGTCGTAAGATGCATGGCTGTCTTCAAATTTCATCGATGCTGGTGCAAGCGGTGAATCGTAGAACCTGGGGCGTGGTTTCTACCCGAGTTTCCATAGAACCGAGCGGCGGATAAGCTAACGCAAGGCAGACTGGAGATTCAATAAGTGGAATACCGAAGACGACAAGGCACCATCGACGTTCGAACGATTCGCGAGGCATCATTACTCAGGATGCGCAATGCGTTGGAGACACGCAAGCGAGGAAACCGAGCCTCCACGGCGATGATGGGTGACAGCGTTCCGGCAATCGTCCGAAGCTTAGAACGTTGCCGCCGACATGTCCGCTGCGTCTTGCTTCAACCTGGCAGCGGCAGCTGCTTGCTCGGCTCTCAGCCGCGCCAAGTTGGTATTTTGAAACGCGAGGGTGAACTGCCAGCCGGATAGCAATCCTGTCACTGTAAACGAGGTTCCGAACGGTCAGCATGCGAGTCCACGTAGACAATAGGGATAAACATGACCCCGTCATATCAAAACTCACAAGCGAAAGAGAGGATCGTGTTCGTCCGATTGAACCGGAATAGCCTGGAGCCCACGATGGCTGGGATGAATGTGGTAAGCAAAACTAAGTGAAACCCCGATAGGTTACGTTTACCTCCGACTAAGCCTGCGGAGGCGCCAGCGAATACGCCATCACGGCGTGCTTGCTACCCGCGGATAAGAAGGTTTCGGTCGTGAATGGCTGCGGTTAGTTTGAATACAGCATCAGAAAACCTACGCGATAGCACTCAGCAACGGCGGCTTCGTCCACACTTGATGCCATGAGAGAGCCTGTTCGTGATAAGAAGGAACCCTGCACCTTCTGGCTGCTTGGAGTATCAGCGTATGATTCACGGATTGGCCGCGTAACTTAACTGGGGAGAGGTGACCTGGCAAATGACCGCGGTCACGTTGGCGCAATAAAGGCGTTATTTCCCACGGCTTCAATAGCATTCACGGCGGAGTCCGCGTTGGGCTATATGCGCGTGCTGCCTTCCAAACCGCGACCGCGTTCTTCGGTTTCATAGCTATGTCGGCCACGAAGAACAACACTATAGCGCAACTACACGTGACATATGACAAACTGAAAGGTCTTCGCGTGTATTTAGCCTCTATGTCCGCCTTGACCAACAGAGTTGTTCCAGCTGTATTGACCAGGATCAAACCCAAGTTAACCGACATCAGCCATTCAGATCGTACTGCCTTGATAAGGGAACTCAATGAAGTCGCGGGGCTTGCACATGCGTTCTCGAAACAACGCCCTAAGTCGACCAAAAACTGGCAGGAGATTGCGGACAGCCTGGACAATGAAGGTGCGCGCGGTAGTTCCATCCGGATCCATATGCATCCCATTTCTCCGCGTTGACGCGTCAGGCCCTCTCTTGCGCCACGGCGCTTCAAGGTGTGGGCGTGTGGAACGCTTCCGGTATCCTTCGTCAGAACTCCGACACAGGAAGCCGCGCGCTCTTCGCTGCTCGTACGCACCTTCAGTCGTGACTCGTTCTTGTTCTTACCTCATGCGCGATCCCAGTGCGAGCGGCTGGGTTCCGCTTGATAGAAGCCGGGCTGGAAACAAAGCCTGGAGTCGAGAGTGAGTTTCACGATGCGGAGTCGGATGGTGTTGGCTTCAATGCCAGATCTCGACTGATTGCGCGGAAGCTTTGGCGCATGCACTCCAGTTGGCCAGCAAAGCAGGCGCGGCTCTATCAGGTTAGCGCTCCACGACCCTGTAAGACGATTTCATATTCTTATCCTTTGCGCGCAGAAGTGGGGAACAACGATGCCGCCGCCAGCATACTCGGATCCGCCGCTGTCGTACGGATATTGTCCCCCTCAGGTCCGACATTCGCGCGGCTGATGTGATCTTGGCTCCTGTCGTCCCAGTTCGAAGAGACCCTCAGGAGTGCCGATGACCCGGGGGGCGCCCACGAGCAAGCGAGGGCGCGTGCGACGATCAATTACTTTACATGCCGCATGGAGGCCGTGAGTCACTCAGACCCATATATGCGCTTGATTCTCACGACCCGGTATCGTGGACGTACAGGCCTGGCGTGAAGGCAATGACGGAGTTGCCCATTTCATGTTACAGAAGATCACCGGTCCGTACCAATTAAGTTGAGCAACGATCCGAAGTTCCCGTCTTACACGTGACAATGTGCAGAAACAGACCATCAGCGTTTCGCACTTGTGCTACCCCAGGACGTAAGTTCATTCCGCATGACATTCCGTAGTGCGCGTCTCTCACCGGGCAACTCCACGTAGCGCGAGGAGGTCGCCGCGAAAGTGATGCAAATAGGTCGATCCTACCTCAAAGTGCCTGAGAGTGAACGTGCGTTGGGAATCACTGCGAAGCGCGCACAGGAGGCAGTTCGCTGGTTGCAGAAAGCGTTTTCCCTAGTAGAGCACATTGACGTTGCCGCTACCCCGGGCCTTGCGGAGTTGAAGGTAAGAGGGTGGCACGTCGTATTGATCATCTTTGACGGGCCAATCTAGCGATCCGTTCTGCGGAGCCTCGGTCAGCCGCTTTTTTGCATCGCGGCCTGTCGCTTCGATTCACCCTCGATCCTTACAGCTCGCGCGTATTACCACTCCTCCTCGCAGGATCCGGAGAATCTCACGCGTGCAGAAGCCACCCTCCGGGAGCTTCTCGCATCCGTCAACGAATCGCCCCAAACGGTGAGAACTCTCGCGTGTGCGACTGTCCATCTGCTGAGAACGATCCCAGGGTAAGCCGGAGTATCAGCAACTAAGATGGATGCGGATTGCGGTGTTGAAGCGGCGCAAGGCGCCCGATTCGCTGCTTCTGGACGGTCAGTGGGTTCATGTGCGGCAACGGGTGCCTCGGCATTAACAGGGTTTTTCATCGTCCAGCATTTTATGATGTTATCGATCACATGAGCTATACAGATGAAGATGTCGCCGAGTTCGTAGCAACTCACAGCTTCCCGAACGCAAAGTCAATAGATCCTTCATTAATTCTATGTTTAGTGTCCTACAAGATCTGCGGACTCTAAACCAACAACAGTGAACTGCCTTCGTTTTTCTGCGTGGACGTGAACTGATGCTGTCAAGCGATCTGGTAACGTCTGCCACAGGACATCTGATACGCCGCGCGCTGGCGGCCCCCGACGACGCCGGTGCTGCGTTCGTTGGGAAGTTGTTACTCTCGTTCATCTACCACGTATCCAAAGGCACCGATCACAAGCAAGCTCTCGTGGAATTGAGCAATGTATTGACATGTGGGTCATCCCCATTCTGTGCACGCGAAGTCGTTTCTGACTGCGAAGATAAGCTATTGTGGAGACGGGCTTTGACCTCCCGAAGGTCCCAGCCGCGGCCTGCCTCACGGTTCGTAGCTTCGTGGCTGGGTCTATTCGTCTATTTACATCGCTTCATTCATGTTGTATGGATAGCTCCTGTGGCAGCGTGGTGAACGTCATTACCTCGCGAAGGCCTATAGTCCGGCTGCGGACTGGTATCTCATCGGCACACATGAGGTCTTTCAAAGCATCGGAACCCCAGCGGTGACGAAATGCTACCGGAAGGCGGCCTTGTGCCATATACACCTGAAGGAGTTCTCGCGAGCATCCGAGGTAGTAAGACGTTGTCCATTGAATGAAGCCGCCACGAATTACATTGTGTTTCTTGGAGCCGCTTACCAAGGTTAGTTCTTTCACTCGCATGTGGGGTAATCACCGTAACTCAATGTCTTCCCTGTCAAGGTTTAGAAGATGAAGGTAATCATGACCTTCCGACAAAATTTTCGCCTACGATAACGCTCACTTTCACATCGATCAGCAATCGACGCCGTGGAGCGCATGGTCAATGCACCTGACTTCGATCGAAAGATGCTCCTTTTGGCTACCAAGTTGGCTCATGAGTCCGACATGAGCGCCTTGCTGTTGTCCGTCCTCGAAGCGTTGATAGCAACATTGGAGGCCAAGGAAGGGTTTCAGTCGGCAGTTGAAGTAATCACCCTTTCTCGATGTTGCATTAGGTTAATCATGAGGCTACTGGACGAACACAAGCTGCAGGCGTGAGTCAGTCAACCGAGCTTCTGGATTTTGCTCATGCCTTTCTCCACAGCCCACCACTGGTGCAACGGCTGCTCAGACATATTGGTACAGGTACAGGGACAGTAGTCTGTCAAATCCATGGCAATGCTCACCTTGGAATGCTAGCTCTTCGCCTAGTTGAAGAGACCAGGGAAAAGGAAGGCATAGCGGCAATAGCCAAAGAAGTGTCGTGGCTTTGGCGAACAGCGTACAACTGCGCCGTTGAGGGATGCAGTGAACGACCGGAATATGGGAATAGCGTGCCCGAGCTGTTTGACTTCGCACGACAGGTTCTTTCCCTCCTTCGTAACGTGCCGTGCATCCTCTGCTCATCTATGTTTCAGTTGCTAGAAGTATATTGCGCACATATGATCGATGCACATCCAGACCTGTATGTTCACATCATCCAGGCATCGTTCTGCGCAACAGCCGCCAGGGGTAAGGCATGACTCGCCTGTATCCACTGCCACTCATCAAGTGGCTGTCAGTTTTTGCTCTTCGAGAGGAATTCGCGGCAAACGAGTGTCCTGTGGGTGGCCGGTATCGCAATCACGCTAAGCGACGTCTGAACTCTACCAGACAGATCGTTTACGCGAGACCTTCTCCGACGTTACGGCCTGCAAGACAAGGGTGGAAGTTATCCTCAAGAGTGGCAAGTTGAGCACGGATGAATACACCGGCCGCGCTCGATCGTTCGTTCATCTGCTGCGCGTCTTCCAAGTCGAGATGTCTTCGCGATTGCAAGCCTGGGATGATGTCCTGAACACGATCCAGGTGACCATTAGAGCTCTCGTGGCGCCGCCAACCATTCTCACCGAAGCTCGCGCTAGGAACTCACACAGGCGGATCAGGATGTCGGGAGGACGTACGAGGCCATAGCCGATATCCTCGTAAGTGTCTAGGCATACGATGCCGTCATCATCTTCGGCTCACGGCTCGTTTCCAGTGGGCCGAAAAGGATTGTCCTTCGGGTGTGCTCTATACTGCACTCGAGGTAACCGAATCACGACCCTGATCTCGATTACGTGACTGATCCGAGGACGCACCCAGGGTCTCTTGCATGCCAGCCTCGACCGGAATAGTATCACCGTGGATAAGTTCTCGCGCTGGCTTCGCGCCATCTGTACCATTCTGCTGGCCAAGGGCCAGCCCGCGGAGCGAATCAGGGCGGTGGGCTACATGGACCAGGCGATCGCTGTGCTCCAGGAGATCCAAGAGAACGGTGGAGCGGAAGCGAATGTATGTTCTCGTGTCGGGCCATTCACCCCGGAGTTGTAACTGACGTCTCTATCCTGTACTCGGCAGGAGTACCCACAAGACGAGCGTCTCTGGCTCCTCAGTACCGCGTATAACACGGGGATTGAATGCCTCTAGTGCGTACATACGGCTCGCAATCCGTGCCGCGTCAATCTGACCTGCTCTGTTAGCGCCTCCTTATTGGACGAGGCCAAACGCTGGTTCGAGCTATCCACAGTTATGTGCAGGTATGTCCCCGATGGACCGCAACGCGCCGAAAAGGTAGGTATTTCCCGTACGCTCGCGACTGACTGACCTAGTAGTACCCAGATCTCGGATACATACACCAAGTTGCTATCGCAGTTCACTGTATGATGCTCAGGCTACATCAGCCATTAAGTTCTCTATATTTTCCTTGTTGCTATCGTGTCGCTGATGTATAATTGCACGTATACCGCCGATTGGACAGTCCTTATAATATCGTATTGCTGTCGCTGTATGATTATCCACGCGACAGAATTGTATTCTTACTATCATTTTGTAGCCCTACGCATTGATGTACGTTGCAGCCAATCCACAGATCGCACAAAACACGGGCGTGTGATCACGTCCCGCGATGGCTGTTTGGCGCAGCGCATACACCCGCAAACGCGCATGTATGCGTCTAGGAAAGCCCGAAATCGCGAAGATGGTAAAGCAATACGCGTCCGCGGCTGTTCCCGATCGCGACGTACTCGCTGCCCGCCGAGAAGTCAACGGCGTTGACATGCCCAAGGGGCGTTCCGGACGTGGGCCAATTCGAGAATGCAGTGAGCGAAGGGAGGTGAATCTGCGAGCGTGCGCGTCAGCAATCGTGCAATTCTTTTGCAGGAAGGGGACGGGAAAGAGTGCAGGAAGGCGATAGCATACGCCGGCAGATGCGGCGATAGGCTCGGAAAACGGATGGCGGACGCCAAAAACAAGGAGAACAGCAGGAAATAAAAATGGCCACGTACCAAGCGCATCTGGTCCTTCTTCACGCTGCTTGCGATCGCGAGCAGCTGCGCGTCGTGGTTGAACCGGAGCGCCGACACGGCGGTCGTGAGGTTACCGATCGCCTTCAGGCTTTTCGGCCTCGCCACCACATCCGTGCTTGGGTCCGTCTCGTCGTTCGAGTACACGTTCACATATCCCGTCGCGGACCTAAAAACGCACGTTTGATATCTCGTCAGACGCACAGTCCTGGCACCGCACGGGTGTGGAAATCCTTACCCGATTGCGGTATACCGCCCCCGGGCATCGCCTGCGAGCACCCGTCCGCCGTACGCGCCTTCGTCCCGCCACCGCCGCATGCAGCGCCGCCCGCGCACGTCCCACATGTACATTTCCCCATCTTCGCCGAGCACGTGTAGCGTGCCCTCTCGCCGTGCGTCCCACAATAAGCTGCGTGCCCCCCTGTCTGCCGTCGCCTTGATCGAGGCGACGACCTGACCCGAGCCCGCACCTGCAGCCCAGTCAAGCAGGTGTACAGCGCCGCGCCGCCCGGGAATCGCGAGGACGGAGCCGTCCCGGGAAAAGGCGCAGTTGTCGCCGATGGTGAGTTCGGCCGTTGAGGTGGAGGTAGAGGAGGTGAAGGAGGTGCCCCAGAGACCGCGGGCGGATTTGGTGGTGGCACCGGATTGAAGATCGTGCACGTAGAAGAAGGGGCGGGACCCGGTGAGGAGGATTGAGCTGCCGGAGGGATGGAACGTTGCGGAGGAGAGGGGTAGTGCAGGGATATGGATGGTGCTCAGATGCGGATTCGTGTGGCCATCAATCTGCGCGCAAGTTTGGTCATAAGTATCTCATACTTTGCGGATGAAGCCGAAGGACTACTCACGTTGAAGAGACGCAGCCGCCGGTCGGCGCTCGCAGTAAGCATCACGGGCACACGGGGAGAGGGGTGGAACTGAACGCTCTTGATCGCGCCCTCCGCCTTGGCGGACACGTTCGCGTCGCGCAGACGCTCGATGGACAGCGTTCCCGGTGCGATCGTGCGCGTCTTCTTCCGTGACAACAGCCCGCCCGTCGATGCAAGGAGGTCGTCCAGTCCCCCATCTTCCTGCTCCTTTTCGTCCTCCTCAAGCGCGCTGTCGCCTTCAGAGTCGGATCCGCGTCGCCGCTTTGCCGTTCCGCGCAGCTTTTTGCGCGCCTTATCCGCCCATGACGCGGTGCCGTGGATGCGCTCGTGCTGCCGCCGCAACCGGCGCTCGTATTCGCGCCCGGAGACAGAATCGTCCCCTGGAGCATCGCGAAGTTTGCGGAGCCGGGGTGCGGCGAGTGACACGGTCAGCGAGGCATCGGCGGGGTCGGTCCATGCCGGGGCTTTCTTCTTAGACTTTGTTTTCGCGTCCGGATGTGATGGTGATGTGGAGGTAGTGGCCCAGGTAGGGCGAGCGGCGGGAGAGGAGGGGCGGTTGAGCGGGTTGCGGTCGGGTTCTGAGTCGGAGCCGGAAGATGTGCTTTCGTCCTGGCCGTTTTCTGATTCTGTGTCGGAGTTGTCTGGTGAAAAGGCATGTTGGGGTTCGCCGCTGTCGTCTTGCTGGCCCTTTTCAGAAATTTCGTCTCCTGGCAGGTTATTGCCAAAGTCGTCTGCGAAGTCCGCGACTGAAGGTCCCTTACTCGTCGACGGCACGGCGTCGTCCACGAAGAACAGCTGTACATTCAATCATTGTCAATTCGAATTGCCCAAAATACGATAGACCACGAGTAGTACGAACGTCAGAATCGAGCATCCCCTCCAACTCCCGCCCTGCTGCCTCCACCTCCGGTTGGTCGTGCGCTTCATCCTCGTCTGGCACGATCGTCTCCTTCTGTTTTCCCTTCCAGCTTGGCACATATGGCACACCAAAGAGGGCGCTCTCGAGCCTGCGCTCCTCGTCATCCTTGCTTGCATCGTCGTCTAGAGAGACCGCTGCACCAAGCGGGGCCGCGCCGCGCGTAGACTTATCAGTGCGCTGCTTTTTGCGTGGGTGACGGGCCATATTTTATTGCTCCTATGTTCGAGCGAGTAATCCGGAGGATACAAGGTGGATGGTGGGTACAGCGTCCTTGCTAGAGCCTGCAGAAACTCCTGCAGCAGAAATTCTGGATGGATCACGTGCGTTGCCTCACCTTCGCTCGAGCTGGGCGATCTCGCGTTCGCCGCTTCGCGTCCAAGGTCGATCTATCGGATAACACGAGCCATATCACGGACGAGCGGCCTTTCCATCCATGTAATCCAAACAAACGAGAACTTTGAACTTGCTTGACCACGACCGCCGACAACGATATCGGTGCCGAGACACCCTCCATGGATCATAGCTTTTCTGCGCCAGAACACGGTACCTGCTGACTGAACGAGGGGTCGAATGACACACAGACCATTTGGATCGGCCTGAATAATCATGTGAAGCCTGGTATAAATACCGCGAGCACTGATCTTGAGATGTTCAAAGCCCCCTCTTGACCTACTTCCCTCCAGCACCGCATATATCCCGCAGACATGGCCAACGCTCCGACCAAGAAGATGTCCTATGGTACGCTGATGAGCTTAATCCGGCGTTTTGAACGACATCTGATCAATCACGATACATAGTGCGACTGGGTAACTAGGGGTTGAAGGTGTCTAAGATCATCCTCGGCTGCATGTCCTATGGTACACACCTTTCCCAATCGTCCTATAAAACCCCTACTCGCAACCCACCAACCCACATCGTGATCGCACTCGCACTCACGCACCCCCTTAACGCATATAGGCACGCCCGAGTGGCAACAGTGGGTCCTGCCCGAGGCAGAGTCGATCGCGCACATCAAGCTCGCATACGAGGCCGGGATCAACTCCTTTGACACAGCGAACGCGTACTCGAACGGCGCGTCCGAGGTCGTGCTCGGGAAAGCCATAAAGGAGCTGAAGCTGCCGCGGGATGAGATCGTGGTGATGACCAAAGTCTTCTTCGCTGTCGGGCGCGAGCCGGCCGTGCGCGCCTTTGGGCTACCCAGCGCGGAGGTCGACAAGATTGGATACGTGAACCAGCACGGGCTGTCGCGCAAGGTGCGTTCCTCCTCCCTCCCATCTGATTCCGGCCTCATCGGTGCGCTTGGCTGACGGAACCAACCACACAGCACATCTTCGACTCGGTCAAGGCGTCGCTCGCTCGCCTGCAGCTGGACTACGTCGACGTGCTCCAATGCCACCGTTTCGACCCAGAAACGCCCGTAGCGGAGACGATGCAAGCGCTGCACGACGTCGTCAAGGCCGGCTACGCGCGCTATATCGGCATGTCCTCCTGCTGGGCATGGCAGTTCCACGTCATGCAGAGTGCGTTTCTCTCCAGCCCGCGCATATACGTCATAATTGATCAGCCTCTGGCGCGTGGACAGACTACGCGATCAGTCACAACTTGACGCCCTTTATCTCGATGCAAAATCACCACTCGCTCGTGTACCGCGAAGAGGAACGTGAGATGTTCCCCACTCTCAAGCACTTCGGCGTTGGCGTCATTCCCTGGTCCCCCCTCGCGCGCGGCATCCTCACGCGCCCGCTGAGCGTGCAGACGACCCGCACGCAGGTCGACGCGCTCATCGGCGCGTACGCGGGAGGCGGCACGGACGCGATCGTCACCCGGTGATTACCATCCATCCATCTCTCCGTCCCTTATTCCGTGGGCTATGGATATGCTGACGTGTAATCGGTTTCACAGGGTGGAGGAGATTGCGAAGAAGCGCGGGCTGAGCATGGCGCAGGTCGCGCTCGCGTGGAGCTTGCGAAAGCCGGGCGTCACCGCACCCATCGTCGGCAGCACGAGCGTGAAGAATCTCGAGGAACTCATTGGTGCGTGTCACTTTGCCACCCTCGACCCGTCTTGCTTGATCTATCCGAACTGGTGCTGATGGTGGACTGTAGCGGCGGTCGACGTGGAGCTGGCGGAGGATGAGGTTGCGTACCTCGAGGGGCCGTATCAGCCGAGGGCCGTCATCGGCCACGCGTAAGACCGCGAGCGTCGCGTTGTCGTCTGAAGGCGATGGTCCCAAAGAGTCGATCCGCCTGGTCGGAAGGGAAGACTGTGCGCCATGTCTGTTTTACGCCACGCTGGACGAATGATAGGGTGTATGGGATCCGTCGTTTGATACGCTCTGTGCATACCGCAGAATGGGAAATGCGGACAATGCCAGCACCAAATAGCTTTAGGCAATGTCACAGCTTTGCACATTTCCGTCCTTTGGGAGGAATGCGCCGTCCAGGCGGGACCACGTGCGGTGCCGGGTTTTCGCGTCGCACGTTGCGTTCAACGTTGTGGACGACGACAACGAAGGCACATTCTCGAATGCAAATTTCTCTTCCTCCTCGAAGCTCCTATGTAACCCAGCGCTCATTACTGGCTCGTTGCTTTCGTTACACCACCTGACAACATACCACATCGACTCGAAATCGTCCAATTATATCCACGTCCTCACCATCCGAAACGACAATTTTGGGAATCCCTGGCTCAGAGCAGACCCATATATCGCGCGCAGCGGCATGAACGTTGGACGAGTACGCAACCGCTCGGCCGCTGACTGACATGCGACCCGTTTGATCCACTTTCCCGCCTTCGATTGTATCCACGGATGGGTTGGGGTGCTTTAAGAAATCCGTTGCCTTCAATGGCGCCTGCAAGATTCATCTGATCAGGACCCGTATCACGCTCAGCGTCATATTCGAAATATGTCTGCCGTCGTCAACAAGGAGATGCCATACGGTGAGCCCGTCGCCGCCCGAAACTGTGGAGTAGATGCTGACCGTTCCATTGGGCGAACCCTCGCTGTTATCGATGGAGCACAGTGCGCCTCGGAAACTCTGGTTTGAAGGTGTCAAAGCTCATTCTCGGATGCATGTCGTATGGTACGCCCATGTGGGAAGGCTGGGTCCTTGAGGAGGAGGAGGCGATCAAGCATATCAGGGCTGCGTGAGTCATCGGGCTCTCGGGGTGAATCAGCGTACGGTGTGAACTGGGACCAATGCAGATACGATGCCGGGATCAACACCTTTGACACCGCAAACGTCCAACCTGCTTCTCTTGCGCTAAGAACGATTCGCTCACGACGAACGTGCGCTTAGGTTTACTCCTATGGCCGGTCTGAGGAAATCCTCGGGCGCGCGATCAAGCAACTTGATCTGCCCCGTGGCGAGATCGTGGTGATGACCAAGGTCTTCTTCGTCGTCGGAAGGGCTTACGGCGAGGACACCGTGTTCGGCAACCTCGACCAGAAAGGCTACGTGAACCAGCATGGGCTGAGCCGTAAGGTCAGTCCATGCCTTTCTCCCCTCTCGCTCTCGCACAGTTGCTGACGATCCGTCCCATTGGATTCACAGCATATTTTTGACTCTGTCAAAGCGTCGTTGAAGAGGCTGCAACTGGACTACATCGACGTACTCCAGTGTCACCGCTTTGATTCCCAGACGCCGATCGAAGAGACTATGCAAGCTCTTCACGATGTCGTCCAAGCAGGCTACGTACGTTACATTGGCATGAGCTCCTGCTGGGCGTGGCAGTTCAGCGTCATGCAGAGTACGCTCTTCCTCCCATTCCACAACTCGCACGGAATTAACAACACAACCCATGACAGACTACGCGATCACAACCTCACTCCCTTCATCTCGATGCAGAATCACCATTCGGTCATCTACCGCGAAGAGGAGAGAGAGATGTTCCCGACGTTGAAGCATTTTGGCGTCGGCATTATTCCTTGGTCCCCGCTTGCGCGCGGAGTCGTGTGTCGTCCGCTGTACGCATCCACGAAGCGCAAGGAGACAGACCCGTGAGTAATGCGTGGCGCTCGTCGTCGGCATCTCTTAGAAGTCTCTCTGTCGCTGAGGTCGAGTTTCTCAGATGGCAAGGCGAATATCTTGGATACGGGGCCGAAGAGATCATCGCTAGGTGTGTCAACGTTTTCTCCGCCTAGTTGAGTGCCTCCCGAGTTCAACGCCGCTACTGCAGGATCGAGGAGATCGCGACCAAGCGCGGGATCACAATGGCTCAAGTAGCCATCGCGTGGAGCTTGAGCAAGGAGGGCATCACGGCTCCCATCGTCGGCACGACAAGCCTCAAGAACCTAGAGGATCTCATTGGTGCGCATATGATCTTGATCATTGTATGATCTGAAGCTCATCGGAAGATATCTTGCAGCTGCAACGAAGATTCAGCTTACTGACGAGGAAGTGAAGCATCTCGAGGCACCATACCAACCCCGAGCAGTTTCAGGACATGCCTGAATGACGGCAGGGTGTATCCACGCTGTCTGAGGTGCTTCGAGTAAGGTGCTGATGAGAACTTAGTCTGAAAGGGGCCCGCGGCGCGCGGTCCCCCACTGGTCGATCGAGTGAAATCAACTAGGTAGACTAGTGACCGTAATCAGGAACTGTGATCGCCCAGTTGCAGTGTTTAGGCAAAAACAAATTCATGCGTCAGCTCTCCGTGTGGCGCGCGACGATAACATGATCCTCCGTCTCTGACTGAAGACAATCACGTACCGATAACGAGGTTCCTAATTATGTTACGCTCTTGCCGTTCCTGTCGTAAAGGGGGCAACTGGCAGGGTGAACCTTAACGCCTCTCACCACCTTTCTCAGGCTAAGCTATGATCTGATAAGTCGACCCCTCCCTGGTTCACCTGGACTCGCTCACAACGGTCACCATCTGGATATACTCGCCAAAATGCACCGGGTACTGCTTCTACAAGACACGGTTGAGCAGATCGTCGACTTCATCATATCATACAAGGGCACAACTGAGTGCAGAGATCTCTTGGGCTTCGCTCTGACTTGTAAAACACTATCGGAAGTTGCCTTGAGCGCGTTGTGGGCGAAGGTCCAGGACTTTCACCGTTTACTGCGATTGATACCTGCATACGAGGATTCTGGTGAAGGAACATGGGTATGTAACGGCTAGGTGGAACGGCTACAATTGCGCATTGCTGACCATCTCGCGGACACAGAAATTTACGCGTCCACTAGAGAAGCATGACCTATCACGCTTTGTCTACTATTCTCGTAGGGTGAAAGAGCTTTACATCAGCCATACTGGCACACGCATGGATCTCCATTCCATCTTTGAATACTTTAGGGCATTCGAGCACGACATTGAGCTTTTCCCCCGCGTACGGTTCCTGTGCTTCGATGCGTACACATTCCACGGACCCGACGCCCTCTTAATGATCAAGTCCCATCTCCATTCCCAGCTTGAAATTCTGTGGATCAACATCGCGATGGCCACTCGCTCTATTCACCTCGAACTGCCAGAGCTCATTCGCGAGCTCTCGCGAACACCGCCTCCTAGGCTCACTACGATTACCATGCCTCAGTTCACGTTCACGCCGCTCACGGCGAAACTACTAGCGCAAATTACCTCGCTACGCAAGCTAACAATCGCTATGCACCCGATGACCGGGGAAGACAGTCTGGATTCCTTGGATGCGCTCGGTCGATTGTGGCACCTGCCGTTGATGATGGACCTCTCTGTCTATCTTCAGGGCACATCCGTGCTCGCGGACGCGGATTCTACTCCTGATATCATATCCTATGAGCGACCTTCGGTGGCCCACCAGGCATACTACGGATCTGTTCGTGTCCTACATACTCTCGCAAGCCGTACCCCCGACGCACAAAGACTGAAGTTCATTGCCTTCACGAATGGGACAGGAGATGAATGGGACGCCGTGTTCGACGCGCTCTTTCAACGTCGCACGGAAACCCTTCAGGCGTTGATTGTACAGGATTTACAGAACCAGGCGTCCCTGCCGCCGGCAACTGCCATGCTGCGCATGCCGAAATTCGGGAGCCTTCGTGACCTCACGATATCCCTTCCGTACGACTGGACTGATGAGGTCATCGAGCACATCGCTCGCTCGTGCCCTGCCCTCACGTACCTGAACCTCCTATACTATTACAGCGGAAGTGGACGCAAGGTCTCTACTACGTCTTCCGCACTGTTATCATTGGCCCTTATGTGCGCGCAATTGGAGAGCCTGCATATACACGTGAATCCAACGCGACAGCCTTCCTCTCCTCCAGTTAATCCCCAAGGATTCGACGGAAATCTCAGTGTTGTCAACCTTGAAATCCGGTTTCTGCCCGCGTTCTCTCCTCGTCCAAGCTTCGAAAGGTTTGCCAAAAGCTTGTTTCCCGGATTGCAGAGTCTGGTCGTAGGCAATGCTTGACACCAGCATGTTCTCGCAATCAAGAGTCAGACTCTTTCCTTTCCGCGAAGGGTCAATATCGAAAGCCCTCCCCTCCATACCTTAGCCAACGCTTTATGATGGAGTATGGATAACGGCGATTGGTACACGACGAGAATAGCAGTCTCCGGAGTGTGCCTGCCATATGCTTGATATAATATGCAATCCACGTACATGCAAACTCAAATCAGCACGTTGCAGGGCGGGAATTTTCAAGGTCCTGTGTCTGCAGTGGAGACCGTCGAAGGGGAATCCGATGTGATTATGGTTTATATTGTAACGGAGACGAGCAATAGGGACAGAATCTGGGAGGTAGGGGTATAGGTCAGCGACAAGGCGTCGGCTTCAGTCCGGCGCTCGTGCTCACCTGTCCTAAACCCCTCTTATTATTGTCGGGTGAGGCAAGCTCCCGAAGGTCTCGCAGGCTATAAAGACAATGAACTGCGTGGTAACGGGGCAGAAGAAGCGCGCGCTCGAAACCTCAGTCCCGCTCCGGCCGAGGAATATACGCGATGCTGAGTCACCGGCGCCGGGGAGCAGGAGAACGGCGGCGATGGCCACGCAAACTTGCCAGCCCCCGTTAAGAACGTGGACGGTGAAAGGCATCAAGAGGATAAGCTGCTCATTGTAGACTTTAAGGGGAACCTTGGCGAGGGAACAGGACGAGGATTGCGATAATGGTGGAAAAGACGAAGGTATGGTGGATGATCGCTAGGTATTCCATGCATAATTGACCTCGACCGACGCATGTTTCCACAGAAGGGCTTCCGTGGCAGATAAAGAGATCCAGTCTTGGGAATTACTCGGACAGCGTCGCTTGCCGTCGTTCCATGATCTTGTCAAGGGTTTGTTTACGGAACTGAAAGACGTGTCAGTGGATGGGCACCCCATTCGAATCTTGTGTTCAATTCAAGTAAACGTGTATCATATCAGCCAAAAACGCCTTCGCCGAGGCAAGCTGGCGAGATGTCAATGCTCTCCGGAGGATACATGTTTGTGATGTAATCTTGGAGAGCAATGAAAGCGTCTGCCATGGCCAGTGACGTTTCATAAGGCGATGAGCAACTAAAATCGAATGAAGGCTTACCGATGCGCTGCTCTGGGATTTTGGCGACGCTCAGCGCTGCCTCTTCATTCACCGAGAACGCCACGGAGGGCACTGCCTGACTATGGGCTCGTAGCTTGCGCTGACTGTAAACCTCCGATGCATGACTAGATCATGACCGGTATTAGACTACACAATGCGTGATACACGGGGAGTGCAGTATTCACCAGATTTTCAGCTAAAACTGTCGTCGAAAAGGGGAGAAGATGAGTAGTATATCACATAACCGACCATCTCCGTCGAAGCACACATACACACACCTGCGCGTGCCGACGAGGGATCCCCAGATCTTCGACTAATCGCTGACACGCCACTATTTGGCGTCGGGTTCTGACGAAATGCGACCTCGAGTTTATTGACGTTCTCTCGAGCGTTTCGCCTTTGCAGAGCCTGACGGGACTCCTCTGTATCATCTGCGAGCGCCGATGTGCTCGAATCTGGTTCTCCCTGTAGGTGATGGTTCCACGACGATATCCGTTCCGATGGAACTTGGCGCGAGAGCGCCAACCAAGATATCTAGATACATCATCTTGACGCAATCCCATATTGGTATGGCAGTCATTGCGACAGGAAGGACCTAGACATGTATAGATGACTTCGTTTCCATCAGGGAAAATTCCGGTCGTCGGCGTACGTGCCCAAATCCCCAGCTCATATCGACATCCGCCGAATGATTGAAGTATCGCAGCAATTCAACGTTAGTGATAAAAATTGGACTGATCACGAGAAGGAAGATGAGCTCGATGATCATCCGCCGGCTTGATACGCGCGAGTGCGGGCCCAGCGAAGGTTGAGAAAAGCCAGACGTGCCGGTTCTCCAGAGTTCAGCCATCCATAGCTCGCACGAGACGAAGTAGATCATCGCGCAGACACCCAGAATCATCAGAGATATCATCCTGAAGTGTCCCATCGCACCCACGGAGCCAAAGTTAGCAGCTTTGACCATGCTATAACAATCAGGGACAGAACCGAAGGTGTTGGCAGTACCCAAAATAAACAAGGTAGTTGATAGCACAAAGAAGGTTTGGACCATAGCCAGCAGGGTCGCCAACTGTGATGAGTTCCGCTGGCGCTGAACTAGGGCGTGCACAGGGTGGGCAATATAATCGGGCAAGAAAGTCGCTGTCCACGATCAGAGCAAAAGATAGCATATCACCAGTCCACTATGATAGATGATTCGTTATCCCCGGCGAGCATTGTTGGAATGGACACATAACACGCACTCGTACAAGTTCAATTGAGGAGAGGACCCAAAACCCAGCGATAACGCGGTAATACAGTAACCAACGTTTGTGGCTCTGAGCGCTCCGAGTAACTCTTCCGGATAACTCAAGATTCGAAGAGCCCACCCCCTTGCAAACTAATACGTCACGGTTAGTAAAGGCCTTACCAAATGGGCATGCAGAACTGACCGAGGAGCAGAATTTGGACGTAGAAGGATACACGCACGCCGATAGCGCTCACATCGGGATTATGTATCAAATCTCCATCACAGTTCGGGTCGGAGGCTCCAATGGGTATGTCCATAACTCAGGAGAAGTATCAGAACATGCTGTATATAAGTATACCGGCAGAAGGAGGAGAACATCACCGATGAGCTGCGCCAAGCTATCGAACGCTGCTCATCAGATGCTGTGTGGGTGTGGGAGAATTGCTAGTCAGCCGCGCCTCGCCCACCTCACGGTCATCCGTGTTGGACCTTGACGCCGTTGATCCTCTCGGGAACATGCTCGTTAAGTGGACTTTGCTCTATATGGGCTTCTCCACAGCCATATATAAGTACATCCAAGGAAATCTCGGGCTTGATGTGTACATGCATCAATCATCGTGGACTCCAGCGCTGCTGCGACGTTGAATGCCCGACGTTCTAAGTATATTCCACTCTCTTAAAGCATGCCAGCATATGCGATAGCAAGCATCGAGACTCGCCCGAATTCTGCTTGGGAGTTAATGGCTTCTACCTCACTGCACCTGGGTGACACCTTCGGAGCGCTCTTAATCGGGACCTTCGTATCCGCTGTGCTATGGGGTGTCGGTGGCTTGCAGGCACTCATTTATTACACTCGCTTCAACCAGGACCACATCTTCCACAAGATATTTGTGAGTACGCGCCTCAGCTATCTCTATTAGATGCATGTTTACCACGGAGCATATTCTAGATTGGATTTCTTCTCGCCGTTGATACCATGATGACTGCGTTGACTATGCATGCCATGTATTATTATCTTGTGGGTCATTTTGGGGATACGGATGCACTACAACACATTGTGTGGTAGGATTTCATGACCTTGCCTTTGTTCTACTGGTCATCATTCATCTAGCTAACAGGAGCTTGCGGGTGAGCTCGGAGTATCACGTCGTGTCTCCGCGCTGAACGCAACCTGTTAGGCCCAAGTCGTCCTCAACTGCATATACATTCCAATGGTCCAGAGCATATATGCATTCCGGGTTTTCAAGCGTATGCACGTCCGATTGGTGGCAATGCGTCGCTGATATGATTTCTCGTGCGCACAGTTTCGGCCAATGTTGGAATGCTTCCTGTGATAGTCGTGAGTGACGAACCTACATGTCCTTCACTTTGGTATGGTAGCTGACTGTTACAGGCTTCCAGCGTTTTAGGTGGCTGGAGTATGTGTTCAGCGCTTTGGATACGATACTCTCTCTAACCCCATGCATCTCGCTACTCGTGTCAAGTATTATCTCTCTGTGAGTTCAAGCCTCATATAAATGTCACGTAGGCTGACAGCAGCATATAGTGACCGCCGCAAACACGTACGTGCTGGATCTCCTAGATAATGAAACATTGCAAGAACTATGCATAGGGCGAACCTTGCAGTATGGGGCGACATTAAGGGCGTTCACGTCAGTCCGTTTTGATGTCATGTTTGTGGTACCCGACGTTGATTCCCGAACACAGCGCATCTTTCACGCCGCCTTCGCTTTCAATATCGCGATCGACGTCTTGATTACCATCGCCAACACGTACTATCTATTGCGACCTAGGTCCGAATATCGCGAGTAAGCTTTCTCTGTTGTCCCAACGACGTGAGCCAGAAGCTTACATATGCTCCTAGCCTGACGTCGATCCTAGACGTCATACTTCTATGGGTTATTGGTACAGGCGCATTGACTAGGTATGTGTGCGGGCATTTTTGAGAAATCTTTGTTGATGAAGTCGTAGCGTCTTTGCGTTCATCACGCTCGTCACGGTATGCTGATCCCTTCAAGCGGCGGCCGTTCTGATGATATAATGCATATACAGTGCATCGTATCGCCAGATCGCCTCACCTACATGGCTCTGGAAATTTTCGTGGCCAAGCTCTACATGAATAGTTTGCTCGCGATGTGCGTGCGTCCGAAGTTGTATCCCGAACACAGGCAACTGATTGCATCCCAAAATCAGGCTCAATACGCGCGAGAAGCTCCGAGCGAAAGCACCCATGACGCTGAATGTTAACACTTCCGTAACAGGCAGCACCGACCAGTCAGACACTTCGCAGCTCAGTGGCTCGACGGTGGCCGACAAAGAGAGCGCGCCAGTTGAGAGCGCCGCGCCAGCTCACGACCTTGAACGGGATGCAGAGCAACGCTCTAACATCTCCACGAAGTCACCTCACTCCGACGTCTCGGGCGAATCGCGCGACACCAGGATTCAAGGACAGAGAACGTCCAAGGTTCGGCCTCTCCCTGTGATTCCGCCGCCACCTAGCTATTGCTCAGCAGTCTGAAAGAGAGTCTGGCGAATCCTTGTGCTGTGGGTTGTCTTCCCTCCTTGGATACATTGTATACCCTTCACTCCCGGATATGTACGATAGACTCTCCCTGTGGTTTCGTTTTGTGATTTGCACCCATGCCCATCGAGATACACAGCGTTGAACGGACTGACAGAAACGTAAATGCGATCGATCGACTGCCAGCGTCATCGTCTAGGCTGCCTGAACAATTGCATCCTTATCCTTATATGAAGGTACCGTCGTGTGCGTTGTATCGTCTTTCAACCCGGGACCGTATGCTGCAGTGTTATACGGCGAGATGAGATGGATAAGACCATCTGATCAACAAGGCACACTCCATCCCTGCCACTCCTCCCGCCCCTCCTGGATATCTATGATCCGCTCGAAGAGTGCGTTGCCCACAGGCCCGTGCGCCTCGTACGGGGGGAACACCAAGTCCTTTGTCGTCTCTCCTGATGCAGTGGAGAAGGTGTAGCCGATACGGCCCACAGGGGCAACAATCACGGCCGTACCAACGCAGAATGCCTAGTAAAGCATTGTAAGCAATTGTTCCTAGACACATAATAAACGTCGACGAACCTCAGCAAGACGTCCCTCTTCGTTCCACTGTACGAGTTCGGCGATGGTCAGTGTCCGTTCTTCGACGTGCAACTGAGGGTATCGGAGTCAGTTCCAAGGATCCCTGAGGAAACGTGGTTTGGTTCGTACCTTAGTTTCTGGGGATAGGCCAGGGAGCACAGTCCTCGAGCCATGGGCGGACAAGAGCTCGATGCAAGATTGCCTCGTCACGCCTGGCAGAATAGTGCCATCGAGAGGAGGCGTGACTACGTCAAGATCTAAAGAAAGCTCAGGTCAGCCCAGAAGTATTTATTAGTCACAGCACCGGATTACCCCCGTCGTCCCGTTTCCGAACAGCGAAGAAGTTCATCGCGCCCGCTTCGGTAATCCGGAGGTTCTTCAGGTGGTTGTCTTCCACACCGTCTTTGTCGGCGTCGTTCAGGAGCCACAGCACTTGCTGATAGCTGGAAAACGATGGGTGAGTTTCCACTCCATAAGAGAGTGTAGCGTAGCCTGAGTCATACCCTTTCTGAGCCGCGATCCTCTGAGGCATGAAGCCCGGGGCGTAATTAAGGCCGAGCTTGAAGCCTCCGGTACCACCCGGCCATGCACGGGCATGCTATCAGGGCATTGAGTTTCTGGGTCAAATATTCGATATCAAACGTGTCGTACCTCATGGATGCCAAGAAGCGAGACGGGTTTGGGTCCGGTGGGGAAGTAAGGGCCAGTGGGGGATACGATGATGTAGAGCAGGGCGTGATCCGATGCGCTGACGCCGAGCGCTGTGAAGTCGAGTTATGATTAGGAAAACCGGTAATAGGGTATGAGGTAGCGACGTACACGCCCGCGTGCCGATAACAGTAGGACGGATGTAGAGGCTGCACCCCTTGGTGCGGGGTATCCATCGTCGTTCGACACGAACCAGGGCTTTCACGAGAGATAGAAGTGCTTCAGTGTTGATGGGCTAGCAATACGTGCAGTAGTCAGCGTTCCAGAATGCACGAATTGTCGCAGACGAACACGGCAGGGATCGCGTACTCACAGGAAGGGCCACACGTGCCAAGCTGCGCTGCATACGTTGCATGTTCAACTCGGGGCGGAACAAGCGGGCTTCGCCGGACGGGTCGATGTATGCCTGGTGGAAACAATCGTCAACGAAAGTCGGACGGGAAAAGCGATGCGCCACGTACCTTCATCCCTTCGAAGACGGTCGGGCAGTATTGGAAGCACGATGACATAGGGTCGAGGTGAAAAGGACCTATATCCGGGACAGAATATTCAACGATGGTCCCGTAAGAATGAACATCGTGGTTACGCACCGTACGGCTTGATCTCCGGCGTACCCCATCCCGTCTGCGGATCGAACGAGCATGTGAGCATATGTTCCGTCTTCGTCTGCCCAAACACGAGGTCCTTCGTGTCCGGTATGGGCTTCAGGTCTGATTCGGGGACGAGAGTGGTCGTGAGTAGGGATGCCTACAGCACCAACGTCAGCGAGCACAGAAAACGAGGGCATATTGAACGTACATCGAGATCCCGTAGGCCCAGCTTTTCAAGTCCGTTGCTGTCGCCGCTGACGGCGAGAGTTTTGGGTAGAGGCGTCGGCACCCCTTGCATGTTCAGCGCGGGTCCGCCGTTGACGTGGCCGTTGGTGGCAGTAGGGGCCATGGTTTTGTTGTTAGTCTATATGTCTATGGAAAGCGGATGAAAAGCAGAGCCTCGCGCGATGGAACGTTGGGTGTAATGAACAGGAGACTTAAATATCGGGCCCAGAGCGAGAAGATTTTGGTGACTCGATATGGCATAGTGTAGTGTAAGGAGATAAGATTAGATTGTGAGTTCATCGCACGCGCTCTTGATCTAGATCTCCGATACAACAGAGTCAAATACACACGAGGTGGGTAAGTACCAGCAGCATACGTACTAATCACAGAAGTAGACCGAACCCAAGCAAAGAAAAGCATGACAGTGCTGTAGGAAATGAAGCAACAACATAGAGGAAGACCGAACGGACAACAAGGCGGAAAATCTATGGACAGTGACTATCATTCACATTTTAGTGGACCGTAACCGGGCCTCGCGACATAGGCGTGAGGTTGCGCAAGAAGAGTGCGACGAGGACGAATCCCATGCCCGCCATCCCGCCCGTCGTCCACAGACATGCCTTGTACGCCGCAAGTAGGCCGGCGGGCGAGTGCGGATCGACGCCTTTGGACACGGCTTGCTGCACGGCGGCGGTGACTGCCAGTCCAATCTGAGAGCAGACCGGGCAAAGCGATATGAGTAAAATATATGCGAGACCAATGCTATGCGCACCCCTGAGCCGAGCTGGTAAGACGTGTTGGCCAAGCCACCGGCTAGACCCTGGGCGGACGGCGGAACCGCGCTATACGAGGGGGGCTGAGCATGAAGTCAACGAACAAGGTATACAGGTCGAACGTACCTGATCAGCGCGAGGTTCAGCACGCTGTAAGAGAGACTGATGAAGATCGATCCAAGTATGGACGTGATGAACAGGTGCGTCCAGAAGTCGGACTTGATCGTCATCACGGCTGCCGGGATGACCGCTAGTAGGGACGGGTTGTGCCCGGTTGAGTATGCCAGGTGATCGGTCGAGGGCTGGGGTTGACGTACAAACGACACATCCAATCATGCTGAACATAATGAGCATCTTCAGCGGGAACCGCTGGATATACCATCCTCCACAAACGCAGATGGGGAAGGAGATGATGCCAATCGGCTGCCGAACGAAAATAAAGCCCAGAACATCAATCATCGTCGTCGATGAAGTAAGAGGATCTCCGTACCATGAACCTGAGCGCGGTCTGGATCGCGCTCAGATGGTGCACGTTTTGTGCGATAAGCACCATGTAGTACACCACGCTCTGCCACCAACAGTACAGAAGCAAGCCGCACACCCAGGACACGCCAAAATTGGGCGCACGCCAAAGCATGAGCGGCATGAGCGGATTCTTGACCTTCTTCTCGGCGTAGGTGAACGCGACGAGCATCAAGACGGAGACGATGAGGACCGCGATGATGAACGCCTGTCACTGCGTCAGCCCCCGGATCGACAACGAGGAGGAGAGAACGTGCCTTGCCCCATCCGTAGATTCCGCCGCTCGATAGGCAGAACACGAGCAAGACGAGCCCGCCCGTTCCGAGGCCGGCGCCCATGAAGTCCATCGCCGGCTTCGGTCCTTCCACCTCCGCGTCCGGCGGGAGCACGAAGACGCCCGCGAGGGTGATGGCGCCGACGAGCATGGCCGAGATGCGGAAGATCCATTGCCAGTTGAGGAAGGCCTGGATGATGCCACCGAACACGAGCCCGGAGGAGAAGCCGACCGCACCGGCGGCGCCACTGAACGAACACGAGCGGAAGGGGGAAAACGTGAGTGACCTTTGTCTCTGGCATTTGCATGATCTGGATGATTCTCTTTCTCACAAGATACATAACGCGGTGTTGCGTTCCCGGGAGTTGAAGTATTGCGACAGGATGCCGACCGCAGCAGGGACCTGCCCATGGAAAGATATGATCAGTACAAGGGAACGATAGATTTATGACGTGTCTGGCGCACAGAAGCGGCAGCGCCGAGACCTTGCATGGCGCGGAAGACGATGGCAGCGACCTTGTTTGGCGCAAAAGAGACAACTGACAGGCATGCTATCAGACCCGATGTAGGTGTTACGCTGTGACAGAGCTTACGTAGCGTCCAGAGCGTCAGCCAGGCCATTCCAAGTTCAAAGACGCGTTTTCTGCCATATCGGTCTGCCATCACGCCTGGAAATACAGTCAGATCACACTTGGAAATGTCATGAATAGGTTGAATATACCCGCAAGGAGCAAGAACCCTCCGAATGCAAGCGCGTACGCGCTCATAATCCAGCTGGTACTGGATGCTTCGATGTGGAGCGAGCGAGACATGGCCGGAAGAGAAATGTTGACGGCTGTTAATAGCAGGTTGTCGAGCAACTGCAGAGATTTACCGCGTCAGCAGGTGTTCCACACAGACAAGGAAGTATAACCACCTGCGCAGTTCCAGTGACCACGAGAAGACTCATGCCCTTCATTGTCCACAGGCGATCCGGGATAGGCTCCTCCTCCAGGTCAAGCAGCTCCGACAACGGCGCGAGTCCGCTCTCAGGGTCGTTCAGCTTAGACGTAGGGGACTGAGGCGGAGGGACAACGTTTTCGATGTACGTCGCGCCGTCGACCTTCTGATCCGGCGCACCGGCAAGCGCAGTCGAATGCCAGGATGTCGGAGCAGGCGAAGAAGAGGAAGCAGAGGGCACGCCCATCACCACCGACGCGATCGGGTCCGGGACGTACACATTGGCAGGCGGGGATTCCGGGATCGTCTCTACGACGTCATGACCTTCCGCAAAGCCCTCCCTCCTACGAACCTGGCTATCGCGTCGGGCCTCCAAGCTGCTCAAAACAGGATGCAACAGATGCAGGTCGGGGCGGCGTGAGCTTCCTCCGCCGGTACTGCTCGCGGTTGAGACGCGGCGGGCCGCTCCTGCCTTGAACCCGGCTCCCTCACCAGCGAGGCCGGTCTCTAGGCCGGCAGTCTCGTTCTGTGTCGCGCCTTGGCTAGCGCGACGACCGTACCGTTGTGCGACGGACGAGGAGAGGCGTCTCCGAGCGGGGGCATCGTACGGAGCTTGGGTCTCATCTTCGCTATCGGAGGAGTCGGTGAGAGCCGAGTCGTCGACGACTTCCGAGTGGCCCATGTCGGGAACCGGTGAAACCTTGTGCGCGGGATCTTCGGGGGAGCTCCAGGAAGACATCATGGACAAAGAGAATAGGAGGTCGGGCAAAGCTGCCCTGCGAAGAGGATATATATACGTCTTTCTGAAGGTTGCAGCAATATGTAAACGTCGTCGAGCACGGGGCCTGCCTCGGGGCACAGGGGAGAGGATCTAGTCTCTCGGGACTCGGTATGTCGGCCAACACCATCCGGCTTCGTTTGACGATAACAATTTTTTTCATTGGAGAGAGACAGGCTCGGTTTTGTCATAATATCAAGAGTGATGAGCGCAAGGACCATGGGAGGGACGGCGAACGGCGAACGACGGTCCGTTATCGGAAAATCTGGGCGCGATGCAGTGATTTATCACGTGTTCATTGAGAGCCACATGGATCACCGGCCCCGCGTTCCCTGCAGGTCTGGCCAGCTATTCGCTGCTATTCGTCAGGGTCATGTAGCAGGTACATTGGTCGAGGTCATTGGATGACACGATGGCAATCAACAAGCTTGAACAAAGCTATTGCCGGGGCCTAAGATCACCGGCGACTTCAGGACGCCCAGGCCGGCCTGCGCTTTCCCCGTAAGCCCCACATGCATGCCCGCACGGACATCGCGCCGACTGACGATGCCAGGAGCGGCATCCCTCCCCATAGGCGGGGAAGAAGTCAAAAGTCGATAGCAGTAGCGGCATCCTTCGCACAGGCGCTTAAGAAGTTAAGGGCAATTGCGTTGTTGTGGTCCCATACTTTCTTCCCGAGAGCTTGAGAAGTCGGCCAGGTCCGAGGAAGCGCCATATCAAACCGCTGCTTGGATATGCTCACGCTGAGGCTGAGCTGAGCCGCCTGAGCGAAAGCCCCACATGATGCATCATGGGCAGTAATCAACCTGTGATCCGAGCGAGAGGAGTTTCACTGAGCAAATTTCGCTCTCGCTTTACGTCCTTTTGGCTCTGTCAATATCGGGTCAGCTTGCGAACACGCGTCATGACAGAGACACCGCGGCTGCTCACAAGTTGCGGCCATTGCGCTTTTGCGACCGACGTTCGGGACGTCGAGTCAAAGGAATCACGGATTCCAAGGCAGACCGTTGTGGTTGCGGTTACTGTTGAGTACATCCGATGTATAGTATCATAAACCGTAAAGCAATGCGTCCTGTCAAGAATCGCATTCACGTCAGTCCTGCGCCAGCCTTCAGAAAGAGAACATGGCAGTACCTTTTGCATATTCTACGACTTAGCCCAATACGGCCCCTGGCCCCAGCGCTCATACTCGAATCTCCCATGCAACCTCGTCAGGATGCTGACAAAATCCGGCTCGTTGTCCGGGGTGATGAACCCGTTCCGAATCATGAAGTCGATGAGCACTGTCAAAAGAACGCGTTCATCGTTGGTTAGCACACGAGGAAACGAAGGTCGACGCCGTACCCAGCGCCGTGTTCGGCTTGAACTCGGCCGCGCGCATCCGCGACACTGCTTCCGCCAAATCTAGGAGCTAGTGAGGTACAAGGTGTGAGTTGTCTTGGATCTGCAGAAGCTGCTTCCGAGTGTCACGCAACGCACCTCGAAAGATTCGACTTCTCCGTCGAGCGGCTTGGGGACAAACGCGCTAGCTGCTTCGGTGCTCAGACCACGGGGTATACGCAAATCGTATACAAATCTATGAGGATAGCCTTGAGCTTTTGATACAGGCGGGTGAAATGCTCGTAACTCACTGTATCTCCGGTTGAAGCCAATCCGCCTCCGTCCTGAAGCAGCGCCTTGAGCAGTGTAAAACCGCCGACATATAAGTATGCGCTTACCTGAAGAAGTAGCTGATACTTCCAGCAGCTCGCGCATGCTGCCTAACAATGCTCTCTTCGATGTTACCCTCCTCCATTGCCTCCTTCACCAGCGACTCAAACGGTGTCATTCCGCAGGGTATCCCGCCCGCGATCGTGTTATCCAAGTATCCTGGCCACCTAGATCCCACGCATCAATACCTCATTGAGACTCGTCCAAGAACGCAGTGAGAGATCGACATTACGTCTGCTTCGTCCTCGCTCGCCGTGGCACCCACACCTTCACCCTATTTCCATCTCCGTCCTCTTCATAAACCGTCATATGCACGCCGTACGTCACCACGCCGAACAACGCGCACGCGCTGCGTTCCATCGAGAACGCGTAGTTCGGACACCCCCTCGCCTGCTGATCCTCCTCTTTCCCGCCGACGACCATCTCCTTCTTCCCCGCCGCCTCCTCCCCTCCGGCGCGATTGACGATCCGAGCCCCGAACGGGTCACGATAGACGGGATACATCTCCGCCCTCCACTTCTTCGGGCCAATCACGTCCGCGAAGCGCCCCTTGTCCCGCCACCGCTCGCACAGCTCCTTCATCACCGCGCTCCGCTTCGCCGGCGTATCGAGGTGCTCCTCGAACGACACCGCCACGACCGCGTCCCTGTCGCGGATGATGTACCAAGATGGGGGACGGCCGAGCGATGCATTTCGCTCGTTGTCATCTTCGAGAAGTCTGACGATAACCGGGCGCAGGAGTCCGAAGACAGGCGCTGGCTCCTTAGGCCCGAAGAATACGCCTTCGGTAAGGCGCTCGGAGAGCGTCCAGGGTACGAGAGCCTGGATGGTATCCCCGAGGCGGAAGTTATCGGCCAGGCCTACCAGGGAGAGAAAATCAAGTGGTTCAGATCCTGACATCCTTCCTCGTTTGTCCGTCGTCGTGGACTATGTCGCGGACTTTGGGAGAGTGGTTCATCGGAGTCATCGCAGTTGGGCGCCCGAAGAGGACTGGGCTCGCAGTCGGGAGCGGCAGGTGTAGCCCTACTTTGGGGTTAGCTACTTATCGAAATTGAAAGAAAGAATTGACGATCAGTGATGGGATTTGCACGCGTTTGCGAGATTTAAGATACAATACATAATTGAAGTTCTATACGACAGCGGGTCGGCGAGGGAAAGTGGGGAGAGGGTCACCTAAGCCGCCCGATAACCCCTTGGAGTGAGGGCATAAATATGCGATAGGTGGTCTGCGCAACTTTCGACGCAGGCCAGTTGTAGTTCCGTCATGGGACATTTCCCTCGAGTCGGCCGACCAGAAACCCTACAGCTAAACTCAGAACGATAGACACTGGCGCCAACACGCGTTCAGCAAGCCGGTGCGTGCCGAATAGAGGTAGGGGTCCCCTGGCTCAACATGACATCAGTCGCCCTTGGCTTGTTCGTGTTTCGTGGTTCTGTACTACGGATATGCCTGGCAATCGTCGACACATTTCTTCAGACATAAAAGAGCTTATAGTCAGCCTCGTCTCGCGAGGCTATAAACCAGAGAAGGTCGCGGAAATCACACAATGCAGTCGGAGGACGGTTTTCCGAGTGTGGTCGTTGGCATGTAACACTGGCAAGGTGGAAAACAAGCCTTTTCAAGCTGGTAGACCTCGTATCTTGAATGGAGTGGACTGCGCGGTAGGTGCTAATACTCGATATGTCCACTGCTCACAAAAATGTCAGTTCATCGAAGGTTGCCTGGAGCGTCAACCGGACATGTATCTCGAAGAACTGCAACACGAATTGTTTGAGCTGCGCCAAGTGTCTGTATCCACTGACACCATATCTCGGACGCTCAAGCACAGAGGATGGACATGCAAGGGTGTAAGTCAAGCACTGCCTCCATTCTACCACCCTCTTACCTGGCATTGTAGATCTCTCGAACAGCGATAGAGCGAAACGAAGAACATCGCGCAACGTACCAAATACGCATGGCGCAGCACTACCACGCGGAGCAGCTCGTCTTTGTTGACGAATCGGCATTCAACAAGCGCACTGTGATGCGCCGAAAGGGATGGGCACCGTCGGGTCACAGAGCCCGACGGAGCGACTGGTTCATTCGTGGCCGGAGGTATTCGATTCTACCTGCTCTCTGGCTCGGGGGCATACTCCATCTTGATGTTCAAGAGCGCGCATACACTGCCGCTCTCTTCAACGAGTTCATCCGTGGTCTCCTTGACGAAATGGAGCCGTTCCCTAACCCGAAGTCAGTAATCGTGATGGACAACGCGTCCATCCACAAGTCCGAGGCTCTCAGAGACTTAGTTGAAGCGCGGTAAGTGGGTCGGCCTTGTTTCCCGCTACACAGGGCCTTACTAGTGTGCAGTGGTATGCGCATTGAGTTCTTACCCCCGTACTCGCCTGACTACAACCCAATCGAAGAGTTCTTTTCCGCGATGAAGGCCTCAATACGGCGTGATATCGATGTTGTCCGAGCTCAGCTTGCGGGCGACCATGCTTGCGATCCTTATCGTGTTATTTGGGAGGCCGTGTTCGAGGCTGGATCCCCAGAGAATGCGGAGGGATGGTTTAGGCACTCCGGATATGTGTAGCGCATCAACATACCATGCTTTCTCGATTTCACAATACTGCAGCATCGCACAGCGGCGAGAGAGCAGCACTACTATCGGACCCCCTTACACGCCCCACAGGTCGGCTTCTTTTCGTCAGCGGCATGCATCGGCTTGCCTAATGAGCGTTGTCGTCAGTGTCTATCGTTCTGAGTTTAGCTGTAACAAGGACGTGAGTAAGAGGCGCCAAGCGCCGCATTCCGCCTCCCCTTGCAGTTTGCTCGAGTATATCAAATCAGTGTGCATACAATACAGGTGTGGTACGATAATTGCAAGGACACAGCAGGAAGCCATGACATATACATGGGCACTCACGAATTGACCATCTCTGACCGTGGGATGATCCGTCTGAACACAAGTTACTTGCCACGGGTTTACATCCGCGGACATCGGCCGTTGCCATGGTTTATCTTATCTTATCGAACAAGCGCTCAAATTTCCGTCCAGACACGGAAAGTGTCATTAGGACCCCTGAATACAGGGCCAAATGCCTGCCGGTAGTCCGGAGGAAAATGTGCTCTCCAGCGGTCGTAGGCCTGGTCACAATCCGGAGGAGTAGGGGGTGCCGAGCGAAGAAGGCCTGTCCCGTAGGTCCGGAGGAATATGGAGCCGGGTTAAGAGGCCTGTCCTAAGGTACTACATTAGCCCCATGGTGTAGTGGTTGAAATCGTCCCTGACTGATAAGCTGTGTGAAGGAGAGTAAACTAATAGGCCCTGGTTCCATTCCCCCTCTAGGTAAACATTCTGCATTTAAATGGCTCAGCGGTGCGGAGTACATCACTGTAGCGCAGGTTCAATAGATGCTCGCGTTCGAACCGCGAGCCATGCATTTTAATATGTAGCTAATGTAGTAGACAAGGCTCTGCGATAAGTTTTCGACGTGACCGATACCGTCGACTTTTTCCACCGCACCTATATCCGCTGCATTGGAACATTCCTGCCAATCCAAGATGGACATCATGGACCTGTGTACCGACATTCTCTTGGAGGACTGGATTGGGAAAGGTCACACATACAAAAATACACCCGCAGCCGTCTGGGAGGCATGCGACAGGGAGCTCGACATTCCACTGCAATACAAGGATTGGCTGCCTATGCCAGACTTACCTGTCAAGGACTTCATCAAGCTCACTCTCCCCCCTATCTCGACGGATCTGGTCGTTCCGGCTGTCAACAATTGGTTCAGTATGGACATGCCGTCAAACCGTCTGTCGTCACTCCGTCACCGGATGATCCCGCCGGCACACATCGTTCAGAAGCTTCAAGGCATTGTGGGCCAGAACATCCTGGATGGGGCAAAATCAGTCGTCGACCCACGCTTTAACCAAGGGCAAGACCGCTTACCATTTTGGATCCTGAAGTTTTGGATTGAAGTCTCCGAAGCCACCCGTGCCCAGGACATGTGGAAGACGTCGTGGAACTGGTTGACACGAGAGACATGTGGAGCTGACCCCGAACAACGTGCAGAATGCGAACGTGCAATCACATTCTTCTCCCGTGTTGGTTGGAGGAGCCCAGTCATTGCCCCAGGCGCGCCGTCGTGCATGACAACCATGGAGTTCACTCGTATCCTCGGCGAGAACTGGCTATCCGGACAGATCATCGACATGATGATGCAGCAAATTTCGATGGATTCCCGAGGGCGCGAAGGACCTACTCTTGAATATGCCGTTGGCGACCTCATCGTCCAAGAGGAGATTCAGAAGTTTACTTCTGTCAAGGGCTCACGCCACACCCCGAAGCTCACTCGTTACGAAAAGCGTGTCGCCACAGAGGGGCTCCAACGTTTATACTTTCCGGTCAATGTCCATGGCAACCACTGGGTCGCAATGTGTATCGACTTCGTACATCAGTCTGTCGGTTATGGTGAGTGATGGAATGTATCATCGGTTTCGCCAGACTCACCATTCTGTAGGCGACTCCTTGCCACAGCTTCATGGCCCTCTGAAGTCGGAGATACTTGCTTGCCAGAAGTATATCCGCGAACGATTTGGCTCGTGCAATGTCAGCCATGTATGGAAAATCGATCACGGCACTCAGACAGGTACCTATGAATGTGGGTTTGTGACAGCGAATACAATCGCGCACGCAGTCCTCGGAGAGACTCTATGGATGCCGGCAACACGTAGTGCATGGCAGGTTCGGTGGTTCAACACGCTTGTTGAGGCACATATGTCGATCAAGGTGAGGGGGACTACATCATGTACCGCTCAGCACCTATTCACCACTTATGCACGCAGAACATACCAGACGATCCTTCATTGTCGCACGAGTCCCACCCGCAAACGTCTGCGTACATCTTCCCCATCCATCCTGTAGCACCACTGCCTCCGTCGGACGAGTCCACTCCCGTGGATATCAGAAGTTCCGAAGGCGAGCCGTCTCTGAGCCACGCAGACGGGACCAAGAATTCCGGCATCCCTGCGGACATGAACGATACGTGTTGTGACGTGGCCGGTCTTCCTGCGAAAATGGGCGGGTGCACGGAGGGCGATACGTCGAGAGCCGGCCAGGCGAACACGGATGCGATGGACATCGACCACGGGGTGGGCAAGGTAACACACTCGAGCCATAACGATAAACTGGATGGCGGTGCTGTTAGAAAGAGTGCGCAAGGACCGGACACCGTATGCGCAGAGCCTCGTACCGGGGATCGACCTCCCGCAACCCCATACTTCTCCCACTCGCAAACGTCCGCGCTCGTCTGCCCCGTCCATATCGTAGCGCCGCTGCCTCTGTTGGACGAGTCCACTCCCGTGGAGACCAGAAGATCCGGAGGCAAGTCACCTCTGAGCTACGCAAACGGGAGCAAGGATTCCGACATCACTGCGGACATGAACGATACGTGTTGTGACGTGGCCGGTCTTCCTGCGAAAATGGACGGGTGCGTGGAGGGCGATACGTCGAGAGCTGGTCAGGCGAACACGGATGCGATGGACATCGACTGTGGGATGGGCGATGTAACACACTCAAGCCATAACGATATACTAGGCGGTGGTGCTGTCGGAAAGAGCGCGGAAGAGCCGGGCGTGAGCATGATTGCACAAAAGCGGATGCGAACTCTAGAATCGTGGTTCGGCAACAGGTCACACACAGGAAAAGAGGCAACAACTCACGCGTCTGCGTCAAATGATTCAAATAACATTTCCTTGCGGCCGGCGAAGAAAGTAAAGGGAACTGGGGATCAATCTTCGGGAGGCAGTGACTCAGCGAAGTCTGAGCGTGAACAGCGACGCGCACGCGACAACGGCACCTTCGTCGTCAATGATGTCCGGCTTGGAAAGTGGAAGGCGAAGATTGAATGTCTTGACCAGCACTACGAAATCATCACCCCTGGATTCGTTGTGAAGCACTCAGTATGCGGAAAGCCAGTGCACATGAAAGCTGTGATGAGAAGAGAAGGACAATTTATTTTCGCATTTTTCATTTCTAAATATGGACTTATCATTTTCCTTTTCCCACCTTTCCTTTTCCAAAGTCACGTGACCTTCAGTGGCAGCAGTACAGCATCATTGACACTGCCCTACACTGCCCCGCACTGCCTTGCACTGCCTTGCACAGCCTTGCACAGCCACCGGAGTTTTGTTCCGCTTACTCATGAACAATGACTCGTTATTCCTTCTAACTCCTTGATTCATAATCCTGACCCACCTAAGTGGGTCGGTCTTACTCATCCTTGTGCCCTGCATGTGATTCTCTTGTACTATTCTTGGACCATGGATTTGTGTATATAAGACCCCTGTAGCTCGCCCTAAGTCCCCATCTCGACCTCTTGTGTCTTGGGGACTTAGGTGAGTAACCGTCTCTGTACTAGATACTATGCTAACTTGTGTCTTGGGGACTTAGTGTGTGACCTTGAGTCCATTAGGTGCCTATTGCGTCGCTGTCGACCTCGTGTCCAGTGACCTTGAGTCGAGCTCAGCTCCTCTTCATCTGCGTGTACTCTTGCCTAAAGTAAGTGCCGACGACGTTGCTCTTCCGTCCGACTCTACCCGATTACTTGGACATTTCGGCTGTCTGAGTAGTTGGTAACCCCAACGGGCGTTCCCCTGCACGCCGCTCGTCACAAAAGCGGCGTACGACTTCTACACCTTCCGGGCGCACTGCACGAGTCAAGATCCGAAGGTCAGATGCAAAGGGCCCAATAATCCACTGTCGAAGACGCCGATGCTTGCTACGATGTCGGATCGTGGCATTTTCAGGTGGACGACCGACGACATAGATCCATCCCTTCGAGGTTTTGACAAAGCTGCACGAACTCAAGCTCCAGTGAGCGTTGCAGAGCTGGTGAAGCTTCCTTGCCCAGGCCTCACGAAGGCTGACGATCCACGTATCGAAGGATATTTGACACGTCCTAGTGGAGACGGAGGCGGATCGAGGTCATTAGCGGTTATTGCGAAGGAGCGATATGACAAACCGTTCCGTGCTCTTACTTCAACGGAGCAGGATGTTGTTCGTGATGTGCGTGGCCATGAAGAGCGTTGGAGAAATAAACGCGAACAAGGCCGCGTCTACCATGTCGAATGCAAGAAGAATGTCGAGAGCCCGGCCGACGGTGGTGCTGGCAAACGAGTGCTACCGTGTGAACGCTGCAACTCTCTCCTCAAAGACGGTCAATTCAGGCGTGCCATCAAAGTTCCAGTGCCCAACGACGCGAATTACAAGTATACAAACAAAAAGTACACACATGAAGGCCTTGTGTCCATATACGCACGAGTGAAGGGATTGCGTGAATTGATCGAGGATCCCGTACGTATTCATGATATTCTTTATTGTATCCTGGAGCTTACTCTCGTGTGTCAGGATTTGCATAAGAGCCCGTTCATCCAATTCGCACAGGGAGTAGCCGCAGGCAAGCCTGCATATCAGAATCATGAATTTTTCATGGGACTGGTGGATGTGTTTACGAGGAAGGTCGCACTGGAGGAAGAGGGCAAAAGCACAAGGAACTTTAAATATCCCCTCGCATACGACGAAGCATTCAATGCTCTCCGGATTCGTAGTCCGGAGGGTTTCCGGTTCCTTGGGAAAGAACTCAAAGCTAGGACAGAGCGTAGCTACCGGTTCGTTGGCACCTGCATCATAACAGATCGAGAAACTAATTGCGTCCTCAGAATGAAGGAGGCCCGTCAGCCGGCCTTCCCGATGTACATATGTGATCAGACGTTCGAACTTGTTCGAGCCCACCTCCAATCCTTGCAATACGAAGGTCCTGTAGCTTTGAGCTGCGATGACACGAAGCTTTTCCAGGATTGGCGCATATACTACGATGGGAAGCAAAAATCTTACTTCCTCGTTGGCGGCCTCGACGAGAAACCGATTCCCGTCGCTGATCCTGACCAGGTGCGAAGCATCATAGAAGACCAAGACTTGGTTAAGGCTTCAAAGGTTCGTTATGCATGCCGTTCTACAAAAACAGGAGTCTCATTCAGGTACTCTAGGTTCGGCTGTATACCTTGCAAATTCCCCTCCCCAAAGTCGCGTCCATCATCGTTGCGGCCATCCCCAACTCGGATTCCCTCACCGTCGAGCAGGGTTACACTCTCGCGATGCGTGTCTTGCACGGGCTTATCGACGTCAACATCGAGGTCGTCTCGTATGCGTGTGATGGAACCGAGACAGAGCGTGGTATTCAAGATATGATCACCGAGAGGGCGGAGGATGTACATGAGTGGGCCGTGAGTTCCAATGGCATCGCCGACGATTTTTGCATCAAAGTTCCCGTCATCCACGGGCAGCCCGTCGTAATGATCCAAGACTCGAAACACGCTCTCAAGACACTCCGCAACAATTTATTCTCGGGTGCACGCCTTCTCGTCTTTGGTGAACATGTCATCGGATACGATGCAATCCACGACATCGCGTTCCGCGATGGAAGTCCCTTATATCACCGCGATGTCATCCGGCTCGACCGACAAGATGATAACGCCGCTGCCCGACTCTTCTCCGCCTCCACTCTCTTGTTTATCATCAATAACACACCGGAGTACGTCGGTGAAGTTGTTTATCTCTTCGTCTTCGGCGAACTTGTCGACGCGATCCAAAATCGCTCCATCTCCCATGGCCAGCGTGCTCAGATGGCTCTTCGTGCATGGCATTTCCTCCGCCTTTGGACCTCATATCTTGACCTCGCCGGGTACGCTCATACAAAGTACTGCCTATCACGAGAGGCAATAGACATTGTGAAGAAGGTTGTTGAGGGTTACCTTGGACTTCTCCTCGTCCATCGCGAGAAAATATCGTTGGAACATTTTCCGTTTCTTCCTTGGCTCCATTCAAGTGAACCTTGCAAGCATGTATTCGCAGAGGCTCGGAAGATCGTCAAGGACTTCTCAATGCTCGAGTTCTACTACATGATCAAGAAGCTCCATGTGACAATCCGACAAGCAGTCGTGCGAGGACATTCCTCCGACCCAACCGCTCGAGCTCAAGGTTACTGCCACACGTACTTCGACACCACTAGCATCGACCTTCACGTTCTCGCCATCTTTCCATCCTTACAGGATCTCAACCGCATCACCTCCCTCGCCCGTTCAGAAGCTGAGAACCTCTGGTCGCTTCTCGGTGTTACGCCGACCTCCTTCCAGTCGGCCGCACTCTCCAGATCAACCGCGAGAACTTTGCCGAGTATCTCTAAATGGTACATTGACGAATCCGAAGACGATGACGGTATCAAGAGCGAAGAGAATGAGGAGGAAGAGGGTAGTCGCGCAAAGCTCCAAAAGCTCTTCGACCTTGACACGCGAGGAGAACTGAGACCACCGGGCGCAACGTATGCGCAAGATGCACACGTAGCACAGTTCGCGTTTGCTGCAACGGCTGTCGACTACGACGAGCTGGGCCGAATGTGCGTGAGTCTTCGAGCCTACATCGTGCCAACTGACATTCTTCGCAGTTTCGAACTTCCTGAATCGTCCACAGAAGAGCTTGCGACTATATCGGCCCAAGAACGCCACGACATCAAGGCCTCCATCGACTGTGCCAGGGCCGACATCTCAATCTCTGCAGTAAACCTTGAAGACCATGCCGTCGAGGGTCTTACATCGCTGGGTTTCGCTTCGTTCGACATGTCGGCACTGGTTTCGACTCGGAAGTCTCATGAGACTCACCAGGCAAAGCGAGGAGTACGCACCGCTGGTCCTCAGAGGAGCGAAGAGAATCCAGCGGACTTGGCCCGCCGTCAGTTGCTCCGGGGAATGCATGATGTCTTGAAGGAGCAGCAAGGCCGTGGCGTCGGCACTGGACAGGAACGTGCTGTGCGTTGGACAACACGAGATGAGCCGGCAACAGGGAATGCTGCAAATGCAGTGGTGACGGCTAATGCAGCCGCAAAGAAGGTGCGAGATTCTGTTGGACGGTTTTGGATGCATTCCACTAAGTGCGGTTGTACTTCTCCTTAGGCCCTCGTTAAACGACGCGCGGTATTCAGGAAGGCTAAAGTCTCGATTCTTGATGAATTGAGTAGCGCGAAAATGTCATCACTGACTCCATTACGTCGAGGCGAGTACGGGATCGTTCTCGCTTCCACGGGACATCTCATGATTGCCCGAGGTGAGTGTTTCCTGGTCCGATCAAGTTGCTCTGACCGGCTCGCCATTGCAACAGTGTTATTCATCTATTCGAAGAGCGCTGGCAAGAACGCCAAGCACGCCTCCGTCCCAGACACTCCCAACATCGGTGCTGTGTCGAATCTCGCCGTTCAGCTCTACGAACACCACTTCGGCAATCAGTTCCGGGCCATACACAGGTCGCTGGCCGACATCCAAACTCCCAAGTTCGCGCTTATACCACCAATCACCTTCCTTTGCCGGCTCGAAAGCAACAACGAGACATCGTTCCGCGGCCATGGTTCAACTCTCGAGCTCAGCGCGACATCATTCCAGCTGTTCGGCACGCTTTTGAACCAATCTGAAAGGTTGTCCATGGCCATCAAGTTCTCCCGGTCCCGCAAGTTCAACACTGCCCATCAGGCGGGCGACAATTCAGACTCGGAGTAACGAAGTTTCATTGCTAGTGTCGTTATTACATATGTAGTACACGCGGGTTTAGTCTATGAGTGATACAAGATGTGCTGAAGGCGAACAAACGCGAATCGAAGCGAAAACCCACCGGGGAAGGCGAAAACGAGATTTTCGGACGGTCTTCGAAGGCCTGTCCGTCAATCCGGAGGAAAATCGAGCAACTTGCTCGAGGCCTGTCCTAGTCCTGAGGAAAATCGGCTTCAGAGGGTGTCCTCAATCCGGAGGAAAACCGGTCGTCAGGCCGAACTTGGGGTCAGGCCTCAGACCGTACATTCAGGGGTCCTGTGTCATTACGCAGAGAATGCAAAGCGCAGTAGACACTACGATTATGTAAATGATACCGATAAGACCGAAACAGACTTCGGCGGCTCGGCCAACTGATACATCACACGTACAGAGTGATACCAGTACATCATGTAAGCGTTCTCACACCTACAGTGTCACGCTGCTGCGTCCCATCTAAAACTAGCGCTCGTCCGTCCGATATTCGCGGATTATCACGCTTTATCACGCTTTATCACGCTTTTGTAACGTTTTGGCTGGGGTCACACTTCTGTCACTGTGACGAGGCCCATGCGCAAAAACCAACTCCCTCCTTCGGGGGAGTCGGAAAAAAAACCTGCATGAAACTTTGACCGTTGTCAGAGTTACTCACAGTATCGCAATCTTCGACGATACCTTCGAGGACGAGCTCCTCGAGCATGCCCGACTCGATACCATTCACCCCGGTACATCCAACCAACTTCAACGTGTGGACGGCCAAAGGTTTCTTCGACGCTTGTCTCAACTGACATGAGGCGTGCCCTGGTAGTTGCGTAAAAACGACTTGTCTAGTGCTCGGGTCGCTCATTCTAAGTGACCATGTACAATGGTGTATGGAGCACGTCATAGAGAACATCCACAAGGGATCCTGATCTCCGAGGTAGATGATTGCTGCATACCTGAGGGGGGTATCGGCGAAAAAGGCGCGGTAAAAGCCAAATTGCGGTGTACGGAAGCAGCAAGGATCAACTGGAAGCAGCCGCGGGGGAGCATGCCGCCTCCTACGTGTGGACGCTGGGGAGAGTTCCAGAGAATGAATTTTGAGGCGGAGAATATGGAAGGGGAGCTGGAACAATTGATCTGGAATCACATTTTGCCGCTCCAGATTCCTGCTGGGATCCTCAGTACGTCCTCGCCTTCATTATCTGCGCCAAGGGTTTACGTAGGGCTGAGCGAAAACTACACCCAGCGGACGAGGGTGATACCTGGGGTCACTTCAAAGTCAACGGCAAGAAGATGGAAGGACTATGGGCTCAGCTCGAGTTGAGAGGTATGGCTTTTGTGGGCCCTCATGTGCTTCGATGATTCTAATCCGATACCCTTTGTTAGCTCACGAATGTGTTTCCTCGGATTCGGGCTAGGGACATTTAACTGAGCTCATGCATCATCCGGACGCTCGCGACTCCTCTCTGCGCTCTCCCCCGGCTTCATCATTGCATTATATTGAGCGTTCGGTTGTCATGAATCGTATTAAGGTTCGCTGCTGAGTGTATGGACACGAAGCGACCAGCATGGGGCTTGTCTTTTTGATTTTTTATTCAACATCTAGGTCCGCGAACCGGCCAACTGCGAGATGCTGAAACTACGAGGGCAACATGAAACCTGACTGATGTGGCCGTCGCCGTGCACGTTCACAGCGAGAATCACGCCTCAATAAGCCCACAAATGGTGCGCGGAAACAATCTTCCATTTGACTGAGAGTAGAATACAACAGCAGCGCAACGCAAACGCAAGAAGATGGCTTTGCGCCCATCCGCAAGTCTAGTAGCGTTGTCATGGCTTCGTCTTGATATTGCTGACAATAAGACTCTGCCAGGCCGTTCAACATCAATTCCGCGAGCGATGTGCGAATAAGGCACACCTTGTACGCTTGCACGTCGCCCTTGAACTTCGTAACCGCGCCATCACCACATACCCATAACTGCAAATCCACCAGTCAGCACATCGGCACTGAAGCAGGGAAAACCCGCCTACCTCTTTACCGACGCTGGTGATGAATCGCTCATCGTGAGAGATGAGGATGACACCGCCGTTCCAGGTGTTAAGGGCCGCCATGAGGGCATCCAAACCCTGGCAAGTCATCAGAAAACTAGGAGCACCGACGATATATACGCGCAGAAACTCACCTCCATATCGAGATGGTTTGTAGGCTAGGTTTGACGTCAGTCACGCACAAGTTTGCTGCAATTTTGTTCGAGGACGTACCTCGTCCAACAATAACACATGCGGGTTTTGCAAAGACAGCGCTGCGAATGCGACACGGGATTTCTGACCTCCCGATAGCGTTCCAATAAGTTGTAATCTACGTGAGAGCACCATCAGGCGACTTCTCATCCATGTCGCGAATGTTCACTCACCCAGTCATACCACTGATTTGGAAGTTGCCAAGGTGTTGTCTGTACTCCTGTTCGCTCTTCCCGGGGAAGCGGGAGGCGAGGAGGGAAACCGGCGTGAGCGTTGGGTCGAGGGTATCGACGTGGTGTTGAGCGAAGTAGCCGATGCGCAGCCGGCCGTTACGATTGACCTGTCCAGAGAGCGGTTGCAGCTCGCCGATGAGGAGCTTGATCCTGTCGTCCAGACGGATCAACCGGATGAAGTGCAAGGGTAGAAAGACGGAACGTACAATGTAGACTTGCCTGCACCGTTTGCGCCGACGACGGCCATACGCGAGTCAAGGCCGACGTCAAAGTCGATGTCTTTGAGGATGATCTTATCCGGACTGTAACCGAAGGAAACCTTGGAAAGTTGTAATAGCGGCGGTGAAATCTTCTCCGCCTCGGCGAATCTATCGACTGTCATGAGGCACTGCTGACGAACTCCATCGAATGACATCGGCTTACTTGAACTTCTCGGTCTCCTCGGCCTCTGGTGGCGTCAACTCCGGTAACTAAGATGTGGTTAAGTCATATCGAACAACGTGTAGACATCCGGGAGTCGAACCTTTTCCAAGATCTTGATCTTCGACTGGGCTTGGGCAGCTAAACCCGGAGAGTTAGCCAGGCGGTAAAGTCATTCGTGGATGGGCGAGAACGTACCCCTATTGGCGTTGTATCTCCACCTATCGATGAAAGCCTGCAGATGTTTCCTGTACTCCATCTGAGTATCGTACTCCTTTCGCAGATTGCGATCCCGCTCCGATTTGGTCGAGTAAAACTGAGTGAAATTGCTACAGGTCATGCATCAGCCTACACATTCGCTGTCACGCCGCGTAATGCTCACCCTTTGTAATAATCGAGGCGACCAGAATGTTGGTGTATGATATCCGTCGCAACGGCGTCCCTGCAGCCATTTCTCAGTACGTGGACAGTCAACTGGTGACGAACTTCTTACAAGAATGCACGATCGTGAGATCTGTGCCGAAAGCCAGCGTTCAGTACGGCAGGAGGCGCAGGGTATGTTCTACTTACACGACGAGAAGTGTACCAGGCCAGGTTTGGAGGTAGTCCTCTAGCCACGCCAGCGCGTTCAAATCGACTGGAAGACAACATAAACGGTCGTGGAGTGACGAATGCAAGATGGTGACGTACTGTGATTGGAAGGCTCATCGAGCAGCAGCAACGAGGGCTTGACGAACAGCGCCCGCGCGAGCGCAAGCCGCATACTATCCAGGGATCGTCAGCTTCTCCGGACATATTCTCCGGACTTGATAGCCATTCACCGCCAACCACCACTGAAGCTCCTCGTCGGTCTCTTCTGATCCTCCTCGCTGAAACCCAATCCGGCGAGCAAGGCGGCCGCCCGCGCGGGACCACTCTCTGCTTCCATCTCCGCCAGCCTCTGGTGCACCTCCGCCAGCCTCGTCGATGCCTCTTCGCGCGCATCTTCGAATCGCTTGTCGTCGCCCTCGCCTTCCAGCTCTGCGAGTTTAGAATTGAGGATGGCTTCTTCGTGGAGGAGATGGTCCCGCCATACGTCGGCCTTGAGAACGGAGTCGAGTGCGGTGGTATCGTCGCCAACGATCTGGAGTGAAGGCGATCAGAGGGTGGAAGTGGTCAAAAAAGGGCGCATATATGCGAACCAACCTCCTGTTCGACGAAGAGGATTGTAATGTGAGATGGAATGGGAACTTCACGCATAGCTATATGTCGAAGTAGGGTCGACTTTCCGACACCGTTGCGACCTTTGAGCGGGTATTAGTCGATCGCGCCTTCACATCGGAACACCGATAGAAGACAAAGCGCACCAATAAGACCATATCGCCTTCCATGAGCCAATGTAAGACTTGCGCCGGACAGAATACGGTTCGAACCAAAGCTGACGTCGATAGAGGGAAGGTGGATATCCTTGCTCTTGTTCTTCGAGCCAGCGCTTGCTTCGAGGGGGTTGATCTAATCACATTGTTTTAAGAGCGACTTAGTAGGCTTTTCATATACTTCCTAGGAGACTGCTCACCTTCATAAACATTTCCTCGTATGATTGCTGCATTTCGTCGTCAGCATCAGCATACCGGTAGACACTGACATGAGAGATCTGACCTGGTTCTTCGCCTGCTGCACCAGCTTAGAGCCCTCGTACAAGCTCTTCTTGGCCCTCTTCTCGATTTTCGCCTTGAGTTTGGCCTCTTGCTTCTCCAACTTCTTGACATCGACACGAGAAGCCCTGTATATCAATGACACTTAGAACAGCTCCTCACGGAAATGCTTCTCTTCACACTCACTTTCCTTTGTTGATCGATTCAAGATCCACGCCCTCGTTGAAAGCGAGGGTATTGCTCATAGCGCCCGTCTTGCTCATGTCCATCACCTTGTCCAGCTTCGTCAACCCCGTGGCTCCCTTAATCTTCTTCCTTTCCCGCTCCTCCAGCATGTCCGCCAGCAATGTCTGCAGCTTCGCCATGAGGTTTTGCAACACGTCTTCGCGGCCCCGAGCGACTGACTCCAGTATGTACCGCGCGACGGCCAGGACGTCCTCATCTTCGCCGGCGTCATCTACGAGGTACCCGGACAGGTATTGTACAATTATTTCCTCTGTTCCCGGGAAAGCATTGCGGATCTCTTCTGCTATGTCGGCGGAAAGCATGGCGAAAGCAGAGCGCGAGATCTGAGATATTCTCGTGGCTGTGCCCTCCCCCCCTCTCTGTCTGCAAGAGTTTCTCTCCAAGCTTTCGACGGGAATCAGACGACCAACGAGCGCAGAAGATGGACAGTCCGGTCGCGTCTAACCATGTAGAAGACTCCGCTTCATGGGCTCGACAACGATATCATCATATCTTTCAGCACACATATCTGGCCACCCCTGCTGTCGCTGGAGTTTCTGCTGCTAATGTTACATTTTCCATTGTTGCACGTCTATATGTCGTAGGTATCGCGTGCACGCAAACACATCGCCAACGATTCGCCCACTGCTCCGTATACAGAGCACCTTTGCTCAGACAGACGTGACTATGGTCATAGATCAGAATCAGGGCGAGAGGCAGGAGTACGAAGGCGACCCACCGGCTGGAGCGAATCCCATTCGCTGATTCCCAACATCCCAGACGGAGAACCAATGTTTCAGCAAACTGCCGCCCACGAGTGTCAGGCCCTCGGACCTGTGTCAGAACCAGGTAAGATCCAATCAGATCGACGACGAACTGGCGGAGGTTACCCACACATTGATCAAGGTCTGGCATATCGTCGGGTCCTGCTCGAACGGGCCCACCGAAAGCTCGCTGCTTGGTATCGTCAAGTTGAACGCCTTCCCGCTCTGAGCCGTGAACGCGATGTCGATGCTCGCCGGCAGCTTTCCCACCTCCGAACACGGGATTCCGAACGTGCCCGGGAGCGCTGCGAATGGCTTGATATTCGGAGAGATCAGGGAGTGGATCGCGGTCGCGGTCGCGTTGTCGAAGAGGATGTTTGGCGTGCCACTGTCGAAGATGATCGTGCGCGCCTTCTTGAGCTGCGACGTCGACTTTCCGTTGACAAACATGCCCGGGGACGCAAGGCGCCAGGTGCCACTCGCGGGTGTCGGGAGGGAGGCGAAAGTGAGCGAACCGGTGAACTTAGTCGTGTCCACGCTGCCGAAGGTGAGCGCGGCGTGGCCCTCGGCGGCGGGCGTCAAGAAGAGGGTGAAGAACTCTGGCGGCGCAGGTCAGTGGGACGCCTTTCAGGATCGGGTTGAGACCTCACGAGAGCCTGTGGGCAGCTGGGTAACGAAGCTGTTTCCCCTCGCGGACATGCCTACGATGACGCGGGTTCAACTTTCAGTTGCCAATTCAAACGGAGCTGAGTGCGCACCCAGGATTCCATCGAAGGGGTCATCAGCAAACGATGCTGTTTGGTCCGTGATCAACCCCATCTGCACGCGCTGAACGCTCAGCCCTACGACAGAGACGGTATCCTCTCCTCCATGAAGAGTCAACACGCAGTTGTTGTTGATAACCGGCGTAACGCCGATGCATGTCGCAAACGGCGCTACGGAAGTTGTACCGAGGTCGACGAACGTGGACGATGCTGCCGGGTTGAACTGGCGTTGTTTTGCGCATGGGGAACCGCACGCCGTGCTCGGGATCTCGAGGCCGCCACTTCCGGTATCGAAGACAACCTGGTGGGGATGATCAGGGTGCGTCATAGTTTGCCTGCGATGTGCGTACATTAAACGTCTGTGGAGGCGTTCCAACTAACCGTTTTCAGTCTCCGAGCTGACAGATGAACATAGATCCACGCTCACCGGAGATATTCCCGAACCATTGCAAGTCCGTGCCATCGAAATCATCACCTAACGGGTCCGTCCTGTTCGTGCTTTGCCGCTTCGTCAGCTTCGACGTCTTGCGCGACCTCAGTTCGATCGTATGGTGCACGTCGGACGCAGCCGCCGCCGTCGAGACGAGCAATGCGCACGAGAACCAGCGGGCGGCCGAAGCGAGTCGTGCCATCGTCGTCTAGCAGGCAAGACGTCGTGAGGTTGCGCGCCTCTTGACGAGCTCAGAGATTTAAGCAGGGTCGCATGGGGCTGAAGGCTCTTCCTCATTTCGACCGACTCGAGGATACCTGGTCCCATGTGCACGAGGTGGGAAGCTAGCTCAAGTTAGCAGCGCACCGCACGACGAGGAAGGACATACGCATGACGAGGAAGACGATGCCCACGCAGTCCGCAGCAACAGCGAGCAGTGAACGTCCAGTACCAGCAGTTCTCCTCCTCCGTGTAGATATCGTGCGGTATCCTCGGCGCATCTCAGCCTTCGGACGATTCAACGAGCGCATGAGGTTTTCGGAGTGAGAACCGGGGCATCGAACCGTGCGAAGGGGTTAGGCACGACGGCCGGAACTCGATAGGAGGACGGGGTGCATGCTACGAGATGGTGGGGGCGATTTTTGGCTGGACCAGGTAATTCGGTATCGGCCTCGTCCTTATGTCGCATCCCATTGTTCCACTGCCAACCTCTTTAGGATGCCATCAAGGGAGATGGGAAGGGTTGTGGGAAGGTGAGCACAAAGAGATAACCCGTGGGAACTACTGATAACCAATCGGCGGACGCCCCGTCTCGAGCTTCTGCTCCCGATATGGCAATCCTTTGTGTGCGCGATCTTCAAGCGCGTTACCGCGATCATGAATTCGCCATTTGCGACGGGCGACTTGGCTTCTACGCATACGAAGCGGACATGCCCCCATTGTCCTCAAAGAGCCTACTCCTGATCGCAGTACGCAAGCAGCACCAAATACTCTGGTATAAATGCAGACTGCACCGGCGGACGACACGAACTTGACCTCTGGTGGCTGGGGCTCAGGCTCTCCCAAGCCTCTCTCGCGCTCAGATCAACTCGGGGATCGTCAAGGACCTTGCGGATAGCTCATTGAGATTTGGTACCTAGCCGCCGCCCGCCGCGCACTCTCCCAGAGAGGACGCATCGCCGCACATCCGAGTTGGTGGGTATCGCCCTGTGTCACCTCGTGTTCGGATCTCCGCCGTGCTCAATTTTCGCCGTCCACGGTTTCCGCCTCCGGTTCCCTTCTACGACAGGCTTCGATCAGCCAATACTTGGCCCGCCGCGCACTATCCCAGAGAGAGGGCGCCACCGCCGCACATCCGAGTTGGTGGGTATCACCTCGTGTTCGGATCTCCGCCGTGCTCAATTATCACCGTCCACAGTTTCCGCCGCCGGTTCCATTCTCCGATAGGCTTCGATCCGCCAATACTTATCGCATCTTGGCAGGCACAAAGAGAGGACAAAGGATCTCTGTTTTGGGTAAGCTTTTGCGCGTCGTCCATACTGATAACGTCGGCGGGCATTGCTACAGATTCAAGCCTCCTAGAGAAAGACGCCAGCGCGGTGCGTACTACTATACAGGACGTTATTACAAGCGTACAGTATGCTCCAGACTCCAGTACAAGCAATCCGTACATACAACAGCCAATTCCGTGAAACGGGTATACAACAATTCGATAAAGGTAGAGTGTCTGGGTGGGCACTACGGTCGGAACGCGCAGAATTATATAATGAGTCAGTTGAAGGCCTGATGCGTCCTTGAGACGGCGAAACGGCGAAGGATACCCGGTTATTGAGAAACGACGAGAGAAGGGGACAGATTGCTGAGGCGTCGAGGATGACTTGGGCATGTGAGAGCGATGTGAGAGTGATGACGTTGGGGTTATTGTGCGAAAGTCCTTGTCCTGTGTTGGGGGACGAAGAGGGGCGTAAACAACGACGAGCGAAGTTGGGTGGTGGCGGATGGAGAAGAAGGGCAACGTGTTGATTCGAGGCGAACGAGTCGCATACAGAGGATGTTGAGTGAGACGACCATTTGTTGGAGCAAGATGATGAGCGCGACGACCGTGATGAGGGTTTGCAAAGAGGAGAAGATGCGTCTCTATGACGAGGATGAAGTCGAGCGTGGCGCCCGCAGGGCGCCAAATCATGAGGTGAAATCGATAGGATGCGGAATGGCTATGTTGCGGGATTGGTGTTGATGAAGAAGTCCGAGGGAACACTTGCGAGGGGGCGAGCCAAGGGCGAGCGAGGAATCATTCGGGTCATGTGGGTCATCGTCGAGGGTTCGTTCAATGAATGGATTGTGGCGGCGCTAGCAAGGCGAGTTCAGGCGCGCCCCCGCGATCTATGCACGCTATCGCGAAACTAGGTCGTCAAGAGGCGAGCTCGGGGTTGCATGTAGTCAGCGCCATGACTACTATCCGTGTCGCGCATGCTTAGGAGAGCCAGGAGTTCGAGTTCATAATCGAGCGCTCGAGCATGTCTTCAAGCTGTGCAATGCTCGTGTTGGGATCGAGCTCGAAATCGCCCATATCGAACGTGATGGTATCATCCTGGGGGGGCGTCTCGGAGTCGACGTTACTGCCGATTGCAGAGGCATTGTTGGTGACATCACCAGCGCGCGTGGCAGACGCGGGGCTGAGGGGTGTGGGGGAGGAGGGATCCACGAGTGTGGACGAGGGCTGCCTATCCAATACATTTGACGAGAGGTTTGATGGTCCGGCATTTCCGACCGAGGAGAAATCAAGAGTCGCGACTTGGCTAGGTAGTTGACCGAAGTTATCTCCTTGCACCCCATCGGACGAGGAAGCGACAGCTCCTGAGCCCGCGTTAAGGATTCCGTAGCTCATCAGCGCAGCGTAAAGGGCCATGACATCGGAGATGCCGAATGCCCCGACGTTATTTACAGGGTTCCAGGTCCCATCCGGCATAGAAGATGCAGGGATGGAGAAGCTGCTGATCGGATGGAGGGGCGAAACATAGTTCGGGGCGAGGACGACGGGCTGCGGCAAGCCGGAATTGTCGATGAACGGGCCTACGTGCGGAGAGTTGGACGCTTGGGCGGGCACGAGGCCGAGGTTATTGGGGTAAATGTGGCCATGAAAGGCGTGGGGGGGAGTCGGTATGGTATCGAAGATCGCGGGACTGGTATGAGGGCCGACGTAAGGGGTATGAGGGATATTGAAAGTTCCCGTCGGCTGCGGAATGAACGCGGTAGGGGTTCGAGGAGCCGTCTGCTGTTGATCTGGTTGCTGCTGGTTGATGGGCCAATACAGCGGTTGGCCATGCTGGATGAAAGTTTGGGGAGAATGAGAGGGAGTCGCCAAGGGACATCCGAGACCGACCACTCCCTACATGACGGGTAATGATCAGCTTCGAGTAGTCTCAAGAGCAAGCGACAAAAGCGAACTTGTGAGGCTTCATTAATCGGCTTGGAGACTGGCGCGCTCGGACGAGAAAAGGGTTTGTTCAGATGAGAGCGCTTCTTGCATTCCCTCTTGGCCTTGCCTTTTTTCTTCCCCACAGTCTTCGGCGGGAGTGGAGGGTGCTGGACGAGTTGCGCGGGCTCAGGCTCGGGATCGGAGGAAGTGGCAGTGAGAATGGGCCTCGGAAGCACCCTATGTGCTACAGCTATGATCTGCTCCTTCTCGTCCAATGACTTCCTGTTCCAGGTGGTATGGTCGAGCTCAAAGGCCGAAGCCCAGCCCGCTAGAGAGGAGCCAGCATGACCGCAGTCAACGATGAGCTGCGCAATGGCATCGGACCTCGCGTTCTCGATGGGTGCAGCCGTTGACCGCTTGCGCTCGGTGACTTTACCGCTCCCAATGCCGGAGCGGAAGGGCGCCTTCTGCTCTTCAGAAAGAGCCTGCCAGCATCGTCCGAGTATCGAGGAAACCCTACCCAGATTACTCTCCACCTCTGCTGGGATGGTTCTGTATCGGATGTGCGTCATCCGAAAGCGAATAAAGCAGTTCCAATTGCTGCATTCTTCGAGTGGCAGCGGGTCCGGAAAGGCCGATTGTAGAGAAGGAAGGGACGTCGAAGTCGAAGGCGGGGAAGGGGTAGTGGCTAGCGACGAGGACGACGATAGCGTATCGAAGAGCGGGGAGGAGGCATACGGCGAGTCGGGGGGGTCGTCGGTGGCTGAGCGATGGCTGTTAGCCACCGACGTCGGCGTCGTGCTTGTCGGCATGTAATGCACGAATGTACCGTCGGGATCCAATCTATAGTGCGACAACGCAACTTCAGTGGCTGGCCGAGATCTGGACGGACGAATGGCGGGCATTTTGTAGACGCTATGCTATGATGGGCTGCGAGAGCGGGGGCAGAATAGGGGCTTGTCGTGTTGCACGGTGTGCTCGCGTCGGGTAAGGAGGGGTACAAGATGAAGACGTGTGTCTACGATCGTAATTTAAGCCTCGCGTGTCGCGTGGTCATATTCCTACAGTCCAACTACGGGGCCGATACGCAAAGGAGTGTTGCACCCAAGTTGCACCTCCGAAAAGAAGAGGCTTCGATCCTCCTTCCCACGGATGCCGAAGTCGGCGGGACCCCTCCGTGTTTGGACAAATCGCGGCGCGCGGACCTGGCGTCCCGCCTCGACCTTCCTTGCGAGCCCCAACAGCGTAAAGTTGCAAGATACGTCTCCGCATATCCAGTGTTACAGGACGTACTTGTCGTGTCAACAGTAGGAGGGCTCGTACCGGCTACCTCATTTGCAAGGAGTTCGGATCATACCAATGGGAGGGACGCTCAGCCTCGACAATCGTCTTGTCGTTGTCTCTTCGTTTGGGATAATTTGTGTAAACATAAATGGCTAGGTGCGAGCTTGTGCGGAAGCTCTCTCTACACGCTACCTGCCACAGCAGGAGCTTTACCTCCCTTCAACCTTGATCGCAGAACGGCGAGTCCCCCACACTGGCCCACAACTCGTTACGTCATTGATCCAGTCTATCATTCATCACGACGATCTTGCTCGTTAGCGCCGGCCTTGAAGGTGCTCGTCGACGATGCATAAGTTCATCGTTGAGAGAGCATTTACACCATGTCGATGTTTCTTGGTTATTACCTCCAGAGCTCTGCCATTTCCTTGACATTATTGGGGGGTCCTCTGCATCGCCAACCCTCATTTCAAAGGCGCAAAGGAGTGACTTCACCCTCTGCCCCATGTCGTTTCACAGCCTCCAGCGTCTCATTGTGCAAAGAGGAACAATGGAGGACTCTGAGGCGAGCGGAGTTTCAATCCAATGAACAATAGATTGATTGACCTTACAGCTGACTGTGCGTACGGCATTGTCGGACTTAAAAAGCGACCATGATCCTTAGACGGAGTTCAATTAACGTCGCCGTCAGCCAGCTCCGCGTAAAATTTCTGCTCTCCGAGTTTATAGGCTCTCTACTGTGCGCTTTATGTACATGTTGGAGCGCAGCGGCGACGCCCCAGCGTTCATGATGGCAATCCTCTCATACAACACAGGATTCTCGTCTTGCGAGTTCGCTCGCGATTGCATTGAATTGAGATAAGATTACATATTGTACGAAATAAATAGCTATTGCGACGTGTATGATACGATATCCTTGCTTTGTGTGATCAGTATGTTGTTATACATGTCCATGGTTCGACACTGAACAGCAACCCAGAGATTACAACCAAAGGGCGACCGGCGCGTTCAAATAATGAGAATACAGGCACCATGAGAAGTCTTAATCTGAGAGATAAGGCCGCCAGGGCATTGCAGGTGGCTGACATCCGTGCACATTTGTCGTGTCGCGAGGGAATAAAGCTTCCGCTTACTGGAGGAGCGTCCACCCGCCACTCGCGCAGTTCAAGCCTGCCGCCCAATCATAGACCGGGCCCGATTCCATCGCATGGAAGGCCCAGTCCATGTCCACGTCCATATCGGCCCAGGCCTCGCGCGCAGCATCCCCTACAGGCCAGTCCAGATCCAGCTTGGATGCGCTGTCGAAGAAGACGGGCGACGAAGTAGGAGGAGGAGGCGGAGGAGCCTCGGCCGTCATTGGGAAGACAACGCCCAGGTCGAGGTCGAGACCCAGGGCAGGCGCATCGCCCGCGATTGGTTCTTCGAAGGGCCCCGGCATCTCCGGGCCGGGAAGCGAGGTGTGGACCTGGACGTGCGGGAGCGGCGGGAGGAGCGCGGGCGCGAGCCTAGGGGCACGAGGAACCGGAATCGCGGAAGATAGAGAGGAGACGTCGCGCTCGTACGCGGAATACGGCGCAAAGGTTGCCTGATGTGCGGCCGTACTGAATCCGTCCTGGTCGGGCGATGCGTGTCCGAAAGCGAAGGACGAAGGCGGGGCGAGGTAGAAAGCGTCCAACGGAGCGATGAGATACGGGTTCGCCGCGAAGCTCTGGAGGTCGGTTTGGTTGGTCGATCCGAAGGATGGAACGACGGGCGATACGTCCATAGGCGCTGGGGCCTGCATGGCCACGGACACATGAATCGCGGGCACGACATTGTCATATTGATGCTGCTGCTGTATCCACTGTAGCGTGCGCCCCGGCTCAGCGAACCCGGTGGACGGAGCCAGAGAGCTATCCAGACGCTCAGCGCCGGGGGAAAGCTGCGACACAATAAGGATCAAAAACACGCGAAGTGAGCCGCTCGAAGGAACCAACTCACGAAGTCGATTTGTGGAACGCTACTATGAAGACGCACACGCCTAGCGCGCGCTTTGCCTTTGCATTCAGGCCTGTTAGCTGGAGGAGCGGGTCCGAAGGTGTCGCCGCCGAGTTCCTCGACGCACAGCGACGATAGTCCGTCAGGCGAAGGGACCAGGATCTGCATCTGCGCGCTGAACGTGTCCGTCCCGCTGTTTCGTACCGCATTTTCAATCTGAGGTGCGGAAAGTCCCAGCAAGATGAGCCGCGCGATGAGCTGCTCGCGGGGTGAGAGGGGCTGGTGCGGCTTGGATCTACCGCTTCGCCTGCGGGACGCGCGCCGGTTAGCAGACCCGTCGGCCTCGGAAACAATATCTCCGAGAGCCCTCCTCCACGCCTTGTGCTCGGCCTTGTATCTGGCCCAGTGTTCGTTGTAGAGGGCCTTCTGGTCCTCGGACAGGTCGCGCCAGACCTGAGCGTAGATCCGCACGCAGGAAGACTCGTCTGTGATGGATTCGGGGATGGGGCGCTGCTGCCGCATGATGACGTTCATGAAGTGGAAATAGGTGTTGTTCTCCGGCTTGGACGGCGGGTACGGGGGATCTGGCAAGGCTGCGAGTAGCAGGGGCAAGGCTGCTTTAGGGGAAGAGGGACTGGGACTTGAAGAGGCAGCGCTGGATGCGACTGAGGTAGGTGGGGAGGTGACGATGGACGATTGGGAAGATAGCGCGTCGAAGAGATCTGCGAGGGGAGAAGAGACATCTGATACGGTGAGTGGAGTGCCGGAGCTCTCGACATCGGTCAGTTCCGATATATTCGAAGCCGTATCGCGGCGAGGAGAGCTGAAGGTTGGAATGCGCGTTGCGTAGGACTTCTGTTGGCGTGCAGCAGGCATTGAGGTTATAATTGCTGGATCGGCCGGAGACGAGTGATCGTTCGCTGAAGGCGTGGCAGGATCGCAAGTGCGAATCAGAAACGGCGACGCAGCACCGTTCCTTCGCCGTTTTATGTATCTGAGCGCCCGGAACGAGCAGCCGCTAGCAGTCGCACCTCCAAAGGACATGCACCACCCAAAGGTGGCAATGGACAAAGGGGTGCCATGGAAGCGCCGATCCACCTTATCGGGCGAGGCTATACAGTGAAGGCCCCAAAACGCCCCCGCCTCCCGGTGATTTGATAGATTCCGCTGAACGGATTAGGCGATCAATCTGGTCGCCGCTCACGTGCCCACACATTTGTTGTCGCAGCTCGCAAGGCAGATTTGCTGGCTAGACGTTCATGAATGCGCTCGTAGCGGATAGTAAAGCATATATCAAAGCGACAGCGGCACTCGGACCTTGCCAAAGGAGCGAGAGGTCCGAGTTCAAAGGGCACAAGCCTCAGCTGGCGACCCCTGCGACCCCCGCAGGCGGAAGCTTGGTCAACAACTTGTCCCGAAGAACTCCCGACTATTATGGAAAATGGAAGCTTCGCGCTCGTGGGTATGCCTTCTTACCTGTACTCCCTGTTTGCATCCGCAACCAGGATCGTCCTTCTTGCAATATCTTTTCGCTGAACCTGACGAAAAGCGCTGTGAGCGCATATGTAGCTGTGACGGCAGCGTCGGTCAGCGAGTCAAAAGACCATTCCGGGAGGGGGAGAAGATACGGACCAACTTGAGTTCATCCAGGAACGAAGCACGTTGGACGGACATGGCAAGAGGGGAACAGGGACATGACGTCACGATTGTGCTTTCCCTTTGTCCAAGGATAGGCACCTTCAGCATCCGCAATCAGTTCATCACTCCAAAAAGTTCCGTATGCGCACCCTCGGTCCGCTCTGCCGATGCGATACGGCGGGGTACTTCGATCCTGGCGGTGTTGCGCTTCGATCCGGGTGTTGCGCTTCGATCCGGGTGTTGCGCTTCGATCCTGGTGGCGTTGCGCTTCGATCCGGGTAGCGTGACACGAGCAGGACTCGTGGCGCAAACCATATGGGACGCAGCGTAAGCAATGCGAGACAAGCGCGAGGCTCACGGATGCGGTTGCCCGTCGGGACGTCGGGTGCGTGAGGCAAGTATAGGCGCACATTCTTGTTCACAAGCGCACCGGCATGTCTTCCGACAAGAAGGGATTCATGAGCAATGGTAACATTGCATGATTCCGCTCATAAATGCATTACTGCAGGCACGCACCTCGCTGAGATACTTGAATATCGTAGTGCCAGCGTTCGTGAGTGTCCCCATCTCCGAGAGCGCAACTGGAGACAAGGAGCTCGTCAGACTCTTAGAGTCGACGAATCCGGAGGCGGTCGCCGTTTTTTGCGGACCGTTTGGACCTGAATGTGTCCATATTCGGAATTGATTGTGTCTTGTTATATTTGGACTTGATGCCTGTCACAACCTCGGCCCAAATCCACGTCGATGGTCGTTTTCGATGTTCACAATTGTTCACCACTGCGCACTGTAATAGTAGCACTACACTAGTTCGCGCATTTACTGGAAGGCTGCAATATGACCTTGAGAGGCACGCATACAGCGAGCAAACCTCGCGCCCGCCGTCATGCGCCCTAGGCCCGAGCGGACCGTGGCGTTTCCCTCGCTTCACGTAAACACCTGTTCGCGTTTTGCCGATTCTTCCAACTGGAGGACGCTCGGCCTTGCTGGGCTCCCCACTCCCAAGAATAATGGTCATCAGCCTTTCTGACGCCACATGTGCGGACTCCGGGTACGATCTTGTGGAGCTCAAGAAGCGGGTCGAAGAGGTCGAGCGGGAATGGTGGTCAATGGATCCCGTTGCAGAGGGCCTCCCAAGAGTAACCTGGATGTTCGAGGACGTGAACGCCCAGCATGCAGAGGGGGGAGCGGGGCCGTGGGCCCCAGAGGCGGTCGAGGGTTCCCCGCAAGAGACGTTCGACCACATCTTCCGGCGCTTCCGCGTTCAGGCGAACAAGAAGTACCGTCACCCGTTCAAGCCCGCGCTCAACTTTGATATCATCCGCGACCCAGGCGTTCAAGCGGGGGTCAACGATGAGAAAGGCGAAGGCGCGTCCGAACCGCTCCGCATCGCGTTCGGCGACGCGTCGAATTACACCGGCCAGCAGGTCCTCGACCTTTTCGGCGGGAGCACGACACTCACGTACGTTCGCCACGACGACCAGGACGACGCAGACCACAAAATGGGTCCGCTCTCGTTCCGTCCTTGGGACCGCAAACTGCCCCCATGGTGCACGACTCCCCCTCATTGGATTCCTCCCGCCGTTCCGCCAGGTTATGGTCACGACGCACTCACGGACGTGTCAGACGAGTCACAATACGTTTGGCGCGCAGTGCCGACGCTCACCCTCCCGGGACTGGGGAGAAATCTACTTCCTTCGGCCACGTCCCCGTCCCTCATCGTATCCCACGTATTCGTCGTCGCGTCTGCGACAGGAAAATGCCCTACGCTTCGAGTAGAACTCGGATCCGACCACGTAGCGGAAAAGGACAAGCGCGCGCCGACGGCGCTCACCATGCGAGCCATACGGACCCACCTGCTCGGACGCTGGATCCACGCGTCCACTAGCGCTCTGGCGACGAAGGCGTCCAACGGCGATAACGACGAATTGGCTGAACGCCCAGCGAAGCGTGCTCGCCCGGAGCCAAGTTTGGACAGGATAGGGATCGCATGGGGCTACGAGCCCAGCACGCGCCGGTTATATTGCGTTACACTGACCAACGAGGAGTTCGTAGTCGACCTGTCCATCAAAGCCTCCGAAACGTCTTCCAAGTCGGTCGCCAATGCTGACTGTCAAAACGAAGGACGGGCGGTCATGCGTTGCGAGTGGATTGGACCGGTGAGCTTAAGTGTGGACAGAAGGGCGATAGCTACCAGGAACGAGTTCAATGGTTCCTGTCTCAACGAAGAGAGCGAAGAAGCGTACAATTCATGGCTCGACACATTCTATGGAAGGATCAGGGCATTTCGCGCTTCAAACGATCCCTTCGTAATAGAGGTGCGTCAATCCGGCATTCGTCGTCTTCTAGAACTCATCCGTTCTCTTGAGCCAGTTGCACGACACGGATTGCTTCGTCGCGGGATGCCTAATGCTTGGCCCTCCTTATCACGGGTTCCACTGCACAGTAGAAGCCGCCAAGGCAGGTTCATGGTTAGTCACAGACGTCAACGAGTACTCCACCTCTCGATACGAAGAGGAGGGCCGAGACGAAAACGGACACGTCCCCAGGGCCCTATTGACACACTCGGGCAGCACGGAGAGCGAACTCCAGGATATTGCTTGGGAAGAAGTCGCCTCTTTCTCCGTCTTTGGCGTTTGGTTCCTCCATAGTTTGAACGAGCTTCAGAGGATTGCCTTTGAATCCCGGGATTTGGAACAAGCTCTTGAAACCATCGCCCATGGGGCATTCGAGTGGGGGGAAAGGTTACCAGATGGTATTGTTGGTACGTTTGCCTTCGCTGGCAATTCTTCGCGGTAGATTGAAACTTACGATCACCCAGTGCACGAAGACCTAGATGACGAAACACGCTACAAAATCCTTGGCAAGAAGGTTGCCGGCGTGTGGGTGCAGCTGAAGGTTATATGTGAGCAGGGCCGAATGTCCTTGGGCGATGTATCAATGCTCATTCTCTACTTGTAGGTACAGGAGAGCTAGCTCATTCAAATGTTGTATCGCAGGACTCGGATGAGGAAGGAACCCAAATGTGAGATTTTGGCGATCCTGTTTAGCACATGCTACACGTAGACTCGGTTGCGTGTAGGGTCGATACATGCTATTTTCCATGACATCACGGTGTGGCTGCCTAAGAAGTGAAAACTGAGTAAATATGCCAAGTGACAAGTATGTTGCTTGTGGCAGGCACAGTGCAAACTTTACATGACGAGTCCATTAGATTGTCTCGTTCGTGTTCGACTTCAACTCTAGTTGGCGCCTCCGCGGCCAGAGCCGAGTCGTCCTCCACGCATGGACCGCTGGTGCGGGCGTCCGAGGCAATACGAAAAGGAGTGACGAGAGTGGGATTCGAACCCACGCCCTTTCGGACCAGATTCCAAATGTTATCTGGAAGATGTGTAGCCCTATGCTACTGATCCTTAGTCTGGCGCCTTAGACCGCTCGGCCATCTCGCCGTTGAGTTTAGTCGTCAATAGCCAATTATCAATTATTACCAGTCACTGGCGAGCATCGGCCGAACGGCATTGAGACCTCCGTGAGCGCGCAGGAAGTGAGTAGACCGCCAGTCATGTCCTGTATCCCGATTCATGCTTTGCCAATAAGACGACGACCTGCTGGCACTTGACTCGAAAAAATAATGGCCATCCACCCTTCCGACACTACTCGCGCACACTCTGGGTACGACCCCGCAGAGCTGAAGAAGCAGGTTGAAGTAGTCGAGCGCGAATGGTGGTACACGGAGAACGTCGCCGACGACCTTCCAAAACTCACCTGGACATTTGAGGACGCGAGTGCGCAGCACGCAGGGGGAGTGGAGACATGGACATCTGAGGCGGTCGAGGGCTCCCCGCAAGAGACGTTCGACCGCATCTTCCGGCGTTTTCGCGTTCAAGCGAACAAGAAGTACCGTCACCCGTTCAAGCCCGCGCTCAACTTCGATATCATCCGCGACCCAGGCGCTCGAGCCGAAGCCAACGACGAACCGGGTGAAGACGCGTTGAAACCGCTCCCCATCGCGTTCCACGACGCGTCAAAGTACACCGGCCAGCAGATCCTCGACCTTTTCGGCGGGAGCACCACGCTCACGTACGTTCGCCACGACGACCGGGACGGCGAAGAACACGCGACGGGTCCTCTCTCGCTCCATCCTTGGGACCGCGAACTCCCCCCATGGTGTACGGCACCCTCTCATTGGCTCGCCCCCGCCTTACCTCCGGGTTTCGCGGACGAACAAACTGGCTTGAAGGAGATCCCAAAGGACCAACAATACAACTGGCGAGCGGTGCCGACCCTCGCGTTTGCAGGATCAGGGAACCACATTCTTCCGTCCGCGACGACACCCTTGCTCATCACAACCCACGTCTTCGTCGTCGCGGGTGACCGACCCTCCACGTGCGCGTTTCAAGACCCCGACTTCGACCACGTCTTCAAGAAACACAAGCGAGCGCCAACAGCTCTCACGACTCGCGACGTGCGCGGCCAATTGCTCGGATGCTGGATACAGACGTCCACCGACCCTCTGGAGCCGCGCGGCGACGAACGGCCCGCCAAGCGTACGCGCAAGCAGGCATCTTCGAAAAGACTAGGCATCGCGTGGGGATATGAGCCCAGCACGCGTCGGCTGTACTGCGTCACCCCTGCGAACGAGGAATTCGTCGTCGACCTGTCTGTCAAAGCTTCCGAGGCCTCTTCTTCCGACGGCGCCGAACGTCCCGAGGTCGTGTACTGCGAGTGGATAGGACCGGTTGGCGTGAGAGCCGAGGGCGAACCCGCGGGCAGCAAACGCGATACATCTGACTTCGGTTATGGGAACTACAGCGCTTGGCAGGATAAGTTCCTTGACGAAATCGATAAACTCGGAGAAGGGGATCATCTCAAAAACTCGTATCGGTTGGAGGCGAGTAACGCTCAATATGAATCTTGCAAACGCTCATAATGTCCGCAATGTAGATTAGCCACACCGACTGCTTAGTCGTCGGAGGTCTGGCCATTGGTTCTCCTCGTCAAGGTCTGGATCATGTCATAGAGGGACTCAAGACCGGCCCGTGGGTGGTAGCCCAGCTCGAACAAGATGACGACGCGTATTATGAGAGCGACAAGAGTGCTGAAGGCAGTAACGCCGGAGGCGAGGTCGTCAAGCTCGTCTTGCAGCATTCCCACATCGTGGAGGATGACCTCCAAGCCGTTCCCTGGGACGACTTGTTCTCGTTCACGACTAGAACGGGGGTCTGGTTCGTCTACAGTCTTTGTGAGTTAGAACGTATCGCAGCGGAGTCGGCAGACTTCGGAGAAGCCCTGGGATGCGTCGCCGATTGGGTGATCGAATCCGAGAACAGGATGCCGGGTGGAATCGTCGGTGCGTCCCTCGTGCCTTGCGGATACCGCTCCTTAGCTTATTCGACCTTATGGAAGTGCACGAAATGGAGCTCGACGCCGGCTTCAAGGTCTTGGGAAAGAAGGTAGACGGTTTATGGGTTCAGCTGAAGGTCATCGGTTGAGTATGCTTTCTTCCTCGCGTCGGGGTGAACCGTCTGACTCTCATGTGCACGGCTGAAGGTTCGGAATATCAGCACGCATAATCCGTTCGGCGGATTAGCTGAACATGATTCCATCAGCGGTGACGACTGAGCTATCATATGTGGCATTGTCGGGACTTCGCCAGGAACCACCAATGCTAGTTGTTTGTGAAAACGTGCCGGCGAGTCAAAGTGCAATCATACAATCTTGCGTTACACTACGTAGAAATTGAAGTACACCGACGCGCGTGCAAATTCCTACTCCTAACGTGACACGGCCTTCTCTTCGCGAATACGACCCTAGCACGATTCACTACCCGTTGCTCCGCAAGCTGTCGAGGATGACTTCCGGGCCAAGACCTGAAATGCAATCCCGATTGTATGATCACGTCGCGGTCCTCGAGAACGGCTTACACGTAAATCGACGGACCTCGTTTTTCACTGTCTCTCCAGCCCTCTCTCAAACTTCTCCCATCACCCTCGTAAACAGCCTCGAGCTTCCGACGAACTGGTGAACTGATGTCGACGGCTATGGATGCGGTTGCCTATGCGAGAGTGAAGGAGCAAGTCGCGGAAGTGCAGAAAAGCTGGTGGTCGGCTGTAATGGACTACGAGGAGGACGCTACACGTGTCGGATTGATCTTCGAGGACGTGAGTCCCATGCATAACGGAGAGGATACGGAGACATGGACTGCCGAAACCGTTTTCGCAACTGCGCAGGAGACCTTCGATCGCGCGTTTCAGCGCTTTCGCGTCCAAGCCAACAGGAAGCATCGTCATCCCTTGAAGCCCGCGCTTAACTTTGACATAATCTACGAGCCTCAGGGAGTACCTGAACCACGTCGAATTGCATTCGGCGACGCGGCCAAGTACACCGTTCAGCAGGTCGTCGAACTATGCGGGGGAAAACCGACGCTCACATACGTCCGCGAAGACGGTCCGCACCCTGAACACGACAAGGGCCCCATCGCACTTCCTCCATGGGATCGTACGCTCCCTTCTTGGTGTACCACTCCGTCCCATTGGATCGTACCGGCAATACCACCCGGCTATGGAAGGGAGCTTGGAACGAAGCTCGATTACGAGGCGACCATGTACGAATGGCGCGCGGTTCCTACGCTCATGCTTCCGGGACTTGGACATACCATCCTCCCTCATACGACTACTCCTTCGCTTATCGCCTCTCATGTGATGCTACTGGCAGCTTCTACGCCCTGGGGGCATGCCTTCGTTTCACTCCGCGCAGATGACCTCAAAAAGGACTATGTCCAAACCGCCGACAAGCGCTCGCCGACGACACTCACAACGAGGGAAATTCGCGCCATCCTCTTGGGGCGTTACGTCCAGGTTTCCACTCGGACTCTTGTCCCGGATGACGCGGAAGCCGACAACAATGATCGTGCTCGCATATCGCCGACGCAAGACAAGGTTGGTATCGTCTGGGGCTACGAACCCTCGACACGTATGCTGTACTGCGTGACACCCACGAATGAGGAATTCGTCGTCGACTTGTCTGTCACGATCTCGAACGCTAGTGGCGCCACCCCCCAGCCGCCGATGCCCCTTCGACCCGCAGGCAGAGAAGTCGTGCGGTGCGAATGGATCGGGCCAGTCACCATCGAGCTTGACAGGAAGACAGGGACTCCAGGGCGTATAGGATATGCCCGGTTAACAGCATCCATGAGCCAGGCCTTCGATGAGTGGCGGGACAAATATAACGAGCTCGTCCAAGAGTTCAACCCCTCCGACCCCTTCGGCCTCGAGGTCAGTAGGTTGTCATCCGGAATACTGAGTGCGTCCGACTAAAGAATTGATCATACCTCAACGTCGCTGTCCAGATTATCCCAAATGACTGCTTGGTGATTGGAAGCCTTGACATCTCGGACCATGTTAACTGGGGGCTGGAACACACCATCGAAGATCTTGAAACCGGCTCATGGACGATCAGTAACGTTAGCAGTTCCTGGGACGACGAGGATGAGGACGAGTCCTCGCCGAAAGACTATGCCCTTCGAGCTTCGCTGCAGCATGCGGATGTTGACGAGGGCGAACTCAGTGCCGTCGCCTGGGAGAACATCGGCTCGTTCGGAGTAGACAGCACATGGGTCATTCATAGCCTCCATGAGCTCCAGAAGATGGCTTTCGAGTCAGGAGATCTGGACGGGGGCTTGGAAAACATCGCGATGTGGGCGGAGAATTCTGCATTGTTGCGATGGCCCGGCGGTTTCATAGGCAAGTTCACGTCCGATCCTCCTATATCCACATGCCTCACCGAGATCTGTGCAGTCAACGAAGGCGAATCCATGCATAAGTATTATATCGCCGGGAAGAGAGTTAACGGCGTCTGGGTTCAGTTACGAGTCATAAGTTGCGTGCTCCTCTGAGATTTTCGATGGCAGAGTATCTGACTGTACATTCCTCTATCAAGCCCGGTCATGGGGCAACTCGGATGACCTGGAGCAGGAATAGGGACATCACAGAGCTTGCAGTACAGGTCGCTGAGCTAAATGCGGTCGGGGACACCGCGTTGATCGTATCATTTTGCGTTCATCGACCACTGAAGGAAAAGTAGAGCTTTCCCTCATGATGGTGGCCGTTTGTTCCCTGGGCGACTGCATGAAATATGTTGGTGAGTTTAAAAACGAATGCCTCCTGACGATCTCATGGAGAGAGCCCCATGGAATCCATGTCGTTGTCGGGGTTTGGGCGGTTGCCGCGGACATACGTGAGCGTGGCCTTGCCTTTGAAGAGGTCGATAACCTGTGTACTTCAATGCATCGCTGAGCGTTATCCGATCAGGTTTCCCGCGTCGTTACCTGTGTTTGGCCTCCATGGTTTGGCCTTGAACACAGGGTGCCGATTTTACTTCGTAGACTACCTCGAACTTGAGCGCAGGCCGGAAAGGATGCCGATGTTTCTTGTTTGCCTGGACGCGGAAGCGCTGGAAAGCGCGGTCGAGGGTTTCCTGCACGGACGCCGTAACCGTCTCGGCAGGCCACGTATTCATTTCCACTCCGTGAAGCTTCAAGATCACGTCCTCGAAAGTCAGGGTGACATTCGCGTCGTCCGTGTGCTCCGGGAACCTCCACTAGCTCGCTTGAATCTCCGCGCTGTGCGCCTTGGACTCCTCATACTCCGGATCCGCGCTCAACGGTGCCATTGAAAGTAGCAGAGTAGAGATGCTCTTTCGAAGGGAGGAGACACGGAAGCTACCACAGAGGTCGTCAAGAGCGGGAGGAGCTGCAGGGAACGCCGTTTACGTATAAGATCGCCAAACGACGCCAAGTCACAAGGCTTGCTCAATTGCGACTCACAGTCGTCCATGCAAGATAAGTATCGGTCATTCGATTTTCAAGCGTGCAACGTGATAACAGAGATATGTGTAATAATGAAAGATGAAGTCCTCTTCAATGCTGCAAAGCCTGTAAGTTACGACTTACGGTACGAACGAACCTAAAATAGAACAGACCTGCCGCATTTGGTATGCCCCTATTTAGCTAACTGTATTTAGCTTCCTCTCGCTGCATACAGCGCAAGGCTCAAGCCCTATGAGTCTGACTCTGCACCGAGGGACGCTCACCTTGCTACGTTCTCACCGGCGATTTGTGCAATTTATCTACCATGGTCATCCCCTCGGAGAAACCGGCGACAATCTCGGCTGCGTTACACGTAAATTTCGAACGAATGACCCGCGTTCCCAAATTTCACCATCGGGGTCCAACAGCTAGCTTCCTCCCGACTAAACATAACCGTGAACTCGGCCTCAGTCTACTCTAATGGCGATTGTACCCGATGTAGATTCATACGCGAAGCTGAAGGAACATGTTGCGGGGTTACAAGCGGGCTGGTGGTCGGGCGTCGAGGACAGTCAGGGTGACGATACCCGTACCATCTTGACGTTCGAGGATGCCAGTGCAAAACTTTGTGGAGAAGGGACGGAGACGTGGCCCGCTGGGACGGTTGTCGCATCCGCGCAGGAGACCTTCGACCTCGCGTTTCAGCGCTTCCGTGTCCAGGCGAACAAGAGACATCGTCACCCCTTCAGACCCGCGCTCAACTTCGATATTGTCTATCAGTCCGAGTCAGCCTCTGCGACTCCGTCCAGGGCTGACGAGGGACAGGAGAACGCTACAACCCGTATTCCATTCAGCGACGCGTCCAAGTACACCGTCCAGCAAGTCGTCGATCTCTTTGGGGGAATACCCACCCTTAGCTACGTTCGCGACGACTCCGCGAATCCGGAGCACGACAAAGGTCCCATCGCGATCTCTCCGTGGGATCGACAGCTCCCTCCCTCGTGTTCCACCCCAGCACACTGGATCGCTCCGTCTATACCTCCGGGCTTCGGACAATCTAGTTCAGAATACAGATCGACAGGGATCGCTTACGAATGGCGTTCTGTGTCAACGCTGGCCCTTCCTGGATTGGGTAGCACCATTCTGCCCACCACCACGGTCCCGTCGCTCATACCTTCCCACCTCATACTTCTGGCGAGTGAGACATCCTGGGGCTATGTCCCCGTTTCCCTCCGCGCACAGGGGGACTATGTCGAGGCCTCCGACAAGCGATCGCCCGTGGGGCTCACCACCAGAGAGATCCGCACATCCCTCCTTGGCCGATACGTCCAGATCTCCACGCGCCCTCTCGCGGCGACCGCGGAAGCGGCGATCACCGACACCAAGGAACCCTCCATCAAGTCTACGCACGCGTTACTGGCAAGCGATAGACTCGGCATGGCATGGGGCTTCGAGCCAACGACACGCATGCTATACTGTGTCACACCCACCAACGACGAATTCGTCGTCGACTTGTCCACTGCAACGTCTGACGTCGACGCCAAGTCCGAATCGACGACCGATACCCATGCTTCCAACCCCAAAATCGTGCGGTGCGAGTGGATCGGGCCGGTCAGCATCGCCGTCGACAGGGAGACGAGATCGCGCAGGGCGGAGGAACGCTGGGATTATCGTGGCGACGAGCGCTCGTACATTGGGAAAGCCGACAAAGACTGGGTCAAAGCGTTCTGGAAGCGAGTCAAACTTCTGAATGACTGGCCCAGGAAGCCCTTGATTGTCGAGGTTGGTCCGGTTGGATCTGTTTGATGGGCTAAGCCCGAGGCTTACACCTCTCCAACTTCAGATAACCAAGAGCGACTGTCTAGTGGCGGGGGAGCTCGATCTTATGGACCTTGAATGCTGGGGGCTGAAGAGCACCATAGAGGATCTGGCCCCTGGTCCATGGCTGGTGACCTGCCTAAACGAATGCGAGATCATCGAAGAGTATATGAACGACGATAGCGAGGACGAAGATGAAGAAGAGATCCGTCATGTCAGCAAACCACAGAAGCGAGACGTAGTCAGAGCCGCCATGCGAAACACGGACATCGGCAAGGACACCCTCGAGACGGCCACCTGGGAGCCTGTGACTTCCTTCACCGCCGACTATGACCACTGGATGATCTATAGCTTGAACGAGCTCCAGAGGATGGCCCTTGAGGCGACGGACCTGGAATCGGCACTGGAGAACGTCGCGGAACTCGCAACGGAGGAAAATACAAAGTTTCCTGGCGGGGTAGTAGGCGCGTCCATCTCAGGTTCGCGTATTCGTATGACTCACCTGTCATGGTCCGCAGTGTACCAAGACCATGACGCACGTTTTCAACGCTTCGACGTAGAAGGCAAGAAGGTCAACGGATCGTGGGCTCAGCTTCGGATCATAGGTACAGTAGCACTCCTTAAAAGATATGGATGCGGAACATCTGATCCTTGTTGGCCTAGGCATAGACATGAAGGAGCGAGAGGATTGATCCCTCGCGTTTGGTCACTGTAAGTAGGCAGCTTGACGGCAGTGCTTCTTCTCAGGCGGAGACTGCGTCGTTCCTTGCGCGCAACTCGGCATCCGGAAGCGTACGTACGTATCCAATGCCTCCTTGTGAGAGCCACGGCGCTCCATCTCGCATTTCATTAGCTCCGGACTTGCGCTGAACCATATGCTGCATATGCTGCGAGAGCCATCCATCATCGATGAAACGCGCACGATGGGCTGAGTGAATTACGAAGGAAATGTTATGCTATCCATGAACTAAATACATACATTGAATACACCAGTCATCCTCCAAACGAACCAAACAAGTCATACTTCACAGTTATATAGCACATCGGCAATACCTCGCACACAAAGGAATGCGTATCAGACGACGCCCAACACGACCGTCGCCCTCAAGGACGCTTCCCTCCCCGCCGGCACCGGCATCTCGCCCTCGCCGAGCTCGATGTACTCCTCCGTCCTGAGCGAGCTGCTCTTCCACCCCCAGCTCTGGCTGACCGAGAACACGTCCGGCGCGCTCGTGAACCGCGTGAGCGCCGCGCCCGTCGCGCTCGCGCACGCGATGCTGAAGTAGGCCGCGACGCTCGGGCGCGGGTCGCGGTACGGCTGCGGCGGGGCGGGCGAGGGCGCCGTCACCGGGAGCGCGGGCGCGTAGGCGACGCTCGTGTTCGTGTGGCGCAGTCCGGATCCGGAGGCGGTGGGAGAAGGGAGCGAGGACGGGAGCGAGCCGACGAAGTGCGCGCGGGTGGGGCTCGAGACCGGCGTCGTGCTGCGTTGTTGGGCGGTCGGGGTCGGGGGCGGCGCGGGCGTTGAGCTGCGGGAGGGGTGGAGGAGCGTCGCGAGCCCGCTCGGGCGAGGCGCGGGGAGGGAGATGCTGGGCGTGAGCGCGGGCATCGATCCGCCGCGGTCCCTGCTGTGCGTCTGGTGCTCGGCTCGTGAAGACGTGTGTGCGGGTGTAGGGGCTGGTGCAACACTTGTCGCGGGGGCAGATGCGGCTGGCACAGGGTCGACGGTCGACTGCCGGTGGAGGTACACGCCGAGCTGCACCGTGCCCTTGCCACCACGATTGCTTGTGGAAGCGGTGTCCTTTTTGCGCACGACCTGGACGTACACGTTCCAGAGGCTACCGGCGTAAAAGACAGTGCGCGAGTGCAGGCGCGACTTCTCCTTCAGCGCGTCCACGTCCCAGAACTCGACGGCAAAGCGGCAGGGTGGGAAGCGGGTCCAGCGGCCTGACGGGGGAGGAGATATAGAAGGAGAGGAGGTGGGAGATAGATGGAAGCGGGAGGGTGCGAGGCCGAAAAAGGTCGCCTCGGACGTGACAGCGTGCACGGCACGTTTGCTCGAGCTCTGAGTGCTAGAGACGGATGGAGGATCGAGCAGCTCTTCGATGGTGGCGCCCTCGAGTCCTGTGCTGTCCCCGATACGCTGAGACGCATCGCCCGCGACGGCGTAGTATGCTTCGCTGCGAGTTGAGTCCCGGATTTCCGGCGAGGCGATCTTGGCTAGAACGTCGGCGGTCGTGAGTTGCAGTCCAAGTTCCTTGTCTCGTGGAGGTGGAGAGGCCGGCGAGGAAGAGTAAGAAGAGGAGGGCGAGAAGGACGAGGGGGCGGTAATGTGGTGCCGAAGGAGGGACTGGGTCCAGTGCGCGGCGTGGATGAGCGAGGGCGATATATAAGGTTTATGCGTCGCAGGCGAAAGTTCGTGTGATATGGCGATGAGATCCTCCATCATCTACAAAGTAGTTAGCATACTAGTGTCGTCGATGTCATGCGAAAGAACGAACCATGTTGCAATAGTATATTCCGTCCGCGAACATGTTCTCCCACTCTTTCTCCTCGCCCTCGTCGATGCCTTCCCTCCTCCGCAGTTCGACGATTTCCTTCGCCATCTCGTACCGCTCCTTCTCGTCCCGAACGAATAACATATCCGACGCCAACACCGCGCTGGCCCACTTCGCAGTCAGCCCGCCACGTCTCCATATCCGGGGCACATCTAGTGTCCTGCCTTCAGGGTCCGATTGTACCGGGGACAATGACGAGAGGGCAGGAGTGGTAGGGAGCGTATACGAGCGCGGACGAGACGGACCGGCGGCAGAGTGATCGCTCGATGACGCTATCTGCGACGTAGCAGAAGACGAAGAGGGCGAAGGGGAAACGGACAGCTCGTACGTGAGCACGTCCCGGCCCCACCGCGCCAGCCAGCATGCGGCGGCCTCGCCGATCTTAGTGCCCACCGCACCGTAATCGAACGCACGCTCGTCTGCTGTCTCCTCTTGGCTGTCCTCGGACGCGACGGAGAGCGCGTCAGAGGAGGAAGGGTCCTCCTTCTTGATCTTCTCGTGGTCGAGGCTGAGGTGGCCGAGATCGTCCGCCAGGTCGGCGTGCTCGAACCCGTCGTCTTCCGATTTGAGCGCGGGTGAGGCGATGCCCGGCGTTTGCGATTCCGAGATGGTGTGGGCGACGTGCTCGAGGCCGACGGCCGCTTCTGGTTCGTGATCTTGCTCGCCGGGTGCGCCGATTCCGCGGCCGATGGCGAAGTTGAGGTAGCGCACGACGGTGTGCGGGCCCATTGAACTCATGATGGCTCCTAGTGCTTGCGCGGCGACGGAGGGGATGGAGAGATAGACAGCCGTTGCGAGGAGGGAGAGCAGGAAGCGGGGCGTGGCGGGATGTTCGCCCTCAGGGGCGTCTGTTGATGTATCGGGAGGCAACGCATAGGGAAAGGCGGTCGTGAGTGGGTATGCCGGGGTCGGTACCAGGGCAGGCGAGACGTGGAGTGTGGGGCCGCCGCCGTATAGACGAGCGATGCATATTCTGAATCGAGCATTCAGTAAGGACGCGATACAGTCGACTTGAAGTAGACATACTCGAAAGCTAGGGGACAGTTAGTGCATGTAATTGCATGCAGTGACAATACACGTACCTGCTCTTGTAATATTCGGGTCGTCGAATACGATGTCGACCTGGTCTGGCCCTGCGATATGACTCGCGAACCTGTGCTTCGACTCCGAGAATCCGGAAGTGAACATCGATCGGAAGAAGCCCTAAATAACCAGATATTAGACTCTTCCTATTATGGGACACGCTATAATGCGCTATAACGCTCTCTATTGATACCATTGAAGGAAAGCTCGTACACTCACGGATTGGATGAGCACGACGCGATGCAACTTGTACACGGCATCCCATGAACCGCGCACGCGAAGCGCGACATCTGCCGTATGGCCCTGCAACAGCGACGCGTATAGATGTTGTTGAAGCGAGGTCGGAGACATGCTCGTTGGGAGCATGGCGGGGTTGTCGGTCTCGTCGTCGTCGCCGTCGATGAGAGAGTGGTGCTAGGCGCCGAGCGCGTGGTGCGGCACCGGACCGGGAACCCAGTGCGCCGAATTTGGACGGAAGTCGGCGCACGGCGTTTGCCGAGATGATCGGCGAGTCGGCGTCGATCACTCCGAGTCTTGCCTGCTCTGCGACTTCGTCGTCGTCGTCGCAGCATACATACCTAGCAGCACTTTCACTTCGTCATTCTGCTCAGCTTCAAGACAATACAGAACTACGACATTTTCATCCACCCCATGTAACACGCATCGAGGATCACTTGCTACAAGCCATGCGCAACCGAGTTCCAACTTGAATGCTCAACTTGCTCCCAATCTTTGACGGTTGGTATGCCTCTTGTGTCCCCTGATTGTGCTCGATTTTCTCTCTACGACACGAAAATAACATCTTTGGTGCTCACTCGTGCCCGTTGTCTTGAATACGGTTCTATCACTGCTGGCATGGTGAAAGGACTTGCTGATCGCTTTCACCAAGTTATCGCAGGCGCTAATTTGTGATTCCGTAGCCTTTTTACCGACCAGCACATGCGCGTGCGTAGTCCGAGACCAATCAAAGAATTACGCAGATACTCTTACACTCTTACTCACAAAGAGGTGCTGTTGCACCCTCGCCGGGCGGGAGCTCTTTGCCAGGTTGAGCTGATCTCTTTCTCTTCGTGACCCGTTCCTAGCGTCGTATCTCACCGACAGCATTTGCCATAGACGACGTTCGGAATAGGGACTCTTCATTGGATCAATTTCAACCAACCGGGAAGGCAACTGCCGAAGATTTGGGTTCACTGGACTTCTTTCTTAAGAGATCTCGCATCATTGAGTCCGTCGCACGGGAGCAAATCGCCGTTGTATCCTTTCGAATTATCTTTAAAATCACCCGATGCACGACCCTCGCGACGTAGTCCTCGTACAACGATGGCGTCCCTCGGTATGACCACCCAATGGACCATACTCTTGCTGCTAGTCCCGGCCGTTGTAGCGACGTCTGACGTGCACCATACGATGGATCTGATGTTGCGCAAGACGGCGAGGCTGGCGAAGCGGCAGAGCAGGAATATGACCATCCCGCTAGGTGATTACTTCAATGGCACGGATCTGCAGTGGTTCGGGAACATTACGGGTAAGTTTGATCTGCCGACACCTCTCCTTGAACATGGCATTGGTAGCTGATACGGGGTGCTCAGTCGGCACGCCCCCGCAGACGTTCAGCGTACGTACGATCCCGTATGAGCCCCCGCGACTGTATTCAAATTATCTTGTTGTAGGTTGTTTTTGACACCGGCAGCGGCGGGCTCGAGATCCCAAGCACGGCGTGCGGCGCCGCATGCGCAAAACAGCGCCAGTTCGACGCGTCGGCATCGTCCACTTTCGTCGATTTGGGCACGACGTCCACGGAGGTGTTCGGAACATGCATCGGCGTCACGCCCGTCGTCGGCAGCGACTGCTCCCTGACGTTGCGCGCGGTGGCGGATACCGTGTCAGTCGCCGGGATCGACGTCAGCCTTGCAGGCTTTAGCTTGATCACGAATCAGACGGCGGGGTTCACAGACGATCCGTTCGATGGAATCCTAGGTGCGGATCAAGACTATTGCATTTGAAGAGGGAAATTGAGATTTACGTGTGATGGTAGGCTTACCTACCTCCGGAGACTTCGCCACCACGCTCCCATCAGGTTCTCGTGAGTAGACGAAAACGGTATGCATACGCAACCGATTGAATTAACAGCTCCTATCACCAGAGTTCTTTACTTTCTTCCTGACGCCTGCAACCGAAGGTCACGCCGCGCTCACCTTCGCTAGCATCGACGATACCAAGTTTACCGGCTCGCTCACCTTCGCCCCGCTCGCGACGCCGGCCAGCAGCGCCTGGCGCCTCTCCTCCTCGGGCATCTTCGTGAACGGACAGACCGCCCCGCAGCTGAATGCCGAGCGCACGGTCATCTTCGATACGGGCACGTCGAACGTCCTCTTGGACAACGCGACCGCGACGGCGATACATTCGCTGATCTCGCCGGATATCAAGCCGTTCGCACCGCTCCCGGGCACGTTCGGCATCCCGTGCTCGGAGGTAGCGGGGCTGCCAGCGAACATCGATATCGCGTTCACGGACGAGGACGGGGCGCCGTTCAACTTGACGATACCGAGCGATGAGTTGTCGCTTGGCCCCTTCGAGCAGGACCCGACCATTTGCCAGACGTTGATCAACGTGTGAGTGGCCGTCGCGAACCCCATAGCCAACTTCGATTGGAGTCCAAGGCATCGCGGTTCTAGGTCCGAGGGGCTAACACTCGTTGGCGGGAGTTTGTTGAAGCATTGGTTCTCCGTGTGGGATGTTGAAAATCAGCGACTGGGCTTCGCTCCGGCTGGTAGGTCGATTCAGCGACTGCATATAGCCTATAGGTCGACTCATGCCTATGTCCTCAGTGACCTCGGTCTGAGAAGAGGGGGAACGCACGATGGTCGCAGTTGGCAAAGTCTTCGCTCGTAACCTTGGAGGCACATCGTTGAGCGGAGGATGCCACCGACGAGATCGCAAAGAAGGGCTTAAGTATTTCTCACTAATCGAGCAGTCGATCCATCTTGGGGGAAGTATTGCAAGTTTGCTCCAGCGGACAGTAATCGACCAAACCAGACAGTACGCATACAGCGGGTGTATCATCGCACCCAGTATCTTCAAACGGCGTCGACAACCCCAAGCCCCTTCGTTCAGCCTTTACACGTCCTGTCAATAACTGTAGTCTCGAGACCATCATCGTGTGTCGGAGAGTAAGGTTCATGAATGTTTGCGACGAATTGGATCAGTCCCGGCCCGGTTCGTGGGACGTGGAGCGAGGCAACAGGCGATCATTGCCGCCCGTGCAGGTTCGGTATAGTTCTCTTGAGGTCCATTGGCGCTGGAAAGGAAAAGATGAAGCGAGTGTCGCAGGTTTGGGTCGTCAAGGGCGCGCTGTGGTAGCGTAATATTGTGTAGCGATGCGTTCGCGGTCATCTGAACAAATCGATGCGCTGTCTGTAGCTCCTCTAAGGTTGCGATGATGTCGTAGCCACTGAACTCGTCCTCGACAGCAGCGCGCCGCTGGTTCTTCATGTTCACCAGCGCTTGCATCAGAGCCTCTGTCCTGTTCGAATGCGCCTCTTTGACCAGCTTGCTGTGAGCCTCTTCCACCATCTCGCTCGTCCAAGCTCATATCGTGCGATGATGGCTCTCCTGAGCCATGGTCATGAGGTGAGTCTTGCATCTCAGAGCCCTGCAAGGCCTTATGACGGTCGTCACTATCAAACTCCGGAGAGTTATGTCTGATACTGTTAAGTTCATGATTATCATAGTCTACCTCAAACCGATATGCATCAGCTGCGTAGCCTCGGCGACGAGTCAATGAAACACACCTGGTCTAACAAAGGCGGTCTCCCACTACTACTCTGGGCCATCTTAACCCAATCAGAATCATCTCGGCGCCGCTCTCGCGGCGTGTTCGCACCCAGTGTCAACAGAGGCGTGGCCGTATCCTTACTAGCGTCAATGCCCTCGCTGTCATGCATAGCATGCCGTTGACGAGAACCCGTAACACGTTGTATCGAGTCGTTCCACGCGGTGCGAGTACTCGTCATCGTATCCAGAATATACGCCGCAGATCCCGGAGCTCGTTCCTTGTCGTGTTTGTCCTACCACGTCGCGCGGTGTATAGGCTTCAGCTCCTTGCATAGCCGGGGACAGTCGTACCAGTACTCATAAGAGAATGAGGTGGTAGAGGTGGTAGTAGCACAGTAAAGTACTAGTACGCCGGAGTCAAGGATCGCGTGAAGTGCATGCGAGAGTGGAGCCTCTGCTCGGTGGACAAAGCGAGCCCGCTAACTCTACTCACAAAAACAACACTATGCGCAAGAAGACTTGCGCCTGATACACTGTCCGCTACGGCGCTCAGCCCTGCTCAGCATATCACTAGTCCCCTCAGCCGCGCTCCGCTCTCATCAGACGTTCTGACTGGGGGTCATGAGCAAGAGACTTCCGAGCCACCACGTCGCGCCTGCGGTCGCATCTTCCTCCCGCAGACAATCGAAGTGTCTTGCAATCCAAGCACGATGTGCATATATACAACGATTCCGGGCGCGGGGTATGCAGACCAAAATCCAAGATGAATCCCGCCTCGCGCCTTCTTGCAGCCAGTCTAGCAATGACGGCGGTCGCAGTTCCGTACGAGCAGTATATCTTGGCGCCCTCCAATCGTACGTTACACCCCGTGTCGGTCTATGGGGTCAACGGTACTGTTTTCAACGCCGAAAGCGTCATTGGCGGCGAACAGCTCGGCAACGCGACGTTCGACGGTCCTTCGTCCGTCACTTTCGACTACGGCAAGAACATCGCTGGCGTCGTCACCCTCGTCATCAGAAACGTCTCTGACGAAGACCAGTTCGTCGGCATCACGTTCTCAGAGAGCTCTCTCTGGATCTCTAGTGCGGGCAGCGATGCCACCGGCGGCATCGCCATCGACGACACGCTATGGATTCAAGCTCAAACCCCCGGGGTATACACGGTACCCAGGCAAAACGAGCGAGGCGGGTTTCGGTACCTCAGCCTGATTCACAACACCACGGGGACGTTGGACCTAGCCCGGGTGACCACCCAGTTCACCGCGATGCCACACTACGCGGAGGATCAGCTCAGGAATTACTCTGGTTACTTCCACTCCGACGGCAAGCATGCATATATCCACGATCTGTGGCTCTCTACTTACATTATACTTGTAGATGAGCTGCTCAATCGGATTTGGTACGCGGGTGAGTGAGCCATCGACGGTTGTTGTCTACACCGTTGCTGAACACGCAACCAGGCGCATACACGAACCAACTGTGCACGATCGATCCACATTACGGCGATGCCGTTATACATCCCGCGAACGTCGACAGCGCCGGTACCCTGCAGTGGTGGCTGAACATTACTATTTCTAATGGCACCTCCGTGCTGGTCGACGGCGCCAAGCGCGACAGGCTTGTGTGGGCCGGCGACATGTCCATCGCCGTGCCCAGCATTGTCACCTCGACGAATGACCTGGTATCCATCCAGAACTCCCTCAACTCGCTGTTCGCGGTTCAGGACAAGACCAGCGGTCAGCTGCCGTACGCCGGCCAACCTTTCCCCCTCATGCTCTCGCAGACGTACCACATGTATACGCTCATTGGCGTCGCGAATTACTACTTCTACTCGGTAAGTCGGTTTCACAAACTCGGGGATCCTGCTGATACCTTTGTAGAACGACATCGAGTATATCGTAAACATGTGGGACGATGTCAAGCTCGCCGTCGATTTCGCCCTCAGCTTTGTCGATGATAGTGGCCTGATGGACGTGACATCTCCCAATGATTGGCTGCGATATGGAATGGGCGGGCACAACATCGAAGTGCGACCTGCCTCACTCCTAAACCTCCTCCGACCAACTCTGACATCTCGTGCAGGCAAACGCGATCCTATACCACACCTTGAACCAATTGTCGTCTGTGGCCGCCATCCTGAACGAAAGCAGCCTCGTAGCATCGTGGGCCCAGACTGCCTCCACCCTCAAGTCGTCCGCCAACACGCTCCTCTGGGATCACTCCGCCGGGATGTATCGCGACAACGAGACGACGACGCTCCACCCCCAAGACGGCAATGCCTGGGCCGTTGTCGCCAATCTTACCCTCAGCGCGACCCAGTCCCGCTCCATCAGCTCCAACCTCGCCGCGCGCTGGACGGCGTACGGCGCCCCGGCCCCGGAGGCGGCCGACGCGATCTCGCCCTTCATATCCGGCTTCGAGCTGCAGGCGCACGTCCTCGCGGGCAACGTCAGTGCCGCGCTCGACTTGATGCGCCTCCAGTGGGGGTTCATGCTCGACGACCCGCGGATGACGAACAGCACGTTCATCGAGGGCTACTCGACCACCGGCGCGCTGCATTACGCGCCGTACAGCCTCGACGCGCGTATCAGTCACGCGCACGGATGGGCGACTGGGCCGACGTCAACGTTGACGTTCTTGATCGCTGGGATACAGCTAACGAGCGCGGGCGGGAAGACGTGGTTGATCAAACCTGGCCTCGGAGACTTGGCGAGGGCGGAAGCAGGGTTCGTGACCAGCCTTGGCAGTTTCAGCGTCAATAACACGAGGGACGCGGATACGGGAGCTTTCAGCGTGGCGTTTGAGACTCCGGAAGAGACGAGCGGCGCCCTGAGTGTGGAGTATCCGGACTGCGACGGGACACTAACCCTGTCACGATCTGGACAGGAGCGGCTTGTCTTGAACGTGAAGAAGGATGACGCGCCGGAGGGGCGCATCGAGCTTGATGGATTGGATGGGGGTTCCTGGCAAGCGGTCTTCACTTGTTCGTCATAACTTAGGTGGAAGGCAGGTGTATGGTCGAGTATTGATTCAAAGAGTCATGCATAGGTTTGGATTTAACCCTCAAGTCGGTGTACTCTACGAGTGAATATCGTATGTGTATACCATCGCTGCGAGATTGTTTCGTCTTCTCGACAAGCGCCCGGTTCAACGCGCGGCATGCTACGACAAATCGCTGCGCGCAAGGCCTACCCCATCCTTAACCTAGGACCCTGAATGCGACCCACGAGACACCGACCTTCTTTCCCTGGATCGTGTATCCTCCATCGTCCCCAGAGGCTGAAAACCAAAAACCATTTGTGAGTTGTCCCGCTGGTCCCTCTATGCCAACGCACCAACGACGCCCCCCGGGAACTTCGCTCCGACGTCCATCGCCCAGTCTGCGAGGCACTCAAGCGCGGCCCCGTGGTCTCCAGAGTCCGCTGTCATCGCCTCGATTTCGCGTAGACTGTGAAGGCACCAGCATCCGCTGTCGACGCTGAAGCTGCCCACCTCCTCCCACTGGGATGCGGCGGCTTCGTCTGCGCTGGATGAATGCTGCATGATGACTTTCACGATCCCCTCCGAGCCGTCTCCTTCGTCGTCGTCGCCGTCGTCATCGTAGAGTGTCAGACGTGTGACTGCCCATGTTCCGGGTTTGATAACACCGATGGTGCATTCGAATTCGTCCTCGGGACCTGTGGAGAGGTTGACATCTCCAGCGACAAGGCTATCCCCCTCTTTGATCTACGATGATCCGTCGCGCGAGATGGATGCATGTGAGGCAATAGTCAGCTATCATGTCCTTCTCTGCCTGGTCGAGCGTGGACAAACCTCAAAGCTGAAAGGAGTATCCGAGTTGTTCAGGACCTTGACCTTCGCCTGGTATTCATCGAACCAGGAGTTGAAGTCCTCTTGGTTCTTTGACATGCTTGAATACTGAGGAAGTGAAGATGCGACAAGTGAAGTGGGGAGAATCGAGCAGCTCGGTGTGCGTCCGTGGAACGCCAGCGCTTTACTAAGAACAACGGAAATCCTCCACGAAGGCCAATCTGGCCAGCACGGCGAACTCGTCGTAGAGGAATCGATCTATTGGTTGCGACAAAACACCGGCGAACAAATTGCCCCGTGTATCGTCTAAAGCAGTAAACATTGTTATCATCAATCACGTCGCGTACACGAAGACGCAAGACTCTACGATACGGAATATAACGCCAGAGAAAATGAGCTTGTCGATGTGACTCTGCGCGTGTACACAGGAACGATGTGCCGCATGGTAGGTCCCGGTAGCGGAACAGCCAACGCGCTCGGTGAAGCTACACAGCCCCTCGTCCAACTCATCTCCCGCCAACAGCGCCAACGAAGACGATAGACGGTGGGTACACTCTCGCCATGGCCAAGGGCACGGGCCTTGGTAGAGTCATGCCACTCTCTGAGCCTGCTCAGAGAGTATGGGTCGGGAGATGGGGTGTGCGTCTATAGCGGTTGTGCCCACCGTTGCAAGATGAACCCCCGGACGACCTGGCATGCCAACCCCCTACCATCTACGCGTCCTCACGGCGCTGTGCGGGTCTCGGATTTGTTTATACCCTGTGGGCTAGGGTATGCCGAGAATCTCCCTCACCTTCGTGAAACAAACGCGCTAATACTTGAGTTCAGCCGTGACATTGCACTTTGCAACCGACCCCGACCGGCATCCGAGGACCGCAGCGGCCGGAGCCTCCAAACACTCCAGTCGTCCTCGAACATACCGCGCCCTCCCCCAAAAAAGCCGTACGCCCACTCTTGAGCACGCATCGTGCACACCTCAATCCGTCAACCACGCTCCATCTTTGTCATCCACGTTAACCACATCCTGCCCTTACCCTTGCCGTCAACGCGCTCTGCGGACCGTATCCCTCCCTCATTGTCAATCGTACCCCACCCCTCGTCGTCAACCGCGTCGTCAATGTTGGTGTTCGACCAACACACTCCGGAGGTACCGCGCCAGCCCCGGCCGACGGCCAGCAGCCCCTCAAGCAGTGCGCCGGCCACCATCGAAGACGCAGCTAGCGCGCCGCGCGGTGGACCAGCGCATGCCGGAAGAAGCGCGTCCTCCTCGTGCTGCAAGCACCAAGCGGCAGCGGCCAATTCTCGCTCGCGCACGAGCTCGCGGCGGTGTTCCTACCCGATCCCAGCGCAGGGTCGAAGCTGCTTGAGCAAGAGGTGTTTGAGCCACCGCGTCACGCCTGCGGTCAGCTGCCGTACGCCGGCCAACATTTCCCCCTCATACTCTCGCAGACGTACCACATGTATACGCTCATCGGCGTCGCGAATGACTACTTCTACTCGGTAATTTGATTTCACAGACTCGGGGATCCTGCTGATACCTTTGTAGAACGACATCGAGTATATCGCAAACATGTAGGACGATGTCAAGCTCGCCGTCGATTTCGCCCTCAGCTTTGTCGATGCTTTTGGGCTGATGAACGTGACATCTCCCAATGATTGGCTGCGATATGGAATGGGCGGGCACAACATCGAAGTGCGACCTGCCTCACTCCTAAACCTCCTCCGACCAACTCTGACATCTCGTGCAGGCAAACGCGATTCTATACCACACCTTGAACCGATTGTCGTCTTTGGCCGCCGTCCTGAACGAAAGCAGCCTCGTCGCCTCGCGGGCCCAGACTGCCTCCACCCTCAAGTCGTCCGCCAACACGCTCCTCTGGGATGACTCCGCCGGGATGTACCGCGACAACGAGACGACGACGCTCCACCCCCAAGACGGCAACGCCTGGGCCGTTGTCGCCAATCTTACCCTCAGCGCGACCCAGTCCCGCTCCATCAGCTCCAACCTCGCCGCGCGCTGGACACCGTACGGCGCCCCGGCCCCGGAGGCGGCCGACGCGATCTCGCCCTTCATATCCGGCTTCGAGCTGCAGGCGCACGTCCTCGCGGGCAACGTCAGTGCCGCGCTCGACTTGATGCGCCTCCAGTGGGGGTTCATGCTCGACGACCCGCGGATGACGAACAGCACGTTCATCGAGGGCTACTCGACCACTGGCGCGCTGCTCTACGCGCCGTACAGGCTCGACGCGCACATCAGCCGCGCGCTGGTTCCTCACTAGTTTAGAATCGCTCGGTGCTACACTCCTATCAGCTCCTCTCTGCCTCCGCCACGAGGTCTTCTGCCGCCCAGAAGGCGACAGCCGTAACTTGCTTCTTGCCGGCTTGCACATTCAAATTCACGACCCGGCTTACGATGCGGCGGATCATTGTCCACGACTTCATCGCCGAAAGCCCGATTGGTTATACCGCGCGTGCCGTGATTCGAGAGACAAACTGGCGCCGGGCGCTGCCATGTCACCCTACCGGTTGAGATGCTCAGCAGCACTCCCCTCGCGATTGTGGACGCTTCGATAGCGACAACGATGCGCAGGGCAGCTGCCCGACAACTCTGCATGCGACGAGCGTTCTCGAAGGACCCTCAATGCTAGGACTTGAGTATCGGCAGTTAGGCTCTACATCATGTGGCTGCAGAGGCCTGGTACGCTACAAGCTCGCTCTACGTTTGCCCCGGTCTAATCGGATTTTCGCCTTAACGCAGAATGATCGACGGGTGTTTGTCAATGTAAACCTCATGAAGCAGCCGTCCACATCTCGACCACCGACGGCCCTTCGTCCACGACAATAGATTGGCATCTGCCAATTCTCGTAGCCTGCGAGAGTGCACTTGTTCGGCTTCCATTGTGCGTCGTGAGTACATAATGTCATTTTTCCATCGCCAGCCTCTAACCCCTATTAGTCGGCATGTGATAGATGGCTACTACATACACCAGTGCTGGTACTGCATAATATCATGCAGGTTTATCCCACAACTCGAAGCTGAACCCACATTCCGTCAACCTTCTTGCCCTGAACCTCGAAGCCGCCGTCGTTTCCCGAGACTACAAAGCGGATTAACTGCGTCGTTACGAGATTGCGCGATGAACGTACGAACGACACCGCCCGGTGATCTAGGTCCGAACTCCGTGCCCCAATCTGCGATAGATTCCAGCGCCGCCTCTCTATCCCCAGACTCCTGTGCCAATTTCTCAATTTCACGCAAGGAATAAAGACACCAGCAGCCGCTGTCGACGCTGAACGAGTCGATGTGCTCCCATGCTACCTCTTCGAATCCGTTCGAGTCGAAGCTTACATGCCGGACAACGACCCTGGGACCCGCTCGTTCGGCGACATCGCCAACCGGACCGTCCGCGAATAGGTTTACGCTGGAAACGGCCCAAGGACCAGCCCGAAGATCACCAATGATGCACTCGAAGTCGTCTCCGGGGCCTTTGGCGATGTTGATGTCCCCAGCCACTACGCTATCGCCTTCGACTACCTGAGATGATGATAAGTAATCAGGGAAAGGGGGATCAATAGACGGCTGACCTCAAAGGCCAGGAGGGTATCTGAGGTATTCAATTCTTTGACCTTAGTTTCGTGAGCGTCGAACCAAGCGTCAAACTTGGACTGGGGCTTCGCGTCCGTAGTTCTCGCCTCGCGATCAACCCCGATACTGATCGGCCCGAGCCATTCGCACCGTATGACTCCCGGTCGTACGACATGCGCCACGCTCTCTGGATCAGGCCCAAATCCGAACTCGGAGGCTGTACAGGACAAGTCGACGACGAACTCCTTGTTGAAAGTCGTCACACAATACAACCTACGCGTCGTCGGCTCATAGCCCCAGGCGATGCCAATCCTCTGCTCGAATGACAGTTTGCGGGTTTGGTGAGGCCGTCGTTCCGCGCCAGCGCTATTGGAAGTGTGTGGGCGAGTCGAAATCTGGATCCATCTCCCGAGGATTAGTCCACGGATCTCCTCCGTAGTAAGCGCCGTTGGCACTCGCTTGTCCGTGTTCTCGACGTGGTCGTCTTCAGGGTCATTTGCTGATATAGTGAGGGATTGAACTCCTGCGCACGTAGGTTGCACGACTAGGAACAGATGAGAGGAGATGACCGATGGTGTCGTAGTGGAAGGGATGATGTTGGCACCCAACCCTGGGAGCAACAGCGTAGCCACCTTGCGCCACTCGTATGCCATCTCCGGGACGCCACCATTGAGTCCCGCGCGGCCGAATCCTGGGGGGGTCGATGGCTCGACCCAATGAGGCGGTGTGGTACACCATGGCGGGAGATGACGATCCCATGGCTGAAGCGAAAGCTGAGCCCTCTTGTGCTCCCAGCGCAGCGCGTGATCGTCGCGAACGTACGTGAGCTTCGTACTACCACCGAAGAGGATGATGACCTGCTGAACAGTATGTTTGGACGCGTCTCTGAAGTCGAGTTCTGCATGCTTCGCCGCTGTTCTTTGCGAAATACTTTTTCGGATTTCTTCTGGTGTCATTGGCATCAATGGGGGAGGAGGACGGGATTCCGATTGGGCATCGTTTGTCGGCTCACTGTGGCGAATGACCTTGAAGCTGAGTGCAGGCCTGAAAGGATGCCGGTATTTCTTGTTTACTTGTACGCGGAAACGCTGGAATGCGTGGTCGAAGGTTTCTTCCATGACTGCAGGGACCATTTCGGGAGCCCATGTCTCCGACCACGAGCCTTGATGTTTCGCACTCACATCCTCAAAGATCAAGGTGATAGACGAAATGTCGTCCGGCAAAGGCTCGTTCGTCCACCAGATTTTCTCCAGCTCCTCGGCCTGTTTCTTCCTATCCCCGTATGTGCCTCCAAGTCCAGAGCTCATGCTGTAGTGTCCTTGAGTTGTATGCGGTTCCGGTCGACAGGTGAGAGATGCAGGAAGACGCAAGTAATAATTGGTGGAAACTGACACTCGACCGTATCTTACGCAATGCAGTCGCAATGCTGTTCCCGTGTGACGGGCGATCAGCTCGTGGTGGAGGGGGAACCGTGCAGGTGTCTTATCGTGACGAAAAAATAGTGTTGGAGCTCATGAACCGCGGTACAGTCATGGCCAAGATCTCTTCGCGAGAATAAACATGTCTAACTGCCAGTACGTATACAGTGATCCGCGAACGAGAAGTTGGGAAAGTGAAGATACGCCAGGTAGCGGCGTTTCCTTGGGTGGCTAGATCCTACGATTCTTCCATTCATGACGTACGCGAGGCATCAGGGACCGGAAACACAGTACTGCAACATGATCATTGACAGGAAATTTGTGGTGATGATGAGCACCGACATACCTGAACGTCAAGCTGGAGATTTGTGCCTGTATTCGGAGTCAGGAGCTGAAGGAATAGCAGGAAACTCAATCACGCACATTCTTGATCAATCTCAGGATTCCATGCGAGGAATTGAGCACTCGAAATGCCGAACTCCACTTCAATAGAGGCACAGAAATCGCCGCTTTGGACTGTGTAGTATTGCGTGCAACCTTGAGCAGGTGTGATTGTCCCGGATCCCGTAGCCGCCGCAGAAATGATCGTTGCTGTGGAGGACGAGATCGTCGAAGCTGCAGTACGGGAATATGATGAGGTGTTGTATTTCGCAGATACGATGCCGGTAAACTCACGACCTGAGACACAGTACTGGAGTCCCGGTACGATGTTTCCGCACTGGTCATCGACCTCCGGGTTCCATGCTTGAAATTGAGCGAAGGTTATACCGAACCGGTCGTCAATCACCGCGCAAGAGTCGCCAGAGATGACGATATAATACATATCGCAACTTGTGGTGCTAGCAACAGTACTATCAGATATATGCTCGTCTTGACGATATCTACTCACATTGTTCCGGAGGCGGTCGGGCTGGCGGCCACTGAAGTAGCTGTGGTGGTAGTCGAGGTGTCTACTGCGCCTGCTACACAGTAAGAGAGGCCTCCTTGAATATTGGTACCTATTGGACATGATGAGTGTCAATCGTGGTTCGCGTATTTCCAGCTAGTCACATTGATTGTTCCTATGTACTACCAAGTCAGAGACATGGTCTGAAGTAAGCGGGGCATTTACGTACACTTCCAGGTTCCAGGTGATGAAATCATCGAGAGTGATTGAGAACTCCATGAATATGGCGGAGCATGAGTCACCCGGCCTATGAGGGGTGAGTTTTGATTATCAAGCGAGCGGTGTCAACGAACTGGACTGTGTAGTAAGCTACGATGCCGTATATTAGCTCGGGCCTATACACGTTTCCGGAGAACCCACAGGAACACCCTTCCACAATTGTCCCGGGTGCAACGTCAGAGGGAACGCTGGCTGTAGACGTTGTGATAGGTGCAGGGCCAGCAACACAGTACGAGAGCCCTCCTTCAATATTAGTACCTAAAGGAGGCTCCTCGCATTCAACGGGCGTGGAAGAGAATGAACTGCGCGCTTACACTGATCGTTACTGAGTGAAGTGTATAAGAGCAATTCTACGTGAGAGTAAAACGGCTCACACTTCGGGGTTCCAAACGATGAACTGGGAGAGAGTGATTGAGAACTCGTTGAATATCACTTCACAAGAGTCCCCGGATCTGTAAGGCGTCAGCGTCAACGAGTCAGGGTAACAAGGACTCGGAGGTAACGTACTCTACTTGGTAGTACACTAAATCACCATGCAATATGCATTAGTGTTGTGTAAATCCTGATTGGAGAGACTAACTGGAACATCCCGTCGTGATAGTACCGGGAGCGATATCTGAAGGAGTGGCCGATGGGATGGTAGTAATTGTGCCTGACGATACAATTGAAGGAAACGAGGTGGGGGTTGTGAAGATTGGAGGGCCAAACACGCAATACGCCAGTCCAATCTGATGACAACCTTAGTACCAATATCAACATCGTGCTCGGACATCATTCAGGACAAACTTGAATGTTACTGCACGCTTCGTCAACCTACCCCAGCTCACGGTCATTAGTATCAATACCTGGTGGTGGTGGGGGGCATACCTGAGGATTCCACAAGCGCAACTCGGCATCTGATATCGCGTTGACAGTTTCGATTGCGACGCAAGTATCACCTGTCATCTTTACTCAGGCACGAGACCGGATATCAACGGCGACAATTGGTTCACCTGCCTGAACTGTATACCCTACTCATGGAACAAGTCAAGTTGTCAAAAGGTTGATTAACGAGCGAGATAATTTGTATACGATTACGTACAATCCAAACAGGATCCGTTAGACAATGAACCCGGCGCGATTGTGGGAGCCGGTGTAGGCGTTGGGGTTGGTGTCGTTCCCGACGACGTCAAGGTACTGGCGGAGATCGACATAGTTCCTGTGATCATAGCGTAGCCACTCCCAATAGGAAACTCAGAGACTATTCAATTTGCTTGAGTAAACACCATAATATTGACATCCTGAGACATACCTAGATACTGGATGAGTTCGGCGGAGGTAGATGTAGATGTACTCGTTGTTGTTGTCACTGTCGTCACTTCGAGGCAGGCTAAATGTTAACCTTCAAGGATCATCAAAATTGATCATACATTCAAACAGCGCCACGCAATAGGAGAAACCGGCCAAGAGGTTACTACACTGAATAACCGTAAGCTGGGTTTTCAGTGTGATGTTCACGTTCACCCACATCACCGTTCACCATTGGGTTGAGCTATCATGTTCACGGTCATCGTTAGGTACTGGCAAAATTATACCCCAGAAGGCTGACCTGATAGAAGGTATCGTTAGAGATGCCAAAGAACTGTAATATCTATCGTAATTCTCAGTAAATGTTCACTCTCGGGCATGGATCGTGTGCTATGCAATACCTGAGGACATGTATCTGACACGAGGCTCAGAGTCCTCCAACAAGATACAGGCTGCTATGGAGCTTACCGCCGGGTACCGCTATATACCATTCGCCGCAGACGGAACGATCAGAACCTGGTGCAACCGGTCCCGTTGGAGTACTGTTTTCAATCAATCAGCCGTGCCCACATAGACGACTTGACGTATACGCACGCAACACGGGTTGGGGTTCCTATACAAGTCATGCCATTACTCACGTAGTTGCGTGTAACCTTCAATGAACGAGCATACCCGTGATATAAGAGACTGTGGCTGTTGGGACATACCCGCCCCCGGGTGGACTAACACAGATTGCTTTTCCTATTTGACCGTTGATGTTGGAGCAGTATGGATTGATCTGCCTGAGAGAATCACCAATCAATTACAACGAGTCGAGCTGGAGTGCTGAGAGGTCACTTGCGGGTTCCACATCAGTAGCTGAGACCATGTAACTCCTTGCTCTCGATAGATGGACACGCATGTGTCATCCTGCTGTACAGTGTACAAGCTGCAGGCTCCAGATAAACAGATCTAAAACAGGAGATGAGCCATGATTACCACGAGTCATGAACACGCGAGCTGCATACACTGCTTCCTGGTGCCGGGAGTATTGTACAGTTCATGTCGAAACCGTTGATAGCAACAAGCTGGTCGAACGACAGGGATTTCGAGGATGCAATGGAAGCACACGTGTCTCCTGCCTGATCAGGTTTGGTGTTATGGACCATCATTACAGAAGCGCTGGTAAACTTTACCTCAACGGAATATGTTCCGAACACGCAATTGTCGGACGATGCACCAGGCAATGATGGCACCCTAAGACATTGCGCTCAGTTGACAGATGGCTATTCAAGACCCGGAAAGTCACGCTCACGCAGTGACGTTATATGTGGTACCGTTCTGCGCATCACCGTCGAATAGTAGTCCAGCCGGGACGGTGTTGTTGAAGGACACGCCACAGTCAGACTGGACTATTTCCCAGTCAGAAGCACTGCTTCAAGTGTCGTGATTAAATATCTGAGCCATGTCAAGGAATACTGAACCGCACAAGTTTGAATCCCAGCCGAAGGAACTTGTCATCTGGATATTGAGCACTTCAAGCCGGCATGAGTCACATAGTTGATCATGCGGGAGAGACAGGATGGGTTGGTCCTCAGAGGAAAGGGATGACTATGGGAATCGTAAATGTGTGCGGAGAGGCCATACAACATCAACGTACCTGAAGCTCAAGCGTGCAGTAGGTGGAATCTGACATTGCACAACTCTAGTTAAGACTATGAGAGTGTATCAGCGGCGAGACGTAAAGCGCGACAAACAATGTTCCAATTGTACAAAAGCCACCGGAAGCTGTATTACAAGTGGTTAGTGCCGTCGAAATGCAACAACAAACATGTCCTACGGTAATGACGCCACGTAGCTTGTATCCCCGAGGATGTACGGCCAATCAGAGCATGCATTGTCAACGGCAAATATCACCGATGATAGTGATGCATAACAGCCTGGTTGACAAACTGAAGCCAGATCTATCTCGGTCAGATTGCTCAGTGCAATGGACGACCCAGGAAGTGAAGAGATGAGAGTCTCGGGACAGTCTACAGACAAAGCTAAAGCATTTGCACACACATCCGAGCTAGGAGCTGGGTAGATATCGGATGCGTTGGAGAACACTTGAATCGTGCTTGATTGACCCTGTGCCAGAACTGGATGAACGATATAGGTGGGGAGAAGGAAGGTAAGCAGCAAAGTCAGTGAGCAGCTGAGTAGTACGGGCATTGGGAATCAGGAAGGTAGAATCGCTCTGAAGAGATTTTTAGGTCAGGCGAGGCATAGGCGCGGACTGCATTTTCGTCGATTACCGAACTCCACCGCAATTGTGGGTCCCAAGTTCCATGAACCTGCTGCTAGACGCATCCAGGCCAGGGTCATCCAAATCAGAGCCATCACGAATGGACTGCATGAGCAACAGTTGATGGGATTGCAGTTCAAGAAGTCAAGGAGCCACACAAGCGTTATCTGGAAAGGCGCAAGATGCGAGCAATCAACATCAATTCAAGCGCGATAGCTGTCCTGAAGCTGGAATGTGGCAGACCTATTTATAATACGTCAACAACGGTACACGCGCAATACCATAGATATCCCAACGTGATGCTCGGGCCTTCAAAGGCAAGAATTTGACTGTATGTGAACGGTAGACATTCTATTGAATCCCGATACGTGCTACGCTCTCTTTGTCAAATTTCAGCCTATCGCCTGCGCATGCACGTTATGTGTTGTAGTGACTGTTGGGCAATGCAGTCTGTAGGTCCCTTCTGAAAATTTGGTATTTTAGATAGGCCCCGGGCCGATGTATGCATATGCGACTCTTTCCCGGGATCAAGCCCTACTGGTTTCTCTGTATGAGTCAAGCTGGAAATCTCTGCGACCCGGTCAATCAATGCTCCCAGGGACTGCGTTGGGCATGACTGGACAGCATTCAGAGCTGTCCACATATGGACGGATGCCCGAGACCGGGTGGATGCAGGAAGCCAATCTGCAGTAGAGGCCACATTTAATATACTTAGCTGCCCAAACATGTTCGCCCTCCTCCCACTTCACCGAGAGAAATCAGAGCTTGCTCACTCGACGCGTTAGTACTATGTGGCGCCCTATTGCGCTCCTCATGATCTTTGCATGTCTCTATATCAAGAGCTCCACCGCCATAACCTCGTACCACTGCACCCCAGCTGTTACTCGTTATCGAAAAGAAGTTCTTGCAAGGTCTAAAGCCAGACAGTTGCAAGAATTGGTCCGGCCTGTTCCCCCGAGGTCACCACGCTCCCTTCACTCGGGTTTTACTCCATGGAAGGCGGTATTTAAATCGGCGTTCTCGTCTGCACACAAGAAGCACTCTCGGAGTAAGCGACAGGATGCGGACGTATCATGCAATAATATCACCATCACTCCTCCTGGATTTGATGGAAGCTGTTCAGTTTTACAGCCATGCCCTAACGGGGCTTGCTGGTACGCTCACTTGCACCATTTTCAGGACTCATTCATTCGCTAACTACATTGACAGTGGTCCTTCTAATTTCTGCGGATATGGTATGTCACTCTGTAAAGTCCTCAGGTTGCGGTACTCAACGTAATGCTATTATAGGCAACGATTTCTGTGGCACCGGCTGTCAGAGTAATTGTGATGCGAAAGCGGAGTGCGGCCCCGATGCACCTGCTGGGAAGGAATCTTGCCCTTTGAACGTGTGCTGCAGTAGATTTGGATTTGTGGGTCACCCGCCACAATTTACAATATGTTGAGCTTGCTTATGTTATATCTAGTGCGGAGCTACGGATGAGTTCTGTGGAGCAAATTGCATAGGGGAGCATTGTGGCTCGCCAAGCATTCCGTCAGGTGCAAACATTCCTGTTGCATCTCGCATTATTGGATATTATGAGGTACGCACATGACATTGAGTATTTGTTCTGACAGTTGAAGAGTCGTGTGAAAGGGATGGTGAGTCTTTCCGGTTGACTGATACGTATGCCGCAGAACTCACAATTCACAGGGCTTCGGGTCGTCCTTGTCAAGCTTGGTATGCATGATACAACGACTACATTGGTTTGACTGAGATACATATTTCCTAAACAGGTTCCCTTCAAATGTCCCGGCAAATGGCTACACTCACTTAAATTATGCCTTTGCATCCGTCGACCCTGTACGCATATGTTTCGAATGCACTTGACACTTCTTGATTTTTCGTGTCAGGTAACGTTGACCGTTGTTCCTGCCAGCGCGGGTGACATACCACAGTACACTGCATTCACAAACCTCAAGCAGTCAAACCCAAATCTGAAGACCTATATCTCGGTCGGCGGATGGTCTTTCAATGACCCTCCTACTCAGCACGTTTTTAGCAATGTCGCAAGTAGCACCTCAAACAGTCAAAGACTTGCTACATCCTTAGTGAAGTGAGCCACTGGTATGGCTTCTCTGCAAATAACGTGTCTGATCTTTGCACAGCTTCATGGTACAATATGGCTTTGACGGTGTCGACATGTATGTAACAGTTGTGACTGTTTCGACCACGCAACTAACTGTATATCAATCCCAGTGACTGGGAATACCCTGGCAAGCTTTACTTCGCGATCTATCTGATGCATTACTGATTGTTGTTCTTCAGTTGCTTGCGAACGAGGTGGCATCCCCGAGGATAAGGTGAACATGGTATCTATGTTCAAGGTCATCCGATCGACGGTAAAGGCATATGTTCTCATCTCTGCATTACCTGATTGTGAAAAAGTTTGATGTGTCGGGTCACAATTTTGGTCTGACGTTTACGGCTCCATCTTCATATTGGTATCTACAGCATTTCGATTTGATTAGCTTGCTCAAGTACGCACACTCTGCTACAAAGACATGTAGTGGTGCTCACATACTCTTTGGAAGTTTCGCAGACTGGGTCAACCTCATGAGCTACGATCTACATGGTGTATGGGATGCCAAGGACATTTTCATCGGTAACATAGTCCAGTCGCACACTAATCTCACGGAGATAAAGGACTCGATCAATCTCTTCCAACGTGTTGGCGTTCCCCTTGATCGCATCGTACTTGGACTTGGATTCTATGGTCGCTCTTTCGAGCTTAGTGATCCAACGTGCTCAACGCCCGGGTGCTTGTTCAGTGGGCCAGCTCCAGGTGGACGTGAGTTGCTATCAAGCTCTGTTTTACTGAGCTACTAGATTGTAATGACATCTTCACAAGCGTGTACACAATCTGACGGCACTCTAAGCTTTGCTGAGATTCAAGATATCATTCGGATGAATGGCACAAGTGACACAAATATCGTATACGATGCAATTGCCCAGGTTAAATATGTCACGTATGATACGGTGCATAACATGCTTGCCTTTCTGTGATCACATGTAACATTACCATCAGAACAATTGGGTCAGCTATGATGATTATGAGACATTGTCAGCCAAGGCGCAATTTGCAAAGGATGCTGGAATGGGTACGTCATGAAATATACAGACGTGTATGCACCTATCTCTGACTGAGGTTTAAGGTGGTCTGGTATGTTGTGTTTGCACGGTGGTCGCGCAATGCTAAATCACCTGGCGAACAGATGATTTGGTATGTCTTCAGAGCATGTGCTGGCTGATGTGCTTCAGCTGTTCTCTATAGGAGTGCAGACCAGGATGATTTCAATGTACGTCACAGCAAACCTTACTCTTCTGATAAACTGACTCGCACATAGTCAACGGTTAGTCTGGGTATTACACACGGTGATCACACCTTCTCATGATTGCAGGCCCTATCTGCCGTCCTTGGAACGCCACTGGACAGTAAGCATATTTACCAACACAATAATATCTTACTAAATACTGTGTAGGCATTAATGTGCCTAAGGCGCAAGATGTCAACTCACAGGATGGCTCAACCTGTATCACAACAGATTGCGGCGGCAAATGCCCAACAGGATATGTTCAAATGACAGGTCATTATCCATCTCAGTTGGGTATAATGTTTGACTCATCATACACGTAGATGTGACAACCGGTGACTTTGGTATGCCCACCATTTAAACAAGAACGGATTAATTACTCATCATGTTTTCAGCGAATCCTCGAAGCGGTGAGTCCGCAGACCCGTGCTACATGTCCTTTATCGGCTCATATGAACGGGCAGACTGTAAAGGCTCGATCAGAAAGGCGGTTTGCTGCCCTTCAAGGTACGTCATGCACGAGAGACATGTTAGCATTTGTACTCACCACGCGGCAAAAGCCAAGTTCCCCAGGATTGTCAATGGCGAGGGTCCGGTTCGCATACATTTCTGTCATAATACACATTACGCAGTCTCACGTAACGTTCTCTATAGCCGGGATCTGCAATGGTGTATGCGAAGGTGCGTATAGCATAATTAACCTTCCATCAGAGAATTAATATTGCTCCAGTCGGTGAGATTACACTGGCAACGGACTCTTGTATGTCTTCCGCGGATGACATCGTCTTCAGAAAATTGATAAGTCTTGATCAACTCGCTATCACAGGGGGTAATGGAGGAAAATGCACGTCTGGACACAAGGCATTTTGTTGCAAGTCAGGTCTCACTGCGGATCAGATCGAAGAAGCGACAGAATGCCAATGGTAGGTGATGTAAAATCTTCAACCCCTCAGATGCTCATATATGACCCAGGTGTGAGTACTGTCAAGCCTTCCTTGCTATGAGCAACTCAACTCTAGTATGTGATGCACGCTTCACAGATGGTGAGTATTCTCACTCTGCCCTGCAAATTGCTGTTGATCCTTTGTCTTCTTCCACTTAGGGCACCAGAGCAAGAAGTGAGTAAAATTCATGTCCCTCCTTGGAGCTCGCTGATTATTTACATTAACAGCTGCAACGATAATGTAATTCCGTGAATTTTATCCTTGTTTGTGTCTCCTGAAGCAGCTGCAGGTGTGCCCCCCTGGAACATTCACCAAGAAACGAGACTGTAATAGGCTATAACATGTCACGCTATTGTTCCACTACTAATGTGAACATGCTCCAGACTATGGCGATACAAATCTGTTCCATGCATGTATAATGCAGGAGAAGAGCTACTGCTGGTGAGCATGATTATCAAGTAATGACTTTGCATCGCATCTGAACAGAATATCCAAGCTATCCGCCAAACGGTGCAAGCACCACTACGCCTTTCAATGTTGTAAGTGAATTGCCTTGTATGCTACCATACCTAAGCCATTATTAGGACGATTTATTCGATAGTCCTCCGGATGACGGCGACATCCTCTGGTGAGTTATTTCTAAAATCATAGAGGTGTCAATTGTTATCTGTGCGGGTACCAGGCAGATCCAGAGTGATCCTATAGACGAGAACACTGCTTCAGGCGGTGCTGAGGAAGATGATAATTCATTTGGGATGCTGGTATTGGATGTGAGGACCGCGATCATCTGTCTCATCCGCAGGTCTCACATTATCCCATAAATTAGGGACCTTCCACGCTCCTTTCAAGCATTGAGCCATCAACCGACTGGGTGATAGTGGGCTGTATAAAAGACACATCACAGTTACAGGTGGTGCCGGCCTTCTGTCGTAAGATAACAGGTGATCCAACGTCTGGATGTGCAGCTGTATTTGAAGGGGGAGCCAAGAACACGTGAGCACCATTTCTACAAGGTCTGTCACCATCTCTGACGTCGTACAGCGTTGTGAAAATGCCTGCAGGATGCGGGGGGCCATATGCTCGACTTGCGCAGCTTGAGATCAACGACAGTATCGTCTTGCCTCAATCGCACGCATCTCTGAAGCCAGTGGAGAATCCCGTGTATCAGATGCATTTTGATTATAACTTTCATCTCTTGTGAGGTCTCTTCAGTTTTCTATGCGCATGTTTTCACGGTGTCGTTCTCAGAGCCGAGACACGGTCGTCCGACATTGATGGCTCAGTACTGATGCGAATTGATGCAACAACACTACCTGGATACTGGTCAGAGATTGATTTGCCAGGTATGACCTCCGCTTAACTCTGCCAGCCATTCTTTACCATCAGAGATATGTCAGATTCTGACTCTCCTATCAAAAGAGAGCTGGAGGTACGATGGTTCGGTGCTTTCTCTAACTGGCTTTCCCGCATTTCAAAAGTCAAGAGCTCGACGAGCGCGGACCTTGCCATGCAGAGGTCGTTCTCCACGGTACTCTATTCCGCCAGCCAATCGTGCTCAAGCAACGACGGAACTACGTCTCTTACCGCGTCTCTGGATATAACCGCACAAGGACAGGCGCACGCAAGACTGAATTATGTAGATCATTTCATTCTCATTCTGGCCAATCACTCTGACCATGACGGGCAGGGATTCTATCTCGAGGGAAGTATATTTCCACCCGGCGTCAACCAGGCGTACATATACGCGAACTCGGACGCATCTGCTTCATTAGGCTTTCAAGTAACAGGCAAAGCTTCCGTTTCCTACGATTCAGGGAGAGTCGCTTTGGTCCCCGAAGTCAGCTGGCCAGGATTGTCATATCCAGGGATCGCCACCATTGGCCCCACATTCAACATTTGTAAGTGACTAAGTTGCGCACAAATGCGATCTGTTCATTATCCATTTCAAGATGGTCAGTTGAGCGGCTCGTTGGCTCTTTCAGGAACATTTGGGGTAGAAGGAACATATAATTTCCCACAGTAAGCTTCGAGTTGATTGGTGTATGTGTAGACCTCACTCAACAGCCATCACCTAGAGGGTATGTCGTAAGGGATTATCGGGTTTGTATATCCATATAATGGTTATCTCTCCCAGGCATGTTGCATTAGGCGTAGTTGGCAGTACACAGTCAGGGTCGGATCAGAGCTTGTCAGCGGAGGTCGGCAGTCAGCCTTATAGTAAGCTACCTCCCAAGTTACTGGTGCAGACTTGACTGGTATTCTAGGCTGGCAAGTTGTTCCGACAGCTGATATACAGCTCGGTGGCTCCTTGGCGTATGGCATTCTTTCTCTCCCTAAGTATCTATATCTGAATTATCGCAGCATTCATGTCATTCCGGAGGCTGCATTGGTATTTAGCATTCTTCCAGGTACACCAGTGCAAATTGGGGCAAGGGGTACGATCTTCCCAGCCGTTACGTGCACGAGCTCATACCTTTTAAGCTTACATCAACATCGACGGAGCGATGACTCTGAGTTTGACAGCAGATACGAACTCGTTCAACGTGCACGTGGGAGCAAGTGCCGATCTGCAGGGGGTATGTCTACGAGTGTGGTTCCGGACGTGCATGATTTTATTGGATGAACATGTCTTACTCAGGGCGCAACGGGGGGGATCGGGTCTTCATCGAACGCGTACAACATCGGACCGTTCAACTGGTATCACTATGACGTGACGATTTACGAGTATGTGGATCCGTTAACGATACTGCTGTTACGTTGAATTAATGTACGTGACAGCTACACTTTGCCGCTATCATCAAGTTCCAAGAGGGCCCCCCCACTGTTCTCTGACACGGTCTTCGACTCAATAGACGAGTATATGGACATTGGAAGAGATGACGTGTCTATCTCAAATGTCTTCAACTACACTCAACTCTACCCTATTCCTGACACACCACAGGCCAAGCGGTCGCTATTCTCTGGTACACTAAACTGCCCTTCCGCACGAAGCGACGAAGCAACCAGCTGTGCCGCAGAGCTCGCAGACGATTCGGCAGACCCCACAGATCCCGATGATGGTGCCGGAGAAGAGCGTCGTAATATATATACGTCATTTTCGGAGCTCTTCGAAGAAGATATCGTTGAACGTGAGTTAGAGAAGTCTGCAACTATCATACACAAGCCACTAACTCTTCCTCAGCGCATGAGTTAGTGAGCGTCCGTGGCTGCTCGTGAGTTGCCAACTTTGGCTCCGATTTCTATGGCCGCATCTCACAACATACACCAGTCAATTCAAGTTTAGCGCGCCGTGTATGTGCATCACAGTCTAAGAACCCTCCTATGTGATCGAACCTCTCCTTAGCATATCGGAACACGCTTGATCTTGGCATCTGGGACTTGCAAGTTGATACGGAGTATGTGTCTCCCCCCAGTAGTGCATGCGTCTTTTACAACAGCTCTGTGCAGCCCATTCAACGTCGAAGCTGCAAACATCGGCGCACCATATGCGGTACGTGTGGTCATGAAATAATCATGCCAGCGCACTGAGATACTGAATCCGGATTTCTTACCAGTGGCAAGTCAGGAATGCGAACAATGGGAACGGCTACGCCAAAGAACATGTATTCGAGATCCAGATGCTCACCCAGTTTATGACTGTGAGTCGTAATTGTGATCGTGACATGGCATACATCATTATTGATGCTAGTAATAATAGGATGTGATCGCATTCAGGCCGCAGGTATTGAATGGCATGAGTATCTGCCAATGGATCGGGGCCTATATCTTTTCCGCGTTTCCTCCGAATGTCCCAGCCGCCCAGCAGTTCACTATGTCGGACAGCCTCAGGGCTTCACTTCCTACAGGTCAAATACGAATGCCACGTAATAGTCGACTCCTTCATACCCAGAGTACGACACTGATTGACCCTGATAGTGTTGAATGAAAACGCGAATTCAGCGAAGTGAGTCCATACTATCTAGTAGCTGCGAGTCAATATAGCTCACGTAAATAATCGTCTCACAGGCAAGCCGTAAGCTGATAGCTTTCATATCCCTCTGTTTTGTCTAAACCAAATCTACCACCAGTTTATATCGGGGAAACGTGCATTCCGGACATCCGGGAAACTGAAACGCATAACAGCGGATAATGTTGTTTTCTTGGCCCGCCAGGCCCTGATGTCCGTCAGCTATATGAATCAACCAGATATCCAGAAAGCATTCGTTGAAGTGGCGAACCAGGTACGCAGTCCCTATATATTTATTAGTATTCAAGCTTTGAGCGTTGATTTTTGTATCGCAAGGTGGAACAACTCTGGATCAATTTCTTTGCTTACTACGATCACTACATCGTGAACTCAGGCTTCGATGCACAAAATGAATTCCGGTGAGCTCATTATCGTCATCTGTGACCGGTTCGCCGTAGACTGATTATATATAAATGGGACGCAGGCTTTGGATCAACGTAAGTGGTATTTTCCACCTCGCCCCAAATAGTTTTGATCGCAAGTCGTGTATAGGATCTACTTGGTATGGAGCCACAGACCCCATTTCCATAGCATTACTCAGTACTTTTGCAGAGAGTTACGGTGACAATACGCAGTTATTCCTGGACGACGCGGTATCAGCATTGCGCGCAAAGCTTTCCGGACAACAGAGCATCAGTATCAACGTACCACTTAAGGTGCGTGTTTCTCACCATGCCGTTCGCTAGCATAACATTGTTGCCAGTGCTCATCAACACAGTCTACTCTTGGTGCGGCGCTTATCAACCAACTGAATGGTGCCAATCCTTCTATTGCCTGGACTTACTGAGTCTCTTTGAAACGTTCATGGTGCGAGTATATATGTACAACTTGATGTCAGCGGAGCTCTCGTGTTCGGTCTGGGTTGTTTCAAACCTTTCGCTGTTTCATGGGATATAGGAGGTTGCGGCGCGGATTGTGGAAGCGATGGACCTTAAGCGTATTCTCCGCGCTCTGTCTAGTGCCGTGCTCGCGGCGATTTGTCTACGGATCTTAATGTGTGACGAATCACAATGACGGCAGTGCGCACCTATCAACTTATCTATGGTTCCGTCGAAGGCCGGGCAGCATAGCTGAGATACGACACGAAGGGAACGTGTTCGATAGCAACCGCTTATGGCATACAGAACAGATTATCAGACACGAAGGTCATTCCCGGGAGGGTCGCCGAAAACCAGCTCTGAGGTTATACGCGAATCTAACAACAGATGTATGAACCTGGAAAACGGGTGCATTGGATTCAATAATGCGTCATAAGGTATCCTGGCAGTGCGTATTAATCTTCGCGGCGAGGCCAGTGGTTCACGATGACGCGGAGACCTACCATTATCACTCCATGGGGACAAAGGGGACGATGGTATGCGGCATGACCTGAACATCCAGGGCCGTGCTTACCTACGACATGGGACGAGCCTGTTTCGTCCAAACTTCAAGCAAGACACTTCAAGTACTGCAGGATAAGTACTTCTCGACTTTCCTGCGTAGCGCGTGTTCCGGACGTATGCCGGAGGTCTTCAACATCCTCGCCAATCCCTCCGCCAACCGCCGTCGCTCGCTATCGTCCACGTCCTCCGACTCCAAAACCTCCTTCACCGCTCGCGCCAGCCTGCTCCTCGGTCCCGGCGGGCGCGCCCCGTTCGCCACGGCAGCACCTGATCCACCCGCCTCTCCGTCCGCCGGCGGCGCGCCTCCGACCTGCGCAGGCTGCTTCCGCTTCTTCTTCTTCTTCTTCGCCTTCGGGATCGCGAGCAGCGGCTCGAGCACCTCCGTCCTGAACCTGCGCAGGCCCGCGGCGGCGATGTGGACGACGCGGTCGGGCGCGCTCGCGGCCTCCGCGCACGCCTCCGCGGCGGCGTACTCCTCCGACGAGCCGCCGCCGCCGTCGGGGTAGCCCCAGAGCTGGAGCTCCTCGAGCCGCCGCTCTTTGACGAGGAGCGCGATGCGCTCCCGGCTCGCGTCGTCCCGCCGGACGGAGGCGACGACGGCGTCGAGCATGTCGCCCAGCCGGAGCCAGCCGCGGTCCTCGTCCGCGGCGCGTTTGACGAAGTGGCGGTTGACGTAGTTGAGCAGGCGGTGTACGGCGCGCGCGCCGGCGGCGTAGCGCGTGAAGGCGGGGACGAGGTAGCGTACGAGCGCGGCGCCGTCGTCTTGCGGCGCGCCGAGGTAGAGGTCGCGCGCGGCCGCGGTGAAGTAGGCGTCGAGGTGGCAGTAGAGGTCGGAGCCGCTGAGGGGGGCGTCGGAGCGCGGGTGATCGTCGTCGTCATCGTGGGCGGGTGCGCGCAAGGAGGCGGGGAGGAGCGTCGGGTCGACGTGCTCGAGCGCCTGCGACTGTTGGGTGAAGTAGTTGTAGACGGCGGTGTGGATGCCCATGGAGTAGGCGAAGTCTATGGCGGGAGCACGTTCGGGGTCGTCCGACGGCGCGCGGACGATGTGGTCGAGCGCCGGGTCGAGGTAGGCGACGAGGGCGGGGAAGGAGGACGATGGGGAGGCGGAGCTGCCTGCGTGCGGGGCGGGGAGGGGTGTGCCGGCGTCGTCTTTGCCTTTGCCTTTACCGTTCGACATAGATTCGGTGTGGCGTAGACGGCGAGGAGAGCGGGAGATGTAAGCGAGAGAGAGGCCGGAGCGTTCAGGTCGTCGCGGACAGCATCGAGGAGAGAAAAGAAACGAGCGCGACTCGAGCGCCCGGCCACGGTCTCTTCCCCTGCTACCATACCCTCTCTGTCGCTATGGCTTATATGCAAAACAATCCCCGGTTCTCTGTCACGTCGCTCTCATCTGGAGGGCGTAATTCGCCGACGACGAGCACGACCCGATTTTCGCTCCCGGCGCCGTCCATCACGACGACAAGCACGCCGAAGCCAGCAGGCGCGCGGCCAAACATCTACGACCGCAATCTCAACAAAACCCGCACGGCAGAGGTGTCCGCGTCCGCTTTCGCCTTTCTGTTCTCGGAGGTTGTCCAGTACACGCAAAAGCGAGTCGCTGGGATCAACGACCTCGAGCGGAGGTCTGCCACCGTTCCACCTCCCTGGTCACATCGCTCGTTCCGCTCAATTCCCCCTACTCCTAAACCAGGCTCAACACGCTCGGATACAGATGCGGAATGCGCATCTTGGAGCTCAACGTCTGGCGAAACGAGAGCGCGTCGAAGGCGCCCAAGCGGGAGATCCGGTTCCTCCCCGCGCTCATGTTCATACATACGCAGACGTGGAAAGCCGTCTTCGGAAAGCCGGCGGATGCGCTCGAGAAGAGCATGGAGAACGACGACGAATGTGCGTATACGCTCTCCGTTCGCTGTCGACGCTTGTGCTCATCTCCTCGTTCGGCTCCAGACATGATCATCGACAACGACCCGCCGATAACGCGCAACATCTCCGTCCCTCGAGACATGAGCACCCTCAGCTGCTCTTCCTTCACCGCCGGCATCGTCGAAGCCGTCTTGGACGGACTTGGCTTCGTGCGTTATCCCCACCTTGCATGTATGCGCTCCCCGCTTCCTCGATACTCAATCGTAAATCAGCCTGCCCGCGTCACCGCCCATAATACGCCGATAGCCAACTTTCCGCGACGAACGACGATTTTGATCAAGCTGGAAAAGTCCGTGTTGGATCGAGAGGAGGTGCTGAAGTAGCGATCTATCTATACCCGGCCTGTGCGTGCTGCCCTAGGTTCAGAACTGTGTACGATCATTGAATATACGTGTCGTACACTAGTGTCCTCTACGTTTGGCGGGATCAGCGCCAAGAAGATGCGAATCACCTCACTCGATCTTATCTACGTCCCTTATCTCTCTGTCTTTCGACCACGACATACGACGATCCCCATGGCTCAACTCGGCCGCATTCTGGTCTCTCCACCCCTCATCAATACCTCCTGCGCTTGGGCCAGCGAGCAGCACGAGCTCGAAGCGCTCTACGCCTGTCCGCACACCGGCGCGGTCACAACGCGCACGGGCACGTTGCACGGTTTCCAGGAAGACGCATCACACACCGTTCGTCCCCCATCTCCTATCCGTCCCTTCGCCGACCCCCCTCACCCCTCCGCGCCGATCCCAGGTAGCGTTCACCTCCGACTCCACATCCTCGATCAATTCCTACGGCTACTCGCCGCACCCCCTCGCGCGCTACCTCGAATGGGTCGACGCCCTCCTCTCCGCCCACCCATCCGACACCAAACCGTTCATCGTCAGCCTCACCGCATCCTCCGCCACCGACCTCTCGACCATGCTCGCCTCCGTCCGATCCCTGCACGCCAAACACCCCTCCCGCATCGCCGTCGAGCTCAACACCTCCTGCCCCAACATCAAAGCGTCCCCGCCGCCGGCGTACGAGCCCGCCCAACTCGTCCCGCTCCTCCGCCCCCTCGCGGACGCGTTCCGCGCCGACCGCGACCTCACGCTCGGGCTCAAGCTCCCGCCGTACGTGTACGCGGCGCAGTTCGAGCGGCTGCTCGCCGCCGTGGAGGAAGTCGCGGTCGAGCGGACGTGCCCGTTCGCGTTCTTCACCTGCACGAACACGCTCGGCAACGGCCTGCTCTTCGCGGACCAGGCGCGAGCCGGGGGCGTCGGGGAGGGGTCCGCGCTCCTGGGCGGCGTCGCGGGCGACGCGCTGCACGCGCTGGCGCTCGGCAACGTGCGCACGTTCCGCAGGATGCTCGACGCGCACCCGGAGCCGTCCGTGAGGGCGATCGGGATCGTCGGAGCGGGCGGGGTGACGGGCCGGGCGGCGGCGGGGCGGATGAGGCGCGCGGGCGCGGCGGTCGTCGGGTGCGCGACGCTGCTCGGGCGCGAGGGCGTGGCGGCGTTCGAGATGCTGGCGGGCGCGTGATGGGCGGTCTCTTTTCGCGAGGCTTTGGACGTGGTTTCATTTGTGTTCTGGTGGCTAACCTACCATGTTGTAACGATGAAAGTGCGGGGAAAAAGTCGAGCCATATGAAAGAGCAGAGAATACGAAGACTGCATGGTGTACAGAGATCGTCCGAGATCTCTGTACTGGTACATCTAGCGCGCCCTTCACCTTTGTAACCCAGCAAAAGAGTAGTAAGCGGTCGCTGTGTAGACTGTATAGTTTACGCTCCGAAAGTTCGGGCTCTTAGACTCTCGCACGATCCCTGTCCGACAACGACGATGTCGCTCGCGCGATCTCGTCGCGCGCAGCCGTCGTGGGTGTTGGATCGCGCAAACGGGGCGCACGATGTCGGCGCCACAACGGTCGTCCGCACCCGGCTTCCGTCTTCCCCGACGTTCCCGTATGGGAAATGCGGCCGCGACGTGGGGGGGGACTTCCTTCCTGCATGTTTTCTCTCCCCCCCCCAGAGTGAGCTTTGGAAACACCCGCAGTCTGGCTCTCCTTTTGCTTCCTGCTCCCCATCGACGCCTTCGGGGCTGCTCACAATCAGCGCGGGACGCATATCCGTACGGCAGTAACGGCGCCGCATAACACGACAGCATGCCGCGCACTGTGAAGGTAGCCGTCATCGGGAGCGGCCTCGCAGGCCTAACCGCCGCGTATATGCTTTCGACGGAGCCCCCGCAGGGCGGGGTCAAGTTTGAAGTCCACCTGTTCGAGCAAGTGCGTATGCGACGTTCAGTCCTATTCCAATGACCATCGCCCTGAACCGACGTCCAGTCCTCGACTCTCGGCATGGACGCCCACTCCGTCTCCATCCCGACGGGCGGACACGGCCACGAAAGTCGGATCGACGTCCCCATGCGTTCCTTCCAGGGCGGTGCGCTACCCATCCCGTTCTCTTCATGCAGAGAACCGCTATTTGACGCATATATATCGACGCGCAGGATACTACCGCCGCCTGATCGCGCTCTACCGCCACCTCGGCGTCCGCTTCCGCCCCACCGACTTCTCCTACTCCTTCTCCTTCCTCACCAGCGACAGACGGATTACCACCAGCCTGATCTACAACGGCGCGTCCGGCCTCCGTGGCCTCGGTATCGCCTCCTCCCTGCGCTCCAGCGACAAACACAACCGGCCCCTCGACCGCCTCCGAGCCGCAGCGTCGACCTACCTCTCCTTCGCCCTCCTCTGCCTCCTGTTCCTCTGGAACTACGTTCGACTGGTCGCATTATCCGCGCCCGCCTTTCGTCCACGCGACGCGCACCGTATGTCCTTCCGCGCGTGGTCCGACGCGACCGTCCCCCGTGCGCCGCTCGCGCGCTGGCTCGGCCTGGACGCGCACTGGCGCGCCTTCACGCGCGATACCCTCGTCCCGCTCTTCTCGGCCGTCTGCACCGCGTCCGCGACCGACGTGCTCGACCACCCGGCCGAAGAATTCCTCGGTGAGCACGTTCACCCCTTCTCTCCCCTTTCCTCCACACCTCGCTGACAGACCACTGCGCTTGTTTTTTTCCCGGCGGCACCGCACGCATATATATATATACACACAGATTACATCTGGCTCACGCTTTTCACGCACCACTACGTCGCCTCGGACGGCGTGCGGGACGTCGTCGCCCGCCTCGCCGCGCCGATCCACCACGTCCACCTCTCCTCCCCCATCACGACCATCCGCCCCTCCTCGGACGACCCGACGACGGCCACCCTGTCCTCCGCCACCGCCACCTTCTCCGGTTTCGCGCACGTCGTCCTCGCCACGCAGGCGAACGGCGCCGCACCCCTGCTCGAAACCTACGCCGCCGCCGCCGCCGCCGCCGCCGCAAGCCTCCTCCCCGCGGACATCGCGGCGAAGCAAGCCGCGTGTCTCCGGCGGTTCAGGTACGTGCGCGCGGTCGTCGTCAACCACACCGACGACGGCTTGCTTCCGGACGACCCGCGCGACCGGCGGGATCTCAACCTCATCACCTCGTCCGCCGCCGCCGCCGCCTTCTTATCATCCTCACACTCGACCAAAAGATTTCCGGGAAACGACGATCAAGGAGGAGGAGAAGAGGAGGAAGAAGAAGAAGAAGAAGAAGAAGACGGCTGCGTCGTCCCAGCGTCTTACACGATGGCGACGCACGTCATCCGGGCAGCCACCGAAGGAGGAGGAGGAGGAGGCCCGGCGATCTACCAAACGACGGATCCGATCGTGCCCCCCCGGCGCGATCGCGTGCTGAGCGTCGCGAAGCTCGAACGCGCCGTGCTCACGCTCGACTCGAAAGACGCGCTGCGGGGGCTGAGCGAGGACGTCGCCCGCCGCCGCCCCGAGCGGCGGAGCTGGTGGAGGTGGAGATCGGGGACGGAGACGGAGACGCGTCTGGGCGCGTTGCAGGGCGGCGCGCGAAGCCCGCGATCGTCGAGGCGAGAACCGGGCGCCGTCGCGACGGGCGGCCCGGGGGTGTGGATGTGCGGGTCGTACGCGCACCGCGGGATACCGCTGCTCGAGGGCTGCGTCGTCAGCGCGCGGGCGGTCGTCGAGCAAGGGATTTTGCCCGCCGAGGGACTCGCGGCGAGCGGCCGTCCGTGGTAGCATCTTATAGTCGTACACATCCCTCTCTCTCGCTCGAATTTATAATGGAATATACGGTGTCCCTGGGAGAGGCGAAGATCAGTCGACCCGTCTCCGCTTGTCCCGCCGGTCGCGCTCGAGCGAACGAGAGCGTGAATGTCGCCTGCTGCCCCGCCGATCGTCGGCTCTCCACCTATCTCTCCGCGGAGGCGAGCGCGAACGCGAATCGTAGCGCGGCCGGCCGTCCCTCGCGCGCCTGTCGTAGCCGTCTCCCCGCCCGCGGTCGCGGTCGCGATACGTTCCGCGATCGTCTCTCCCGTCGTCGTCTCGCCTGGATGGCCGGTCTTTCCACCCATCGTCTCGCGGGCGTACGCCGTCGTCTTTGTCCTTCCACGAGCCGCGCGGCTCCCGCACGTCGTTATGCGCGCCCCATTCCTTGGAGACGCCTGCCGCGACGCCGTTGGCGCCCGTCGTCGGGCGCTGGCCCGGCGGCAGGTTCAGATTTTGCGGGCAATCTGCATACGCAAGCGGTCCCCGGCGCGTCAGATCGCGCCGTTGCGACGAAAATACGGGGACGGAGGAGACGAGATGAATGATGATGATAACGCACCCCGCTTGAGGTGCGGTCCTCCGCAAAGGAAGCACCCGCCCGCGTCCGTCGATTTGCCGCCGGCCTTGACGCTGCCCGCGGCGCCGAAACCGCCGTTGCCCTGCGTCGTGTCTTGGTCGACGAGGTGCGTGTACTTTGTCCGGCCGCGCTTGCCAAAGTTCTTGACCTGCATCACCTTCGGCAGGAGCGAGACGTCGACGGTCGACTGCGTCGCCTCGGTGTAGTCGTGCCGCCTGAGGATCTCCTCGTCCTAAACCGTAACGAATGAGCATCAGTTGGAAAGGGGGAAAATAGGTGGGGAAAGTTCCGACCTGGTGGAAGGCGCCTTTGTGCCAGTATTTCTGCAAGAATTTCTGTTGTCCCTTTGGCTTCTCCTCGCGCGTCTTCTGAGCCCGCTCGAGGTCCTCTTTCAGTCGCTGCTCTTCGGGTAGCGCGCGCCGGCGCTCGATCTCTTCTCGCTCCTGCTCGCGCCGCACCTCGTCTTCCTTGTCACGCTTTATCCGCGCAAGTTCACGCAGCCGCCATGCCTCGAATTCACCTTCGGGGTCAAGTCCATCCGTGTCGTCGACGTCGGGAATGATCTCCTCTTTCTCCTCTGGATGACCAGACGATCAGCAGTACATCGGGTGCGGACGTCATCACAGCGAGACGCACTTTCCGCGAGCTCGCGCTTGATGCTCTCGGCAACCATGTCGTGGCTCTGTTTCCGGCGCTCTTCCGCTTCCTGCTCTTTCTTCTTGAGAGCCTCTTCGGTGTCTTGCGCTTCCGCCTCCCGTTCAGCCACCGTGACGCGAGCGCGTCTTTGCGGTATGTTGTGAGATCGCGTCCGGTGTATGCACGTGGATCAAAGTACGCACTTTGGTACAAACACGGGCCGGAACTGCAGCTTGGGTTTTTCTTCTTCTTCGGATTCGCTTTCATATTCGCTTGACTAGCAATCTGTGAGCCACAAAGTTTCCGAGGTGATTGGTACAGCAAATATACCTCCTCTTCGGATTCGGCTTCGCCTGGCGCACGAGGTCTGCCTTCTTCTTCCGACTCGTCTTCTGAATCTGGACAGCGGTGACCATGAGCATCAACCGTCACACCGACATATGCAAGTAAACCGAGCGTACCTTCCTCCTCCTCCTCCTCCACGGCCGTCTTCCCAGACTCTTCCCTTCCGGCGACGATGACCTTGCCGTCCCGCGAGATATTGACGTCCTTCAGCGCGACGTTCATCGCCTTCATCGGCTTCTTCGGTACCGGCCGCGCCGTCGCCACATCCTCCTCCTCCTCCTCCTCCTCGTTGTCGCCTCCAAATTCCTGGTCGCCGCCGATGAGCACATCGCCCTCCTCCTGCACCTCTTGTTGTTCCTCTTCCTCGTCGGAGTCGGACGGAACGTCGGCAACGCCTTTGGGCGCTTTGCCTTTCCAGTAGCGCGCCGCTGGCCTCGGTAGACGTGGGGCTTGCTTCCTGACGGCGGAGGACATGATGTTATACCGGCCTACAAGTGGCAGGCCTGAGCGAACATAAGAGGGAGTGGGCAAATTCAATGATTCACGGGGAACCTGAGGATAATCCACGTGATAAGTTCACTGTGATCCCGTCGGGCCGTCTACTTCCCGGTCGCTGACAATGACAGAGGAGAAGCGAGTGTTGGTTATTAGGCATGCAAACGGTAGTCTCTATCGATACATTGCGATAACGAGGAAAGGAATGCTTCACATAAAGTAGTCTGAGATACGTTAGGGCGGGTGTCTCTATACCGTCGCAGCGGAGGGAGCACTGTATATGCGTGGTTAAACGGTGAACGACTCTCCACATCCGCACGCGTCCTTAATGTTGGGGTTCTTGAACGCGAACTTCGAACTGAATACCGGAGGTCAGCAGCCAAAACAGCATAGGGGAATGGTGACGGACGGACCTCAGCTTGTCCTCGACCCAGTCCATCTCGCTGCCGATGATGCTGAAGAGCGCCTTGCTGTCGATGAGCACCTTCACGCCATCCTGTTCGACGACTTCGTCAAACTTGGCGGGCTCGGTCACGTAGTCGAGGTGGTATGAGAGCCCGGCGCAGCCCTTGTTGCGCACGCCGATGCGGAGGTGTCGCGGGTCTGGGCCGGAGATGAGGTTGCGGAGGCGGTTGACGGCAGCGGGGGTCTGCAAGAAGCGTGAGCCAAAAGAACGGTTCGTAAGGATGGGCGATTGCAGCTAAGGTGGGGGGGGGGATCGCAAAGCGGTGAAAGAAACGGAAGCGCGCGTACCAGCGTGATGACCGCCTTCTGCGATCGTATCTGCGGTCGTGGCCTTGTTCGAGCAGCCGGAGTTGAGGGCGCAGACTGTGTTGAAGATGTGCTCGCAGAGGTCGATGGAGGCGTCGAGACGGACGATGATGAAGCAGGACTTGGGGTCGACTCCGGGACGACGCGGGGTATGGGATCGGGTCGAACTCCGGGCTGTGAGAGATCCTGATTCGAGGGTAGCGTGTCGCGTTTCGCGTATGCGCTGGCGTCCCGGCGTCGTTGAGATGCATCCGGGGAGGCGAACGGTGAAGGCGAAGAGGGACCCGGTATCGGCACCTCAGGTGAAGTGCTCGTCTGCGCCAGCGCCGACATCAACGCACGACGTTGGCATCGCATGCTTGATTGAAGCCCAATCAAGCCAGACGCTGCGTGCGCCTGTGAACAAGTGATTGAGGGTAGTCGGGCAAGCATGGTGGAGGTGTACACGAAGGCGGCAGGACGGTGATGTCGAGGATGACCGAGAAATCAAGAGACAGCACGTACTGCCATAAGGCTGTGATACCCGCGGACGAATCAGAGCTGTCGCATTTGAACTTTGTGCTCGCCGCTCTTCGCAAACGGATATCGCGCTGAAGTTTGAACGTTGGACATTGAAGATTGAATATTGAACTTGCGCATTCAGACTTCGAATTGATAACTCTTTATCACGAGCTCGCCCCGAATAGGAATAGACTCGCTGAGGCTCGAGCATGTCGACCCGACGCCTCCCTACGAGCATATCCACGATGATGACGACGATCACCCGCGCTCCCCCTAGCGGCACGGATCTATACTGCCACCTCGACGCCTACCCGCAATCTCTACCTTGGCACGCCACAGGACGATAGCGCAGCGTTCGTGAGCGGCACCTAGCACATGTCGGACTGTTCACTGTGTGTTGTTGAGAAGCACGGGTATCGGAACCTGTGCTTCTCCTCTCTTTGAGTTGGTTGGCCTCGATATGAGCCTATCGATTCCTCTACCTCTACCTTGTAACTGTGGTAGTTCGAAATTTGTGAGTGATTACCAGTTCAGCGTTACAGCTAAATTCATTACGATAGACCGTTTTGCGCCAGCTCTGCTTTCGGGTTTTCTTTGCTACCCGCCAGGGGCTTCCCCAATATGTATAAGACCATGCTGGATTGGGGTGAATGCGGTGTATCGTACCAACGAATGCCCCAAATGCCGGCCAGCCGAGCGGAGCCGAAAAGGCTCTTCCCCTGAAGCGGAAGCCGTTGCAACCGTGAGCAAAGCTGGTCTATCGTATTGAATTTAGCTGTAATGAGTTACCCCTTGCTGATTATTTCCTCAGTGCTCAAACTAGAGACCGCGCGCGGAGACGACGGCCGCTAGGAGTCTAGTCTTGTATGGCGAAGCGGTGCCTGGACATTGTGCTCCTTGCAACACGTCGGCGAAGCAAGTGAAGTGGTGTCCGACGTCTCGCACTCTGTGCAGCCCACTTCCCAAGACCGGGACCCTAATCTGATCCACCTCAGATCCGGCACTTTGGGCGGGGGAATGATCCTAAGTTTCAATCCAACCGAACTGGACTGCATTTTTCTGCTGGCTCCCGCGGACATCTTTCCCTACTGCGGAGAACTTTTACCACCTGCAGGTACGTACACTCTAGTGTAAAGTCGCGCGGACTACCGCGCACGGTATATCCGACACCTGGCAACTACCATCAAACCTACGACTGCGACCGAACACGGAACTCGTCAGGAACTAGACGCGGTTCCAGAAACATCGCAACGGCCTCTCCAGATACGCGAAACCATTACGACTTCAGGCTATGCACATATACACGAAACGTCCAGATGGCCGTCAAGCATGAAGGTTTGAACTGCCACGGTGATACACATGCGACATAGACTACATGCTGCCGAACAGAAAAAGATCGCCAGCGACTTGTCAGAGGTTCATCCGCTGTCTCTCCATTCTGCTTTTTCGCCGCACCCCGCACTCACTACACTGGTCACGTCCATCAACTGCGTGCACCTCCCCCATCATTTTCGTGCTTAACCTGCGATGAATACCACCATAGTCTTGGAGACTGCGGCCATTGCTACTAAATGTGTTCCAGTCGCAGGGACGTATCTTGAGAGCATTCTCGGTACGACGGCGAAAATCGCAATGATCGCCGAGGTGAGCAAGATGCGCTGATGCGCGTGAGGTGGTACTAAGCTACTTGTATGACGCTTCAGCGAGCCGAGTCAAACAAGGAGGATTGCCAGTTGCTGGCTCGGCGTGCCGCCGGAGTTGCTGGAGCGGTAGCGAGCAAGGTCATGAGTATGGAAGTTCAACAGGCCACGAAGCTGGACCCGGATGTCGTGAGGCTCCTCAGGTATCGCCACCTACTTCCACCTTGCGAAGGACGAGGACTTACGTTATGCTTAGAACTCTGGAGCGGACACGGGATCTCGCCAAGAAACTATCGAAGCTCAGCTTACTCCGGCAGATCTGGAGCTACTCCAGGATTGACAAAGAACTGGACCGTATCTCGTCGGAGTTTGAGGACGCGTTGCGCATATTCGGGGTGCGCCTCGTACGAAAGCCTGCTTGATCCGCACCTGATAGGGGACTTTCAGATCAATGCTCAGATTAGTTCAGGGGGGGAGATGGTGCATCAGAGGATAGCCCTCGAAGGAGTGCAGCAATCCCTTGAGAGTATGGCTACGATGAAGAGCTTTGAGTGCGACTACGATGGCGACGTGAGTTCGTCTGACTCGTCACTGTGGCCATGCGGCTAATATTTACATCATGAAGTTTATGCTGTTCCGCAGCTGTGAAATCTATATTCATGAAGAGCTTCGGAAGCTGGACGGCGCAGACTCGGCGGCGTATCTCGTTAGTGTACCGACCCGCATGAAAGACGAGACGCTTGTCATGAAAAGGTATCCTCGTCGCGACGCCGCATATAACATCAAGTTGTCGCTTCTCCGGGATATGCGCCTCCGGTAAGTCACCGTTACCACGCATGTATGTCACTCAGCATCGCGCCCAAGATTCGCACACGTTGAACAATTGATCGGGTACTCACGAGACGGGTCCGCTCCCTTCTACGTAACTCGTGCAGGTCAATTTCGCACCCAACATCCTCTGTATGTGGCAGGCTCATGCTCTGAAGCAGGTCGCACGGATGCAAGAGCATGCATGACCGGCATCACCTCTGTGGAGCAGCTGCGACATGTGGTGACTTGGGTGTGTCAACAATCCCGATCACTATTCTTCGACATTTCTCATTTCTTGCCAGACGCAGACAATACGGGTGAGTTGCTCGCGAATGCATATTGTCAATGCCTGCAGCTTCTGTCAGGAAACCGTTGTGTCACTCTATGAACTTATAGCACAACTATACAACTACGTCTGGTGGGAAATCCCAAATATTGTGGGAACGGGTTCGATGATAGCTACCTTGGAGCGCTCTCTGTTTCATGTATGTTGTCGTTTTAGGCGCTGTCAGATTATTCCTGATTCTTCCTCCGTAGATCAGCCACTCCGCCTATGTAAACGAAGCCGGCCGTGTCGTACTTGAGCTTGAATTTTCAGAGCTGGGATTAGAACAGCGTAAACTGTACTGGGACCACAATCATCGGCGGCCTTATCGAATTCAGGGTAGTTCGCTCAGTTCACTTTTCATTGTTCGTAAACTGATGAACGCTGTGAACCACAGTCGAGTCCCACTTGGACGTACAGCGCACCTGGGGCTGCAGCCCAGGGGACACTGGACATATCCGCGCTTGAACTTCTCAAAGGATTGCTCACGATACGAGATGACGGAGAAATCTCTCATTGCTTGTTCACCTCACGAGTACTCGGTACGGGGTTTGCGAGTGCAGGGCCGATAATCAACATCGGTTTGAATGACCACCCATGTCTTGGCTGGCGAGGTCAAGCCGAAGTCGATAATGAGGTGCCCAACTCCTATCGCGCACGTACTCAAGTTCAAGCCGACGGCACACCGGCAAGCTTGGATGAAGACGCGCCCGTCGTGCTGCCGGACGGCACGATTCGGTATGACTCCTATCCTTCACTTACCACAACGAACATCGAGTTGATAATTTTGTCCAGGCATACTCTTCATATCAAGAATGGCGTATCAGGGATATCGTTCCGCGAGCATGCGTGGGCCCAATCCGTTGTATCGTCGGCGTGGTTATGGCTGTTTCGGCACGGCCTTCAAGTAGCGGATTTTCTCAAAATCCCCGTCACTGACTTAGGTGCAGGTCAGTTACCTTTTTGTATGGAAATGGCACATCTCCTTTCTCACATCTATCTCTTCAGTACGATCAACAGGATCATGGGGAGCAACAAGCATTGAACTGTCGCCCGTAGGCGGGATAATTCCGCCTACACTCTATTTCTTCGAATACCCTCACATCGAACTTGGACCTCCACACGTAGCTTGGGGTTACTGGGCTTGGGACGAGGAGGGAAACGACACGTCTACCATCACGTCATGCTACTATGACGGGTACCGATGGATTCTTCAGCTGGAGCTGCATGGATTGATATTCACGATGACCCTGTAAGTTGTCACTTCATCACTTTGTCCCCAAGCTAAAACAGTTTCCTGTAGTTGGTCCGGGTTGAAGTACGCCGCCCTCTCCGACGATCTTGCACGACTCATTAGGGGCTGTCGGGATGAAGGCTATGGCTTAGACGACGACGACGATGGCAGTGGTGATCTCGGTGCACTGGAAGACTGGACTACGGAATCTCACAGCGAGGACGAGTTTCTCGATCTACCCAGATCATACTCTGATGCCGGTGGCCACCATACAGCACAGCATGAAGACTTCCTTGGACATGACGAGGAATGCAATGCATCATGGGATATCAACGCCGACGGCGAAACCGTCGGTCCGGCTGGCCAGAGTTCGGAGGACAGCAGCGAGGACGAATATCTCGATGCAGAGGATTGCGGCCTGAGAGATGAGAGCGGGGTATATAGCTTGTGTTGATGATATTTAAGACAACGCTCACGACCGGTTGCCATTCAGGGTCTAGAGTATCGTTCTAAGATGGCGAGGAACTTCGTTGTGTAGAGTGCATCGGTGGAAAATACGCTAAGGACATATATATATATATATATTGATGCGCTAAGCCATTCTGGCTTGACCATGCGAACTGGAGCCAGGGCTAGTACACGCTGCTGAAGCTCATAGAGAGAAGGTTACGGAAGTAAGTTCCGGTAGGAAGTCGCACAACAGCATTATCGATGGTCTGGGCAACTTCTGTAGAGAGCTCGAGGGACTGGGAGAGGTGGCAAGACGTATGAAAGACATGATTACCATGCTGCGAGCCTGAGTATCACGTAGGAGCTTTACACAATGACAACGGCTACGGTGAGACTTGATTTGGTCGGTGGTAGCTGATCGATGCACTCTACTTGCACTACCATTGCATGCAAGTGACTTCGGTCGACTTGCTACTCTGCCCAACGTCTCGCTAGCACTCGGAGGCGAGCGCCGTTGCGATATTAACGCGAGTTTCTGGTAGTGATGTCTAGGTACACCACTGTCCGCGCGTTTGCTTCAGCCTATCACAGAGTGACAAAGTGCTGACCAACAAGAAACGCGCTCCACGTTCGATCGGATCGAAGGCCACTGAGATAAAAAACAGAGAGATTATGCGTCTTCCGTCCTTCCCCGCCTTGGGAAACCTGGTACTAGCCTTCAACAAGCGTCTGCATTAGAAAAGCACGATGTTAAACGGGTCAAGTAAATACAGGTATGACACACAAACTACTGCTGCCGAGCCGAGCGCGGAGGGAGGTGAGATATACACGTGTGGCAAAATAGGGGAAAAAAAAAAGTTAAGTCCTAACAGGAAAGCGGAAAGCAACGGGACGAGGGGGATCGGATGCGTGGGGTTGCAATACAATGCGGTGAGGTATGCTAGGTGGACGCGCCCGAGGCGACGGGACGGGTGTTAGATATACGGCGGATTGGTAGACAGAAACATAGATGAGGGTTGGTGCAGGTTTAGAGTAATTGTGGTGTTGTTGTTCGGGTTTATATGGAGACAAAGGGATGAGGAGGGCGCCGCCGGGGGAAGGGGTACCCTCCCGCCCCAAAAAAACTTCCGTGCGTTGAGCGAGATTAGCGGAGACCGAGTAATTGAGACCGAAGAGCCGAGAGATAAAAGACAGTTTTGAGGAGGCCGGTTTTGTCGTCAAGATTTTACATGCCGTAGCCGAAGGACGTCGAACGCTGGTAGGGGACGTTCAACGCGCCGGTGAGGGCACCGTTCCCGAACTGGTTCGCTCCCTGGAAGGGAGAGAGCGGGGAGAAGCCGCCCTGGAGGCCCTGGTTGTGCGCCGAGTTGCCCTGAAGGACGTAGGCGTCGACCGAGTGCGGCTGGAGGCCGGGCAGCCCGCCTTGACCCTGGAGGCCCGATCCCTGCATACCATAAAGGCTGTTCTGGCTTCCGTAGATGTCGGAGAGCGAGGGCGTGTGATGGAGGGACTGAGGCGACATATGTTGAGGCGACATGTGCCTTCCGCCGTTAAGGCCGTGGTGGCCCATACCCAAGCCCTGGTTGCCGAGCGGCATACCGCCCATGTGCTGATTGTAACCGCCGCCGTAGTGATCCAGCTGCTCACGCTGAAGCTTGTTCTGGATGCGCTTGCCGTACGGGGTGTTGCGGATCAGCGGCAGGACCGGGCGGATGCCTTCCACGAGAAGAGCCCGCTGACCGGGTTCCGCGTAGTCCAGCGCGGTCTGGGAAAGACGACGGGTGAGCTTGGCGCGCAGAAGGATGGAGCGTGAGCACACCAACCTGTACGCAGTAATTGCCATACGAGTCACGTAAAAGCTTCTCGAGGCGGGTCCGGTTGAGTAACTCCTCAATGAGAAGCTTGCGGGTGCTGTGCTCGGCCACGCGAATGCACTACAACATCCATCAACATCGGAATGAGATCAGGCTATACGGACACAGCGAAAAAAGCGGTACCTTCTCGATGACGTTTGAGCTAAACTTCTGCACGGAAAGAGCGCACACGTTGCCGGTGAACTGACGGATGACACCGTCGCTGAACCGGTTATCGTTGAGATCGAGGATGTACTGCACGACGTAGTTGCCGTAAGGATCTTGAACGAGCGTCAAGGCGTTGTACGTGATCTCGTTGACGAGCTGCACGCGCTGCTGATCGGACGCGTGGTCGATGCAACGTTGCAAGACGCAGCATCCGTGGCGGTGCGTCGCGACCTCGACGCAGTTCGCGGCGACGGCGTTGTAGATGAACTAACCATTTTTCCCGTTTCGTGAGGCCCCGAAGTCGCGAAATAACCCAACTCGGAGCGAACGTACCTGGTTGTCCTCGGGCGCCAGCTTGTTCAGGCACTTCTGAATGACGTGGTTGCCGTTCAGGTCCTTGATGAGCACGACGACGTGCAAGCTGAGGGCGACGATGATCGAGTGAATCTGCGAGCAAAAAAACCGCCCAGTCGTCAGATCCCCCCCGCACACGCACGATCAAAAGAAAGGTGTGCGCACTGCACTGACCTGTCGGCGCGTGGAGAGGAAGTCGATCATCTTCTGCACGGCACGCGTGCCGTGCATATTGAGCGAGATGTTGACCAAATCCTGCGCGACCGACTCGCAGATCAGATTCCGTTGCTCGTCCGTCGCGTACTCCAGCAGCTTCTGACAGAGGTAGTTGCCGAAGGGATCTGCGTAGACGCGCGTCATCAGTCTCGACGATATTCGACCAGCTACCGGGTGAACGACGTTACCGGTCATGAGGTCCGCGAAGTGCCCGAAGGTCTCGCGGAAGATCATATCGCGATGCTCCGGAATCCCTTCCTCGAGCTTCTTCTGCAGATACCGGCACCCGTGCTGGTCCTTGCACAGTCCCGGAATCTCGCCCTGAAGATCCTCCAACCGCGTGCCCGCGAACCGATTCACTGTAAGCCCAGAGCCACGTCAGCCGTCCAGCCCTCGACCATGTATATATATATACGTGTCCAGACTACGACTCACGCTCCATCTCGCCGCGCTTGTGCTTCGGTCCGCTGATCCCGTTCATCTTGCTGTCGCCGCTCGGTATACGTCCGTTCATACCGAGCCCGTAGCGCGAGCCGCCGTGCTGGTACAGCGCCGTCGATCCCGCACTCGCGCCGTTCGCGGCACCGAGCGCCGCGTTCCCGTTCGAACGTCCGTTGCTCTCAAAGTTGTAGTTCTCGTACCGGCCGTTGTCGAGGTTGTACACCGAGTCCATCCCGTACTGGGACTGCGACTGCTTTGCCCGCCAGAAGATCCGCATCAGCGTCCGCACGACAAGTCGCCATTTTTTTAAAATTTTAATTTTAATTTTTTGATTGCTCACCTGAAGACCGTCGTCGAAGCCGCCACCGATCGAGTTGAACGTGAGCGGCGTGCCGTCGTACGATCCCGCGTTCTGCATCCGCGACAGCGACGCGCCGAGGTCGCCGTCGCCGAGCCGTCCCCCCGACCCAAGCGGGTCGGGCGTGAGCGGCGTCCCGGGCGTCTTCAGCAGATGCTGCGCGGCGCTGTTGCTGCTGATCCCGCCGAGCGGCGTCCCGGGCACCGAGCGCGCGCCGATCGCGCCCATCCCGGAGGCGATATCGCCGAGCGAGCCGAGGGGCGAGCCGCGGCGCGAGGACAGGCCCTGGGGCAGGAGCGGGGTGTTGGTCGCCGACACGCTCTGCGCGAGCTTGGTCGCGCCGTCGAGGCCGGAGAGCGTCGTGAGCGCGGGGTTGGTCGCGGTGCGGCGCGGGGCGCGTCCGGCGAGCGAGTCCGGGCCGCGCGGCGAGGCCTGCGAGAAGGGCGCGAGGTCGAGCGCGGCCTGGGAGACCTTGGCCGGGTACGGGTACTTGTCGTCCGCCGGCGTCGGGAGGTTGCGCATCGCGTCTGTGCCGAGATGAGTGAAAGGCAGGAATGAAGGGAGGGGCCGAGACGAACTATGCATCTCCTGGTCGAGCTGCTCGTCGAGCATCATGCCCGCGTTGAACGCGTTCCCGTGTCCGTGCCCGCGAAGGCCGTTCGCGCCCGCAAACTTGCCGTTCTCTTCCTCTCCGAACGAGTTGCCGTTGAGCGAGACCGTCGGCTGCTGTTGCTGCTGTTGCTGCTGCTGGCGCGCCTTGTCCGCCATCTCGCCCGCGAGCGAGAGCCCCTGAAGGTGACCCGCGAGCTCCTCGTCGTGCTCGCTCGCGGACCCGCGGCGACTGGCGGGCATGCTCTTCGCGCCCGCGACGCGGCCGTATCCTGATGGCGCGTGCAGCCCGAGCTCGGGCGAGGCCTGGACCGAGGGCGCGTACGTGACCGACTTGCGCTTGTCCGCCGCGGACCCGACGGCCTTGTGCAGGTCGTCCGCGTTCAGGTGCCCGTTGTTGCCCGCGTACTGGCCCTGATGCTGCTGCTGCTGCTGGGGGTGCAGGGAGGAGGGCGCGAAGTGCGGGTGGTGGCCGGCGGAGAGCGGTGCGGCGGAGCCGGGGCCCGAGTCGTTGCCCGGGTGGAGGGCCGCGTTGACGCGGGGCGGGGTCGTCGGCGCGGAGACGGCGAAGCCGGACGAGGAGAGCTCGTACGGGATCGAGAGCAGCTCGTTCTGCTGCTGCATTTCGAGCTGGCGCATCTGCTGCTCGAAGAGCTTCATCTTCATCGCGCGCGCCTGGGCGTGCTCCTGCCGCTTCGCCTCGATGTGCTGTCAAATAAAGGGGGGTAAGGGGGGGTCATGAGCATGGAGGATGGAGGAGCGGGTTGTTGGAAGGGAAGACGCACAGCTCCGAGGTCTTGAATATTAGAGCCCCTCCGCGAGGACTGGTGGAGCATACATGCACGTCAGAACGCCGCTCGGCCTGCGGTGATGACAGGGTTCTATGCCAGCACTCACCGCATCGGCCAGGTCCAAGGCCTTGACGTCGTTCGAGGACGGGTGGGTATCGGTAGGGGAACTAGAAGGATCCAAGCTGGCGCTCATTGTAGAGTACGGGTGGTGTAATTTTGCGACGACGGAAAAAGCAGCGACGAAGAACAGAGGGCCGGGCAAGCAAGCCTAATTGCACACAAGGTAGGAGAGAATCCTGCGGGGGGCGAAAGGACGGGTGCTGCGTGAGCGTGACGAAACGGAGGCGCGCTGCCATGACGAACGGGACTGACCAACTTTTTGGGGGGGCCGTCTAGAAAAGACTGTTGGTACAAGGCCGCGTGGAACGACCTGGGCAGCGTCAGCGAAGGTGGCGGCGTCGTGGTGCGCGACGAGCACGGACCTTTGGGAAGGACTTTGCTGTGGCGGGCGATGTCTGTGCTGTCGGGCGGGGGTGGCAAGAAGGACTTAGGTGCGCTCGCGACCCGGGGCTCTTGAGGGCCGTCCGCTTACGGACAGGTGCCCTGATGGGAATCGCGGTTCCCACCCTCGTTGCGCCTTCACCCGCGTCACGCCCGTGCCCCTCCCCCCCTTCCGCCTTCTTTCTCGTGCCCTAGCCGACAGAACGTCCCAAGTCCCCGTCGACCAATTTTCTCCTGTTAATCGCGTGGCTCCATTTCTGTCCGGCGCCGGGGACGGGGGCAGGCAATGGCCGGTTGCATATGTACACATATATGATTGCAAGACCGATAATGAATTCCGGCTTTCCAAACGAAAATAGCCCTCAAAGGAGCAATCCTCTCCCCCGCATGTTTAATTTGCAGGCACCGATTGATCAACGGCCCTGCCTCAGCGAGACACGCCCACCAAAGCCGCGCGTCCGAATTCTCGTCCCGAATTTGGCCGCGGCTCGCGACACGCGGCAGCGAGAAGAGAAAAAAAACTCCCTTTCGCAAGCGCGCCGCGTGCGGGCCTCTGTCGGCCTTCACCCCAGCGACCCGAAACCGAACCTCACCCCTACGCGGCTATTTCGTCCGCGCCATGCCATGCCATGCCCTGCAGCGTTGTACGTACGTACTTTATTCGCAGCGCCACCCGCGAGGCTACGCCGCGAGAGCAAGCCGATGACAAAGGAGCGCAACGCCGTGACGCTGCTCCTCCGAGCTCGTCGGCTTCTATCAGAACTCTGCCATATATTCGACTGCAGGCCGCGCTCCTCCTTTGAGGAGCTCGAACTCTGGATCCCGCCTACCGTCGTCATCGAGACTACTGCTCCGGCTGATAGCGCAAGAACCCCTCCGGCTTTGGTCCCGAGACGTCTACGGTCATATATCACACCCCCTTGGGTGATCAGCCGAACTCGCCCTTTCGTCGTTTCTATTTTTTATTTGCCTCCGTTGGTGCACACCCTTGCACAATTCACCGGACGTCGCGTATGATCGGCAGGTGCAGATATATACATACCACATACGCACCCACACCTACAAATCCATCCCAACGTGCCACTTTCCCCGGTTCTCCGGCGCAGCCGACGCAACCGTCTCTCTCTCTCGTCCTTCGCCATAACGTGTACGTAACGAGAACACCTGAAACGAATTTCTTTTAACCTTCCTGTCGCCGCCCCGACTTCTGCTGCTTCCACGTTCCAGGCTTTGTTCCCGTTCTCGTCAGAAGCGAACGCCTCCTTTAGGCAAGGCGGTCACGCCTGCGCCGCATAGACAAGAACACCTGTGCGCCACAGGGCACGTCGAGCCGTGACACCGCGTAAGTACGTTGAGATTTACAAGGGGGAGGAAACCACCTCTCGTCGATCGGGAGCTCGAATCAATCCGGCCGCGGGATACGTATCTTGGTGTCATGTAAGCCTTGGAAGATGTCACGCAAACGGCTCCCAAACTACGTACCTACGGGTAACGGCGTGCCCGTCCCCCCGCCGGGCTCTCGGGGCACAGGAATACCCCGGATAGCCGGGAGTTCACCGCAAGCGAGCACGAAGTAAATAAACCCAGAAAATCCACATGGGGATGTAACCTGACATAAGACGCGGACTGTAAAGTCTAGCTATTAGGGTGGCTACTTACGATCGATCGAGAGTAGTCCTCGAGGCTTAAGCACATCCGTGGTATATACCCCACGAAATCGACCGAAAAAAAAAACCCCCAACGTAGATCCAGAATCAACCAGCGCTCCCAACGATCCCCGAGATCGTCCTCGCCGGCCTCGGCGTCGTGGGCGTCTCGGGACTGACATTGATCGCCTCCTTCTCCCCACCGTGGCCCACCGCATGCCCATTCGCTTCCACCACCTCGATCTTTCCCAGCGTCCGATCCCGATCGTCCGGCATCGCCCCGCGCACCGTCCGTCGATCCCCCTCCCCCTCCCCTTCCTCCTCCTCCTCCTCTTCCGTCCCCGATCCCCGCCCTTCCTCCTCCCCGCCGCGCGCGCGGCCGTCCGACTCCGCCGCGTCCGCGCTGGCAGAAGCAGCGACCGCCGCCGCCGCCGGCCTTCCCCGCAAGCTCAAGAAGCCGAACCCCAGGCTCAGGTCCGGCAGGTATCCCCGCGGCTTCTTCGACGCGTTCTCGGCGGCGGCGGCGGCGGCGGCGGAGGTAGGCTTCGGCGTCTCCGGCGTCTCCGGGCGCTCGGAGTCGGGTTCGGGCGGCGTCGGCGCGCCGGCGTCAGCGTCGGTCGTAGGGGGCAGCTCGCTCGCCTGCGCGCGGGGCGTCTGCGGCGCGGACGCGGACGCGGTCACGGTGCGCGTCGTCGGCGTGGGCGACGCGGCCCGGACGGCGGTCTCGAGCTCGTCGAGCGACGTCGTGGATTCGTTCAGCGAGAGGCGGCGACTGTGGAAAAAGAGGGGGTAAAGGGAACGTCAGCGGAGCCGCGGCCGACCGACGTTTTCGGATTTTTGTGAGATGATATGGTGATGATAGGGCTTACACGACGCGTGCGCTCTCGCCGTCGGTCAGCGTGAGGAAGAGGTTCTTGAGGTTTGGAAGCGTATGCCGCATGTCCAGCGCGCGTAGATCGCGCTCCGCCGTAAGCTGGCAGTATGACGCAACATGATATGAGTCAGGGAAACGACGACACTGAGCCAACACGCACAATCTCGATATCTTTGTTCAGCAGGAACACCGCATACTCAAAACGATACGCGTCCACGCCCTTCGAATACAGCGGAAACCTGTCAGGAAAAAAAGAAAGAAAAAATACACATCTCTCAGCGTCGACGAATCAAGAGGTCGGATGCGAGGAGAGAGAGCACCCACATCCGCGGCCCGACCATCGCCGATATTTCGTCCTTCACCAAGCTCCGGCTCCCGACGCATGTCACCGGGTACACGAGCCTCACGCCTGCGTACGCCGCGAGCATCTGGACCGCCTGCGCCGCGAACCCCAGCGCGCTCGCGACGCCATCCTCGGTCACTCCGAGCTTGGGCAGCGACAGCGGTGGCGCGGGGTCGTTGCTCCCAAGCGGGATCGGCAGCGGCACGCCGACGATGGTGAACAGCAGATCGGCCGGCGACGCGAGTTCGATGGGGAATATGCCCGCGAGCGTCGCGATCAGGTGTGCGCGCACCGGCGGCAGGCGCGTGCGCAGCGACGCTAGCTCGTCCCTGTATCGCCCCACGAAAATATCAGCACCTATCTATCTCCTATCGCGAAAACAGCGACTGCGTCGTACCTGTCCTCCGCGATCTGCTCGTCGAGCGTCCGTGACGCGCACAGATCTTCCTCGTGTGCTTTCCTCGCCAGCTCGAGTGTCGACCGACGCTGACGCAGCTCCTCTCGGCGAGTTTCGATCCGACTTCGCACTATCAGTGCACCACCAACAAGCAAACGTGACAAGAAACGCAAAACATCAATCAGTCGTTACTCTCAATCACATCACCCGGATCAGATTGTTTACAGCGCACTCACGATCTTTAGACGCGTCTTCCACGGACTCCCTATTCTCTTTCAGGATCTTCACACGGAACTCGCGTTCCGACACCTCGCGTTTCTATGCGCGACAGAAAGCGACCGGCGCAGCAAAGGGAGGCGGTGCAGCGACAGCGGGATCGCGGGTTCAGTCAGCGAGGCGCGCCAAAGCGAAGCGAGACATAGCGCGCCACTCACGATAGGCGCGAAGCCGTCGTCGTCGAGCGCCTTCTCAACCTCCGCCGCGACCTCCGCCAGTAGTCGCCGGGTGTCCGCGACGGCGGCGTGCAACGTTACCAACCTATACCATGCAGCGCGCGCAGCCGGTTAGCGAGCGAAGAGAGGAAAGCGATGAGAGGATGAGAACGGCCGCTTACTTGACGAGGTCGTGATAGCTGGCCGTCTTCGCCGTATCCCTCTTCCGTCCACGCATGGCCCTCTTCTCCTCAGTTTCCCCCCCTCTCCTCGGAGCGTCCACGAACCGCACGTGCATCCCCTCCTGCTCCTGAACGGTCTCCGGATCCGAATTATACCCGGCTGCGTCCACATCCGCGTCCTCACCAGGCTCGGGCGGGACGTACATGAACGTCTCTCCCCGCGGCGCGAGCGTGAGCAACAGCGTATTCGACGGCAGCTTGCTGGCGGGGACGTCCGGTACCGGCGCGAGTCTGTCGAGCGCAACGTCCCAAGAGGCCAACATGCTCCATTCCTCGGACCCTTGGGCCGTTCTCGCCCCATCCGATTCAGCGCGCGCCTTGCCCTTGCCCTTGCCCTTGTCGTTGGTGATGGGATCGAAATCGCCCCACCGCGTCCCCGCGACGCGGCCCCACACTTCGATCCGGACAGCGCCAGCGCCGAGATCGGCGCCGGGGAAAAAAGCGTCCGGATCCACCGAGAAGACCGGATTGGTCGATGGGCGGTGAATGGGCGAGATGTAGCTTGGAGGAGGTAAAGTAAGGGGAGGAGATTGCGTAGTCGAGGCGGTGGATGTAGGACGCTTGGTCGGTGACGGTGTGCGCTGGAGCCGTCGGGTGGAGGAGGGAGAGGACGTGCGGGACGAGGTTGATGGCGCGGGCGAGGTGCCGCGTCCCGGAAACCTGGCGGTGGACGAGCCGGGCGACGCTCGCCCTTGAGTGAGGCGGGAGGGCGGGCTACTGGGGAGTCTCGTACGGGCGGGCGGAGCTGCAGCGGCTGGTGGCGACTTGGGGGTCACGGTAGACCCGTTGACAGCTCGTTTCTTCGTACTCGTCGCGGTGGCGGTCGCTCGCGACGTCACATCCTTGCGCAGGTTGGACGGAGTGCTTGGCCGCGAGGTCGGCTTGCCGTTCTCTTGCGGCGCTTTGGCCTTCGTAGCAAGATCGCCTAGCCCCGTATGCGGCACGCGTATTACAATGAACGTTTCCACAAGTCGAGACTTGATGACCTTCTCAAGTCCCCTCTGCGAAGTGTCGAGCCGGAAGGCAGATGACGTAGGGATGGAGAAAGCCGAAGTTGACGGAGCCGAAGCCAAGGACGGGCGGGTGTGCGAAGTCGTCGACGAGGCAGAGTTCTTCCTCCCAGGTCGTGGCGTGCCCTGCGCCGACGAGGTGGATGCGCCGCTACCAGAGAAACGTCGCGTTTGAGGACCCTCCTTTTCTTGCTTGACCCTCCTTGCATCGGGGGAAAAGCCAACCTTCGGCGACGACGATGTATTGGGGACAGTCCTCCGACCCCGCTCGCTCCCCGCTTCCTCCTTAATCGAGGACACGCTCCTGAGCGTGCCGATCGAGGTCGTGGATGACTTCCGGCTCCGCTTGCGCGCCTGGGAGACCGTCACATCCAAGTCATCCGAGAAATGGCCCGAGGGCGTGAATTGAGACGATTCTGAGGGCTGCGAGAGGGCAGATGCGAACGCGTCGCGGACGGGGAAGGGCGTGAGGTTGCGGATCTGGAAGGAGGTGACCTGCCGGATGCGTCGCTGCAAGGGTTGACGAGTCAAACTACTATTCGTAATGCATACGTAAGAATGAAGGTCTATACCTGATAGTATGATCCTCTATCGAGCTCGTCCACTGTGCCAGACCGGGGAGGCATGGCTCTCGTAGTTGGCCTCTGCTACCAAAACCGGTGAAGTTGAAGCAGCAGTTCGAGCGGTGATCGTGTAGCTATTCGTTTCAGGAACCTCCAATAGATTAGGCCTGTAACATCAAGGTGACCGAGAGGGATACCAGCGTGAGGGAAAGGGACAGCACAATTCGCGAAACAGAACGAACTGGAATAGCCACGGCTCGGATTGCCGCTTACCGCGCCGGTCGTGGCCACCTTCGTACCTTTGTCTCGTTCTCGAATGGCGCCCAAACCACGACCTATCAAGAAGACTGCGAAAACTCCATACGAACCAGACGGAAAGGCACCAGTACTAGCGCCTCCCAATGATGCCAGACCCGCTCAGACCATCAGCGCCCCGAGCACCAGCGCGAGCGCAGCCATGCCCCCTCCCCCGGCTCCTCCACCACCACCTCAGGCCATCCTAGAGCCAGAAGCGAAAGAACTATCAGTGTGCTTGAAGGTTTGCATTTCCTGTCTTTTGCGTCATGCCTCGCTCATCCTTTCATCAGAATGCCGTCGTGAAGACGGGTCAGATCTACGGATTCTACGCGGACACCAGGCGATTGTACGTGGACATCGAGTCAACCAGCATGCGGTTCTCGCTAACCCCTGCTGCAGGGGCATACAGAGATATGCGCAACATCCGCCGCGCTCCATGGTTTCCGCCCTCGGTCGCGAAATCGAGAGATACGACGCGCTCATGGACACGATCGAATCTCAACTCGTACGCTACCTGTTTGTTCTTTTGTAAAACCGGTTTATAAGACGTAATGCGACAGCTTCATTCCATTGCGCTATTGCGCCGCGAGCTCCAGATCGAGCAAGACAAGGCCAAAGCCGCCGAAGAAGCCGTCGCCTCCCACACCCGCTCGCGCACCGCATCCCTCTCCCCGGCGACCACGCGCGCCTCCCTCCCGCCCGTCTCCGGCACCGACCCCCCGACCTCCGACGGCCAGGACTCCATCCTCGGCCTCCCATTGACCGATGAGCCCTCCTCCGCCGCGCCTTCACGCAATTCGCAAAGCACGCCTCCCGCCGCGACGCCTAGCGCTACCGCCCGGCGCATGTCCACCATCTCCCTCTCCTCGCTCAACCGGCCCTCCTTTCCCCATAAGCTCGACCTCTCTTCCGCATCGCTCGCCCTCACACCCTCCGACGCCGCTCTCTTCGCGACCGGGCTCGCCTCGCCTGTCACGCTCGCCCCGCGCTCAGCCCGTCCCTCCGCCGCGAACGAGCTCCCTCCCGACCTACTCGCCATGGCCCTCGCCCAAACGTCTCCCAATGGCGGGCGCGAGGTCGACATCGACCTCACCATGGACGACTCCTCGCCTCCCAACGCTCTGGGCGCGATCGGCAGCTCCGCCGACAAGCCGATCGAGCTTGACCTGGAGCTCGACATGGACCTCTTCGGGGACGGCGCCGACGACGGCTCCGGCGGGGGCCTCTTCTCGCCCTCCGGCGGCGTGCCTACCGGGCTGCCCAACGCGGGTGACGGTCAGTCCAACCCCGGCGCTGGCCAACCAGGGACCTCCGATGGCGTGCTCGGCCTCGATGTCCTCGACTCCTTCACGTCTTCCGCAGCGCCGTCGGATTCCGAACTCTTCCAGAGTCTTGCTGGTGGCGACCCTGCCTCCGCCCAAGGGTCCCAGCCTGGCCAGCAACAACCCCAGCAGCCCGCTCAACACCTCGACGTCCCAGGCTCCAGCGACGCGCACGGCGCCGCTCCCTCGCCTGGGGCAATTCTCGCCAGCTTCGCGGCCGCCAATCCCCAGGCCCAAGATGGGTCGACCACCCATCCGGACGGGAACTTCAACTTCGCTTCCCTCGGTCTGGATCAGTTCAACGACTCGAGCTTCTTCTCGTCGGAGACGGATACCCAAGGGGAAGGCGGTGGGACGGAAGACATGGCGTCGTTGCAGGAGATGCTGGATTTTACTAGCCACGAAACAGCAAGTTGACGGTCATATCCGGCGACTCACGCTTGGAAGCAGCCGGTCATCAGTCTTCGTCGTGTGTCGTGTAGCACGATTTTATGCAAACCAAGTGCAGTTATTGTGACGGCGGGGACGCGAATACGAGTACAGTCGTTCGGGAACAAACAAAGAAAAGAGATCCCGGAATTTGCCAAGGAGAAAAAGAATTATCGTCCATTCTCGGAGGCAAAAAAGCAGGCCTGGTTGCTGAAGCAACAAGCCCTCCCAGATCGCCTACCATCTACAGTGAGCAAGACAAGTAGGCCCTGCGGTAAGCAGGCCCTCCTTGTAAGCACCGGGTGACCACAATCATCGCATTTTTTTTTCTTCTTTTCTGTGTTTTTTGGGGAGTTTCGCTTGTTTATTGGTTGCGAGTGTAAGATCGTGAACTGTCCCGAATGTGTGCCGGCTCACCGGCTCATACGAGGTGTGGTCTAGTTCGGATCTTCAAGGGACAGCCCGAATATGACGGCAGCAAGCATCAGAGCCGCGCTCAACCCGCCCACGATCGCCATAACGGGCTGCGTTCAGGCACACCGACGAGAGCATCGGAGACGTGATTCCTATGGCCACCACTGCCGTCGCCAGCCTGGATGAAGCCCTGCCGAGATACCCTCTAGCCTCCAGCGCCAGCAGCACACTGCCGAGGAGGTTCGCCTGGAGCCCGATGACCGCGATGATCGCCGCAATCTCGAGGGACAGCGAATGGACGGGACCGTAGCTTGCGAACCACAGGCATGCATCGTGGCATATGGCTGCGAATGCCAGAGGCTGCCAGAGGTGAGGTTAGTTGAGTAACGCCCGACGGGGATACGCAACGCACCAGAGGCAACAGCTTGTTGGCCATGGCGACAGGGCCTGACTGGACAATTGCGTGCTGTCCCTGAAGCTGGATTGAATGGCGGATAAGGTTAGCTCCGTTGGCACACACCGCGAGCGCGAGTATGTACGCACATCAAAAGGAGGCAACGCAAACTAGGGTCACAGAGTGAAGGAAACCCTGAGAGCCCATGTCAGCCCGCTACACAGATCATATACCCGCCTCCACAGCCATTCGAGGCACTGCGGATTCAGCGTCACAAGCGTGGTACAGTTAAGCTATTGGGCGGCCTTCTCAACACAGACGGGATCAAAAATCTCGCGGGTTGCTGTAGTGCGCAGAGCCGGATCAGAGATGCTGCGAGCAAAAACCATGAAGATAGGCACGATGCTAATGCCCCGTTCGGTTGTTTCAAAAGAAAATGTGGCTGGCTGAGAGCGTTGCCTGGAGAGGTAGTTGCTCATTTCATTCCATACCAGGGTACGCAATGGAAAAACGGAAATGCTCCATAATGCAAAGTTTTGAGTTACTGATACAAATGCGGATCAGTGCGCTTCCCGCTTCCTTGGCGTCGACCGTAAAATATCATCCACCCTGCGAGCGCATTAGCCCCCCAAACTCATAAACAAGAGAAGAACACTCGCCGAATAATCATCTCTGCCGCTTCGCTAGCGCTGAGAACGACCTGCCTCTTCAGCTTGTAGCTCTCCGTGATGCCCAACTCGCGCATAGACGCGATGCTCCCGTTGTTCATGTCCAACCCCGCGTCGCTCTTGCCTTCGAAGTGCGCTGCGCGCAGCCTCGTGACGAGCTCGCTAGAGTCGTATCCTGCGTTGTCCGCGAGAATTATTGGAATCTGCCTCAGCGCGCGCGCAAACGCCTCGACGGCGAGCGCCTTCTTGCCCTTCACCGTCCGCGCGGCCTCGTCCACGGCGCAGCTCATAAGCATCTCCGAGCATCCGCCACCGAGGACGATACGGGTCTCCTTCACGGTCTGGGACAGAACGGAGAGCGCGTCGTGCAGTGATCGGTCGGCTTCGTCGACCATTTGGTTGGTTGAACCGCGGAGCACTACCGTACACGCCTCCCCGGCAGCTACTCCAGAGAACTTGATAAGCTACAGAGTCGTTGAGCCTCAGCGCATCCCAGTCAGGAAGGGAGAATACGTACCTTGTCCTCGCCGATCATAATCTCCTCGATGAGCTCGCAGTGTCCGAGCTTGACGAGATCGGGCCGATCAAACGTGCTCGCAATCTCACCACCGGTAACCAGCGATAATCGCTCGACGCCCTCAAAATCGGCGTGCTCTATCGTCAGGATGCCCTTCTCCGCCAACAGGGACTCCGGGTAGTTGTAGATCAGCTGCCTGTTCACGAAGACGTTGATCCCGTGAGCGGCGATAGCCTCCACCTTGGCCTTCATCTTCTCCTTCTCGGCTCGCTCCAGCTCGGCTAGCTTTCCAGTTCCATCGACCTTGACGCGCGCGCCGAATATTTTGATCTTGTCCGTGTCCATTGCTAGGGAACGTCAGTAGAATAACTTAGCGATCTCGATGGGCAGGGCTCACCCGTGTTGGCAATCAGAATTTTCGCGTTTTCCAGCCGCTTCGGGCAGTTGACTCCAATCGTCTTGTCCAAGATAAAACCTGGAAAGGTTCAACTTCAATGCTTCAGTGAAGGGACCAAGAGCGTGATGCCGTTACCTTCGTCCAAGTACGAATCCGTAAGCTTTCCGCCGGCTTTCTTGATGATTTGGATATGTTCAAGATCCGTGGATCCCTGAAAGAGGGATGAGAGTGTGCATTGCGCGTAGATGATCTATGTACCTTCAGCCTCAACACCGCATCGACGGCCAGGTTCGCGAAGTAGTCCTTGTCCTGTGAGAGAACCTTGGACGACAAGGTCGTTTTCGCGATGTTGACCAGATCCGCTCTGAATTGAGCTGGATCTGAGCTGCAAGTCCGCCGATAGGCGTGAGTGCAATGACCAAGGGACGCGTTCAAGCCTACGAACCTGTTGTCTACCGCAGCTTTCTCAAGTGCGCCGAGCGCAGCAGCGCTTGCTATCCGATAGCCCTCCACAATCGTCTGAGGATGTATCTTCTGCGCGATCAACTTTTCTGCCTCCCGCAACAGCTCCGCCGCGAGCACACAGACGCTCGTCGTGCCGTCGCCGACCTCATCATCTTGCACCTTCGAAATATTCACCAAGATTTTTGCGGCCGCGTTGTCGAGTTGTATCCCCTTCAGTATAGTCGCCCCGTCGTTCGTTACGTTGATATCGCCCGTCGATCCTGACTGGAGGATTTTGTTCATGCCCTTCGGTCCCAGCGTAGACTTAACAAGATCTCCTAGGGCGAGAGCCCCGACGAAAGACGACAGACGCGCATTCTCCGCTTTCTCCTCTGTGGCCTGAGTTGATCAATTCAGTTGAACATTCGCAGGGTGTTCTGGTGGTGCGCACCTCGTCCCCGAAGATGTGCATAGACATTTTGTGATGAAAGGCTGAGGCAAACGCGCGGACGGGTATCAGTGTTCACGGGAGCGGCTTACAGCCACTAACTATTATACAGCTCCAGCTTATGGCGCGCGCGCTCTGTTCGAACTTTGGAATCGTTCGCACTTCGTCTGCTACATAACTTCCGATATTCGACGCCGGAACATGCAATATATGATGCCGTAACAAACAACAACTCTCGTATTGCTCTGAGCCTTCTCTATGCGCAGTTTGGTAAAAATGAGGCTGCTCATATCAGCGAGAATATAAGTATGTACGCCCGAATGTGAAGGTGTGGTACGTCGTATGTTCCTTCTTTATCGGGCCAGTGCCGGTTCGTGTGCGCGTGCGCAAGATGTTGTACATTGTACGTCACGCTAATGTATGGCCAAGCATCGACTCACAACCCTTCGTTTCATAGAAGTAAAGTCATTACTGATTCATCAACTGGAGAGCTTGAACATGAGTATCACGCAACATCATGCATCGTCCAATTCTGACTGCCGAAATAGGACGGAGTGGTGCAATATCAAAGAGACGTAGGGCTTTGCATCACGAAAAGAAGTCTTGTGCGTCGACATAGTCATCCTCGCTGCCGTCCTCTGATCCCCGGTTCTCTTCATTGATACCACCGTTGCTGCCGTCGTCGTTTTGGTCCTCAGCATGGCCGTCCCTGATAAGAGTAACGAGGTCGTCCGTCAAAGCAGCGTAGTCCAGTACGGTAAAACTATATGAAGGAGCTCAATGACGTTGTCGAGGAATGACAGCGCAGATTTACCGGCTCATCATGAATGTCAATCCATCCAGCTTCAGCTGAAGACTCCATCGCGCCCCATCTCCCGTTTCCCGATCGTAGTAGCAAGAGGTGACAGTCGATGTATTGTTTCCCTCCTCATCCGAGGACCAATAGCCCCAGGCCACGTGCGGAGGTCCGATCTCGACGTGGGGATATTCAAAGAAATAGAGGGTGGATGGAATGATGTCGCCTTGCCGCACCGCTCCAAGGTTCGTTGTGCGGGACGTTATCATACATGTCACTGAAGAATGACGTAAATTAAAAGGAGGAGCGAGAATGCAGTATAATAAGCCAACGGACCTGCGCCAAGGTCAGTGGCAGGGATATCGTGAGCGTCTGCCATACGGACTCCGTGACGAAACAACCATAACCACGCCGACGGAATATCAGGCTGTGGCCATGCGTTGCAGCGGATCGAGATCCCATAGGTGCTGTGCTGTACATGAACAGCATACCTGCGCACAATGAGATTATTCGATGCTCGTCATAAGGTAACCGTCCTTGAAAAAAGGCCATACCGGATTGTGCCGTCCGGTAACACATGATATTCACCCTCATTGATCGATTCTGCTGAGCCGCCGGCTCGAAACCAAGAACGCCTCCGATCAGACGTGGACTCCCCGGCATCGGCATGACCTCGCCAACCGATACATGGGTGGTCATTCGAATTCGTACCAATGTTCACGATGGGGCCAGCACTTGCAAATTTTGCGTCGAGCACCCGTGGGATGTACAGCTTGTCAATGATGCCTGCTTCATCTCGCGATGTAAACAATGCTTCCAGCAATTCCAATCTGGATCTTTCACGCATTTGGTGGGCCGTGGCTCCAGGTACATCGTAAAGCCACTGAATGGGCATCGCCTGTTCCTTGCAACGATGATTCATTTCAGTCAAACAGAACGTCAGGAGATGGGCCTACGCGACTTCGTGAAAGTGGCAACTGGTCATTCTGGTCGAAATAGAAACGACGCAGCACTGGTTCAACCTCAGCGAATTCAATGTCAAACACGACACGACCACTTTGATCAATATTGGCAGAATGCGATATCTGCGAGGTATAGGATCAGTATAGATTCAACGACGTTTGATAAATAGGCAGACACGATACGCCGTCCTTTGTAGAGGAACTATCATTGTACCATCGCCTAGCATACTGATTTCGCCATGCCATATCTTGCCATAGAGTTGGATCATGTAGCTCTGGAGAGATTGTACGGTATCCTGACGGAAAGATCTGAACGTGTTGACAGCAAGCATCTGCAAGTAACTCACCTGTATTTCATGGGTCTGCGTGGCAATGAAGCATTTAGAGCGGTCGGCTGGAAGTAATTACACACCCATGTCACCACATGCCTGAGTTGCTCCATAGATCTTATGTTGGTCATGCATGACTTGACATCTGTACGACCTGTTGCAAAGCATGAGCTTTGTGATGCGAAGGTGAGAACTAGTATTTGATCACTAACCCGTGTGGGTCACGTAGAAGGGTGTGGATTCACTACGGGAGTAACCGATCAATTGCTCGACATGGGAGAACCTGATGGGCAACAATTAGCAATAGGAAATGGGGGGAGTATTCACTTACCGGAGGCGCATGTCCCGGAGCAGCTTCAGCTTGAGATTGTATGCAGCGTCGCGTCGAGAATACCTCTTCATGACAAGTGTTTCATTTGTTGTGCGGAGAGTGACGAGATATGTCACTGAATCTTCGCCTTGCAATCGCCGTAGTTCTTTCTGAATGATTATGTCGGAGCTGCGGAGCAACATGAACTTTCCGCGCAGACATCAGCTACGTATTCAGGGCGTGAATGGCGAACTAAGCAAGACTCACGTCGCCGTCGTAAAGACTCTCCGATTTCTGCATCGCAGCGACGCTGTCAACAGAACGTTGGATACCTTCGAGCGCTATCCTCAAATGCGCCATCTCCACTCCCGAGTGAAGCTGAGAATTGATCTGGACATTTCTAGTCTATCAGCGAGAACGAGGTAAGATGTTTGGATGTCTCATACCCCGAATATATTAAGCGCATCCTGGAAGTCACATGAAATTTGCTTAAGTTCCGCGTTGATCTTGGAGTAGCTCCGGATCCTGCTGAGTATGCTGAGCTCCGATAATTTATGAGAAAACTTCCAGGTTCGTTCCAAAGTTCTGTCAGCAGCTTGAGTTCTCACCAGGCAAAATGACAGGTGGTGATACCTTAGGAGGGCTTCGATATCTGAGTTCAAATTGGCGACTTGTTCCACTTCCATACGCATCACCTTGTTGGCTATCGCCCCCGCGACAGCTGCAGCACGACGCGCCAGCAGCTGACAATCTTCCTTGTTCGATTTCGCTCTCTGTAGGGATGAAGGGGTACATGAGCGCTCCCGAATGGGCATGTGAAAATAAGGGTCCAAACCTCCGCAGTCTTGGCGATCTGTAGTGCAGTACCAAGGATGCTCTCGAGGTAATGTCCTGCGACCGGTACGGCCTTTGTGGCAGCTATAGCGATCTCCAGAACCTGTATGGTAGTGTCCATCGCTGCCTGCGGCTTGCTTGTTCTCGAGTGTGCGCGGAGCGGATGGGGTTGGGTGAGATCGCGCAAAACACGGGCATGCCTCTGTAGAGCTTTATAATGCCTGCTATATCAAGTGGCGAGCATTCTCGTCTGTAGTAATCCTATGAGCGCTGTGCAAACCTTCGCACCCATCTGTCACTGTCATATATATAGTATCACTGCCATAACGGGTTGACGTCGGCTCTGGTCATGCCAGATGAATGCAAGCTACACGCGCCCGTTCGAAGAGCCAACTTTGTAGATATGGATTCCAATGAACATTGAGAGTCGGTAGATGCTGGCCGAGGTCACCTTAAGCAGCCTGCAAAGAGCGATGAGCAGAAGGCGCGATTAGCACGGAACACAATGCAATTTGACACAACGTGAGCAAGATGGTTCGAAACACGGCATTCCAACCCCTCAAAAGAGGTCAAGAGGACTGATTGCGGTGCGCAAATGGCTTGAGCCGGCCGGTATGAGCCTGGGAGGTGGACATAAGAAGGGAATGTCTCACGGATACGTAACTTCGCAAAATGGCAGCCTCTTTGTGCAGCCCTATCACGCTCAGCGCTGGCGCTGAACGGCAAGACTGAAGTCGTTCAATCCCAAATCAAGCGCATATCCCCGCCTGTGAACCACTGGTCCTCATGAGCCAACATTGACTTTGCTGTGTACTGCCTGAATTGAGGATCCGGCACATTCTCACTACATTCATTGTCTGTCTGGTGGCAAGAGTCAATTGTCGCGACGGAAATTCACCTCGGTTGCTGAATACGCACCCCAGCAACTATCAAAAACTATCGCGGTAAAGGCCGAGGCATTGCCGACCCTGAACCACTGCACTTTGACGTGTGTTTATCATCATTTTCTCAGAAATCTCCTGCACCCAGCTCTCCATCGTCACTGCATCAGGAAAAGTACCTCCTGACAATTTCTCAACATTATGCTCAACCTTGTCCCATATGTACATATTTTGTCTTCTTGTGACAAATATGTACATATTAGACATATTGGAGATCTTTGAACTGTTTGTAAAATTAGTTAAGTCCCTTTGTGGGCATCAACATATTGTTGCAAATTTGCCACATGTGTTCACACGATGCTCACATTTGCTGCATTACTTAACACTTTGTTGCATTTGACACCAGATATAGCACTCTGTTCTAGTACAAGTCTGCTCAACCGGACACGATTCGTTCAGGCTTACACAGAATTATGATAATAGTTATGCTACTTATACATATGTACCATCATTAGCATACTTTGTACACATACTGGTAACAGGCAGGCGGGAGGCGGGGAAAGGAGGGCAGTAGCGAAGGAGGGCAGGAAGGGCGTCTGCGGGCGGGAGGCCGCACCCAGCAAGACTATGTTGGCAGCTCCCGCTCGGGAGCTGGGCGAACGGTCAGCGCGGGGAGCGAAATCTTTGCCGAGCGAGAGCGCGTTGGCGGCCCTCGCTCGAGGCTAGGCGAGAGGCGGGCGAGAAGGCAGGGAGGCGGACGAGAAGGCGGGGAGGCCGGCGAGAGGCCAGCAAAACGCAGGCGAGAAGGCGGCGAGAGGCGATGGGCCGCGCACTTGCTGGCACCGCGTCCGGCGCATTTGGGAGCGCATGGGCCGGCGCACCTGCAAGCGCGGGGTCGAGGCACCTGGGAGCGTGGTGGGCAGCACACCTGTGAGCGCAGCGGGCGGCGCACCTGCGAGTGGGGTGGTGAGCGCGCTTGCGAGCGCGGTGAGCGGAGACTGGCTGGGGGCGACGAGCGCACTTGCGAGCGCGGCAGGCGGCGTGTTGGCGATGGGAGACGGGCATGAAGGCATGGAGGCCGGCGAGAAGGCGACGAGAGGCGGGGAGGCTGGCGAGAGGCGGACGAGAATACGACGAGGCGGGCGAGAGGCGGGCGAGAGGCGGACGAGAAGGCGGGGAGGCGGGCAAGAGGCCGGAGAGAGGCAGGGAGGCGGACGAGAAGGCGGACGAGAATGCGACGAGGCGGGCGAGAGGCGGATGAGAGGCGGACGAGAAGGCGGAGAGGCGGGCAAGAGGCCAGAGAGAGGCAGGGAGGCGGACGAGAAGGCGGGCGAGAGGCCGGAGAGGGGCGGGGAGGCGGGCGAGAAGGCGGCGAGAGGCGGGGAGGCGGGTGAGACGCGGGGAGAGAGACGCGGGGAGGCGGGGAGGCGGCGAGAGGCGGGGAGGCGGGTGAGAAGGCGGGCGAGAGGCTGGCGAGAGGCTGGCGAGAGGCTGGTCGGAGGCGGGCGCGGGGGGCGGGATGCAACACCGAGCCCGACCGCGTTGGCGGCTCGGGCTCGGGGTTGGTCGAAGGCGGGCGGGGCGGGGCGCGAGTGCGAGAGGTGACCCCGAGTGCGACCGCGTTGGCGGCTCGCACTCGGGGCAGGTCGAGGGGGGGTGCCAGGGTGGGGAGGCGAAGGAGGCGTTCCCCCAGCGTGACCGCGTTGGCGGCTCCCGCTCGG